ACCTGCTCCTGCATTGCAAACAGCCTCTCTCCTGCTTTTTTTCCTCTCTTTTTTTTCCTCCTCTCTCCGAGGCCCTCGGCACCATAAATCCGACTGATTACTCCGCACCCCTTTTGCTTGACTGAACCTTCACAATCAGCCGTGGCCGCCAACAATGAGGCCCTGATGAATCAAACATCCATGGCATTAGTTTCACCTTGCTGCCCCTTTCCCATGCGCCGCCGCCTCTTTGTCAGGCCCCGGTTTGATGAGAAGGACTACTGACACTGGCTGCACCTATTGATAGACAATTCTGTAAAGACGGACCCCAACAACCCCACCAGACCCCGAGCACCCCTCCCCCCCGCCTCCCCCCTTCTGCACCCAGAAATAGGCGACAAATTTTGATTGGAGCGTTGGGCTAAAACCCCTGCTGTCTGGTTTGTGGGAGGCTTTGTGTTCGGTTTTTGGCTCCTGGGGTGTCCAATATCTGCCAGAGACTGTACTATTATGAGGTAACCCGACAGGCAGGAAGACCCGCAGAAGGCATCAGAACCAGGTCTCAGGAAACCCTCAGTGGAGGGGGAGGAAGTTTAACGAGAAACCTGTCGGTGTGATTATAAAATACAGGAGAAATAAGAGCTGCTCCTCCAAAGTCAGTGTTTCAGTTTAAAAAGTGACTTTTTCCTCCTAAAAATAAAAGATAAAAACTCTAAACTTGATTAGAGTTAAACTTAAACACTCAAACTAAAGTTGTTTGTTCATCATTTTGCGTTAACCTCATGAAAGTTTCCTCTCGCCCTTTTCTAGTTCATAATTTATCATCTCTCAATCAGCAGATTTGTAATTTCATAAACACCGATGAGCGCATGGACTTTCATGTGTTCACACTGCCATGAATGCAAACAGTATGTTTTTTTTTTTAATCCTTTCACACACTGAGTTTCTGTTTTTTTTCTTCCAATACTTCGCTGTAAAATTTAGTATATTTGTTCACATAAAAACGACCGATCTGACTGATGTTTGCGTCTAAAACGGAGCACCCTGTTGTAAAGTTAGTCTGAGTTGGATACACAACACAGTGCATTGTTGAAAACTGAAAATTTCAGCTGTTTTTCTGCATAAAATTGTGAAAATTTTGAGGATGAGCTGCATGTGTAAACACACTTTTTTGTCCTTTTTTTTTTCTCCTCAGCTGACCCAGCGCCCCCAACTGGCATCGCCTCGTGTCTTGGATGGCCTGTTTCCTACTTCATGAGGAAGTTTGGGGATCCTGAGAGGTAGGCTGTCCTGAAATTTAGCAGAATTTTGCAGGAGCTCCTGTGTGAAAAGGTTAGAAACTCCCTCTACTGTCAGCTCTCACAGAGGGAGTTTCCGTTTCTCTCCTGACTGTATTTTTATTTCTCTTCAGCCTCAGCGTCTCAGATCGAACCTTAAATGTTAAACTGTGCGAACGTTCAGGGCCTCTACCAGCTCACACCCACTGAAAAACATGAATGTGTGTGTATGTGTGTGCGCAGACAGAGAGGGAAACACCGCACACACACACACACACTATCAGCAGCAGCAGCGAGAGCTCATCCAACGTGCGACCCACAATGTTTTATTCATTGAGATCTATTTGATTATATTTGAATTTAATTGACATTTGGAGATAAATGAAGAGTTTGGTTCCAAAATGAGACATCCACTATTTCACAGAATTAACACCTCCTCGTAGAGAGAAGTGATGACTGGCATGAAAATAAATTCACATTCAGCTTTTTGTTGAAGTTTTTCTTATTTCCTGTCGACAAAAATAAGCTCACGGGATGAAAGATGTGAAAATTCGAGACGACGGGAGCGTTTCTGTAGCCAAACTTCATTTAAAGTAAGGAAATAGATTTAAAATAAAATGATGCAAATTCACTGTGTATTTCTGCTTTATTGACAGTATTCTGCAGGTGCATCTTTTATACTGTTCGCTAAAGTCACTCGAAGTTGTGCTCAAGTTAAAAACTCAAACAGAACCAAGTTATTTTCCTCGTCTGATCCTCTGCAAACAAACAAACAAACAAACAAACAGCATGAAAATATTTGTTGAATTCACTTTAATCTGCAGCACAAATTAAAACTGAACTTTTAAAGACATCAAACTTCTCAGAGATCCTTAAAAAGTATTTTTGAGATAATCCAAAGAACTTTTAGTGTTTTTGCAAAAGACAAAAATAATGAAAGCTGCAGAAATAAAAATGTCTGTAAGCCTGAAATGAGGAGTGCTGCATGGATGTGCATCAATTTGAACTATTAGTGCAAAATTTGGACCCCAGTGGATCAATCTGGAAGGAAACAGATCTCCAAATACTATTTTAGCTCTGCAGAGACATAAAACAACAGCAGAGATGGATTCTTTAGTTCTTAACTTTTAGATTTTAAGTCATTTTAAAGTATTTTAGAAGCTTTTCCTCTCTTCTCCAACTGCCAAACGTTTTTCTGCAGAGATCAGCTGGACCACAGCCCTACGAACGTTTAGTGTAACGTTCAGCAGCGTGTCGAGCCGTTGTTGTTGTCGTTGCTGTTGTTGTTGTTGTTGTTGCTGCTGCACATAAACAGACATTTGGAATTTTTCCACAGAATAAAAATCCCTCTTTGTTCGGGATGACGGCTTCTCTTCAGTCTCAACATGTGTCCGGTCCAGCGAGGTTTAAATCTGCCCACCTGTCCACACGCTAATCCTCCCAGCCTTATTACAGAACTGTGCAATTAATTAAGGGCTCAATGGCCGGGATTAGTAACCTACATTCAGTTTGATACTCATATCAGTAACTCCAGTATTTACTAAAACACCTTTTTCACAGGATTTATGAGGAAAAAACGCGGGAAATCTTAAAAAAAATCTAAAACACAAAACAAAAAATGTGAATTTTCCAGGAAAAACACAAAGAAACAAAACATGTAGAAATGCAGCAGCAGCAGCAGCAGCAGGGCTTTCCTCATTTACAGTGGAATTACAGAGATTAAGATAATCTGTGCTGTATGTTTACAGAATAATGAAACAGGCCTCCTCATATAATGACCATCAAATAATCTGGATTAGGTCATTGACAGCAGAGGAGGGAATTCATCCCTCTGATTGTTGTGAGCGGACTCAATCCCTGTCCTCTTGTCCCTCACACACACCTATGCAAGCATGCACACACTCAAACCAGCACTATTCAGTCAGAGGGTGTGTGTGTGTGTGTGTTTACATGTGTGTGTGTGTGTGTGTGTGTGTGTGTGTGTGTGTGTGTGTGTGTGTGTGCAGGGCCGTTACAAAAGCAGGTTACAGCAGCGCAGAAATGACACGGTGCAACAGATGATGGGCATTATCCCATCAACCTGCTGTTTCTGCACACACTCTGTCCTCTCTGTGTTCGCTTTGAAAGGACAGCAGGAGTGTGTGTGTGTGTGTGTGTGTGTGTGTGTGTGAGGGTGTAGGAGGGAGGGAGGGTCTTTTCACACACACACTTTCATGCACACACACACACACTGCACCTGTCACAAACAGGCTGTCAGAGCGGGAGGAAGGAAACTTCAGCCACGAGGAGGAGGAGGAGGAGGAGCCGAGGGAGGGGGACCAATCAGATCCACTGAAAACTTAATAAAGATGTTTTTGATTAAAAATGATTTTTTTATTAAGCTGTTAAAACATTTTAACTTCACTGAAATCACTTAAAACCTCCACAGGAGTTTTGAGCATGAGGCTGAGAGTTTTTAACAATCTCCAGGTTGTTTCAGAAAATTAATCCAATTCAGAAAAAAGTGCAAAAATAAGTTCCTCCTTAAACTAAACTGATTTATTCACACATTCATCAGTTTATAACAACGTTCAAAGTTAAAGTTTATTCATGTCACACAAAAAAACGACATCCGACAACCGACTCTTTTACAAACCTGACAAACTCTCCAAACTCTGAGATGAGTTTTTAATCAAAGTTTGCGTCAGTGAAATTTTAGTTTTTGTTCTGATCCCTGAAACTTTCGTTTGTCTCAGGTAGAGCTTCATGTCATCATCTGTTATTTTCAATGTTTGCGCTGAAGTGGAAGTCTCTCTCGCTGCGATTCGGCTCATCTGTGAATCTTCCTCTACAGCCTCTTCTTCGTCTCTTCATCGACCTTCTTGACCTTTTTTCCTGTTTTTGACACGTGCAGAAATGTTAAGGCTGATTCCCCGAGAATATACAAAGATGGAAATATGCGGCGTGTTGGAGTCAAAGCTGAAGCGTCGGGTTCATCCTCTGCTGACTCGCTGAAATGTTTCCCAGGTTTTGTCGGATATTAGAGCGGCGGAGTATCCCTGAACACGAGCACATCATCTCCATGTATTCAGGTGTAACGCTCTCGTGTGTAATGCACCTTGCCAGAAGGTTAACTCTCCTGCCTGTAAATTACCTCCACCCCTCCACCTCCAACACCTCCACCAGCTCGGACAATAGGCTCAGCAGTGGCCCGGTGATTGCCTCTTTTCAAATGGAAATGCCGGTCGCCTCTCTTCTGCCAGGTTCCCCTAAGCAGTGTACAAATTACAGTTTACAAGGCGCAGAGGAATAAAAAAAAGATGGACGCCAGGAGAGGGGGGAGCGAGGGAGAGCAGAATATCTTTTCTGTGTGTGTGTGTTTTTTTTAATTCAGCAAAGTGACATGTAAATTAGCCTTTAAGTGCTCCACTCGGGGACTCTGATCGTGCCCTAATTGTCACAGTCAATTGTGGCCAACAGTCTCTTCAAACCGGGCAGCTTTTGACAACAAGCTCGCCGGGATCAAAAGACGAATCATCGACTCCGCTCCCGACACACACACACGCACGCACGCACACACACACAGGCCGTCACTGTTGGTGTGTTTTTAGGCTGCAACAAAGAAAAATGGAGGAAATTGAGAGGTGAGAGATGGCGGGGAGCGAGGAACACAACAGCAATTTACTTCCTCCACCAGCAAACAATCCCCCAAAATCCTCTGAGCGCAGAGATAACAAACGCCAAGGATGACAACGCCGGGGAAGGATGGCACGTCCAAAAATGAGCAGTGGAGGTATCCGGCGCACCCATCAGACCGTGAACCGACTTCCTTCAGAGTCCTACAGGGTCATAAACTTCAGCGCGAGCGTGAAACAGATACGAGCTGAAAAATCACGCAAAACAAGACGAGTGCAACAAACTCCGGAGTCTGATCGAAGAGGCCGAAGGGTTCAGAGCAGACGTCTCTGCAAAGTTCTGCAGCAGAAGAGAGAGAGAGAGAAAAAAACAGAGAAGAAGAGATCGTGGTCAGACAAACACGGACGCTTCTGTCTGCCATGTTTGGAGGCTGGGAAGTTTGGACCGTCGAAGGCGAAGTCCAGGAAGTTTCTGTGGAGCGAGGACGTAGAAAAAGAGAGTATAGATGAGTCTGAAAATGAACCGGTCCATCGATCAGATTTAACAGATCTGCACGTGTGAAGAGTCTGTTTACTGTCCTGTAGAGAAACAGACCCGCAGTATCAGCCCGACTCCAACATGATTAACGCCGTCATGGTTCTGCTCGACCCGCTCAGAGCTCTCTGTCGGGACAGATTATGGTTTCGGTTCTCCTCGGACCAAATCAGACTTTTTTTCCATTTTTCACCAAACCCACTATCCGTCCATGAAGTCAACCGAACCTGACCAAACACGGACCCGAAGGTCAGGACCCGTGGTTTTTCTGTGACCAGCCCGACCACCTCCAGATGTGCGGAGAGAAACCGAGCGGATGATTTCAGATTTTTAAACTCAGATTGTTACTCGAGTTTACTGATTACACTTTGACCCTTTTTGTTTCTGTTTTCATGTCCTAATAAAGTGATTTTTTTAAGTCTAAAATGTATTAAAGTCTTTATTTTAGAGACAAAGGTCCTGATATTCCAGGTGATGGTCCACGCCGTTTACATCTTTAACAGTCAGACTCTCAGATTAAAATATGGAGATCATTCAGAGCCGATAACTCAGGGCTCTGCAGTAGGATGTCACAGCTGCAGGATTTCTGGGTAATGTAGTCCTTAAAGCTGCAGCGATCTGGGCCTTAACACTCTGCTGTGCTGGACCGTAAACATCTTTGTGATTCTGGTCTTCTTGTCTTTGCAGAGCATCATTAGTCCGGTTCATCTGAGCTTCAGCTGGAGATCTGACAGAGCGGAGATGTTGTCGGAGGGCCGGACGAGGTTCCTGCTTCTGTGAGTCAGATCTTTTCATTCTCCTCCTGCGTCCTGAGAGGATGTAAACTCATATACAGTGGCAGATATTAAGAGCACGCCGATATGCAAATGTCTGTCGAGATTAGAGCTACAACAATTATTCAAATGTTTGATTAATTATTCATCCGAGACGGCGTCAATTATTCATTTCAGCGAGCGATAAGTCATCTTCCTTTTTTTTTCTTTTTCCTTATCAGAGTCAAAAGTTTTCTTTGGGGATCAATCAGAATCCCAATCAAAAGCGTTTTATTTGTGGAGTACAGTAAATGAGCGGGATTTGTTTTGGTGGCGTGGGCTCGAAAACTCCGAAAAGACTCAACCCAATACCGTCGAGATCGGACCTTCACCTCCAGCTCGGCGTTCCCACTCTCACCTCACGGCTGAAAAACTCCAACATGACGACTTACTCGGTTTTATTTCAGCCTTTAGTCGGAGGAGAAGATGAGGAGCTTCACTTTCACGGCAACAATCGATACGAATGAGAAGGAGAGAAACAGGAAGGAGAGGTTGTTTCTTCTCTGCGTCCTGGTCCTAAACGTTGAATAATTCGATCAAGTTAAAACATTTAATCTGATCTGAAAGTCCAGCGTGGAAACTGTCACGTTTGTTTATCAGAAACAGAGTCAAACTTCTAAATGACTTTTGTCGCTCCTCGCCGCCCTAATCAGAAAAAGTTTCTCTCTTATTTCCAAACTTGTTGTGTTTTTAAAGCCACAAAGCGTCTGACCTCTTTCTGCAGGAACAGAGAGAAGAGAAGAAGAAGAAGAAGAAGAAGAAAAAGGAGCAGCAGCAGCAGCCCAACACATGATCTGTTTGTTTTTTTCTGAGTGGAATAAGTGGTCATTTGTAGAAGCCTCTGCACGGTTTGCAGCTAACAAGAACAACATAAAAAAAATCAATAGTTTTGGTGTGAGCATTTGTTTCTGCAGCAATCTGCTGTGCAGCAATCTTGTTCTCTCTCAGTCGGACATGGAAGCTCGCAGAGAGATCAGAACTGCTCAGAAAAAAAAGAAAAAAAAAACAAGCGTTTCTTCTTCTCTCTCTCTTTCTCTCTGTCTCTTTCTCCCTCGCTCACGGCAAATGTAAACTAAATTCATTTTTGCATGTTTGCGGAGTTCTCGCAGATCACACGGCCGAGCCTTCGCCTCTCACTCTTTAATTGTCCGTCAATCCGTGGTTGTGGAGTTGTTGTGGAGCGGAGGCTCTCGCGGTGGCTATCACAGAGCCAAACCCCGTCGAGAGATGTTGGGTTTGATGTTGCGGAGCTGGAAGAGCCACAAACAAGCGCCGAGAGGAGCCGGAGAGGAGATGTGATCTAGGATGCTTCAGCTTCTCTGTCATGAATTCAAAAAAAAGAAAAAAAACAACAAACTCTGAACGCCACCAAACAAGCGTTATTTTAATTAAAGAGAGGCGCTGAGACGGACTTTCAGAGTAAAAGCACAAACTGTGAGCTGAGGGCTGGAGACTCGAGAGGCCGAGGCGCGCTCACTTGACAGCTGTTTTGAATTGTAGAAGTGAATTTTCAAGATGTCCCTCCTCTTTTTCTCCAGACCCACTTTTCTGGTCAAACCAGCTTTGTTTGATTTTCAACATCACATGAAGTGACTCTAATTGTATTTACACCAACTTCTGCAGCTGGAGGCGGAGGGTTCGAACTTTCACAGCCTCAGTTTGTCTCTCTAAAGTCAAGAAGAAGAAAACAGGGATACGAGTTTGACCAAAACACCTGCTGGTGACCTGTAACCCCAACATGAATCATCATCGTCGTCATGGTGACGCAGCGGTCACTCCAATCCTCTGACTTCACGTCTGAGAGATGTCGCATGTCAAACTCACACATGATGCAACAGCTGAGCAAAGCGTCACCACCCAGCAGACGAGGACTCAGGCTGTCAGGGCGGAGGAGGAGGAGGAGGAGGTCATCCATCCACCCGTCCACCCGTGTTCGCATGTTCAGAAAATCAGCTGAGAACGAAGGTTTGACTAGACTGGACCTGTACGGAAGCCCGGAGGGACAAATGAGGAGCAAAAACTCTTCTCCTTTTTTTCTCTTCCCTTAAATTTGACAAACAAACATTACGATTTAAAGTCGAATCATTTTATTATTAATAAAAAAAAATTATTATTTTGTTTTTCTAAATTTTGTCTTTAAAGCTCAAATTTAAACTAAATTAATCTGATAAAGTTTGTGAATTAATAAATTAATCTGCTGGTTTGATTTCATTAAAAAAGATTTTAAAGCTCCTGACAGTTATTTTTAGGTTTATGAAATACATTATTGGAGCATTTTTATTATGTAGGAAAAAAAACAAGACAAGAGTGAGGATTATATCATTTTTAATACCTGGAATAGAAACTTCCTGTTTTTACAATTTCAACATGAAATTTTCACAATTTCTAACAGAGACGACCGTCAGCAGGAAGAGGAGGAGATTTGAGGGAGGAAAAAAAAGGGTGAAATATGCAGATGAAGAGAAAAGCAGTGACTGTTTTGTCCACAGGGGGCGCCAAAGTTTAAAAAAACAGAAAAGTTCCTCACATGAGCTTTAATATTATTGCAGAATATTATAAAAATTAAACATAAATGCAAAAGAATAAAAAAAATCAAACTTGCAAAAGAATAAATAACTTAATTAATTAATCAATAATCGTCAGTGTTCAGATATAAACTCATCAAAGAGACTTTATTTATTTTTTCACTCAAAAATCAAAATCAGAATAGTGTCATAAATCTGGAGCAACTGGGATTAAAAACAAACATTCAAATCTTTATAAATGAGACACTTTGTCTAGTGTGACTCTCTGGGCTTCCGTAGTTAAAAAGGTAAATTCCTCACAGATGAAAACTGGAGTTTTCAGAGTGACGGGCGTCTAACATGACTCTGAAAACCGTTTCTGACCCTCCAGACTCGCCTCTCTTTCTGTGTGTTCCCTGCAGAGTTTACGTTTGTCATGCTGGACATAATTCAGTTTGCGTTTTTCCTCCTCCAGCCTGTAAGAAAAAGACGGAGCGGTGGAGGAAAAGCTGAATCATTGTTGTGCTTGGAAAAGACTCGGATTTGTTTGTGCCAACAATTAAAGTATTAACTGTTGGCACAACATTTCAGCTCCTGCAGCTCCGAGCCAAAGACATCAGTGAGAGTGTCTTTAAACTTGTAGACACATCAGCCTGTACGCGAGTGTGTGTGTGTGTGAGAGTGTGTGTGTGAGCTCTGACCTTTGACCTCCTCAGAAAACTCCACATTCAGATGAATCTGGAGATCTAAACTGAATAAACTCACCCGTGATTCAGAAACTTCATCGATAAGAGGATCGAGTCGATAAGAAATCGTGTTTCAGTGTCTGATATTTTTCCTTAACTGTAATTTTTTACTTAATCATTCATCCTGAATCGGAGTCCAAGGCCTTGAAAGTCATTGAAAAATCTTGATTTCCATGCTTTGATCATCCTGGAGATGATTGGTCAGATTGCAGCAGGTTTTTTTGGAGCTGCCGCCTGTTTTTATTTTTTTTGGGAGCAGGACTGGGCAGAGATTCATCAGTGGATGCTCGTCGTCGTCGTCGTGGTCATGTGACTCCTTCAGATCTAAATTAGGCCAATAATCAGGGACGCCTGGCGGCTGAGCTGCTCAATGCTGCACAAACGTATACATGCGAGTGTGTTTCAGACTCTCAGTCTGCTGTGAGGAACACGGTGAAGAACTCTGATCGATCGGCGGTGATGCTGGGACGACTCTGAGGTGATCTGATGAGGATGTTTTTATTCCAAACATCTGAAATGATTTTAAAGGATTTTTGATTCAGTGGAGAGTCGAACCTGCAGCTTTTCATGCTGATCGGAGGTCTGATTTTCTCAACATCACACTGCAGCGTTAGATAAAAAAAATGAGAAGCAGCCGAGAATCACAGCTTTTAAAAATCATCGTCTCTGACCTCCTAATTTCAGATCTCAAACATGGATCATCTTCATCATCATCATCATCATCATCATCATCCTTGTGTCTTCTCAGTGAAATAAATCAAAAGATATGAAACATAAATTAAAGATTTAATCATTTAGGCTCAAATTTGACACGATCATCCGAAGAATTGAACCGAATTGTGCAAAAATATGAAAATTTTAGGGACTATATTCACGCTGCGGTGACCTCTGACCTCCTCACTCGTCTTTAAATCTTCTCTCGTTTGTTCGATAAAGCAGAAGATGCTCTTTGAAAATAATCAGGAAAAATGAGTGAAATCCTTCAGATGTGAAAACAGGAAAAATGAGCCGAAGAGCTTCAACAAAACCAGAATATTTTGACTCTCCTTTGACCTCTGAGCTCCTAAATTTGACCTCTAGTGAGTCACATCCTCAATCCTGACGTCTTTATTTCCTCTGAAGCTGCAGACTCTCTCTCCATGTGACAAATTCAGACGTCAAAATCATGACCCCCGACCTCTCTGCTCCTCTATAATCAGCTGATAGTTGTGTGTTTGTAATCTGCAGAGCTCTGTAAGCAGTGAAACTGTGAATCGGGCGACAGCAGAGCTCGGTAACTTGACCGCTCCAAACCTACGGCGAACAGAAGTCGTAATTAGCCTGACAGATCCTCTCAAACATTCCTACAACCCGGCTGCACCGCTGTGTTTGTGTTTATGCTGTCAGAAGCTAAGAAGAGGGCCTCTCTTCTCCCTCACACACACACACACACACACACACTCTGAGGCGGCAGAGAGGGAGAGAAAATTAGGATTATAATCTTGGTAATCAGCAGTCATGCCCGAGGCGGACAGCTGCAGAACTGCACAGCTCCAATTTAGGTGTTGGACATTAAAAAGCATTAAACCCAAGTGAGTTTCCACTTATTGATTTTTCTGGGGCAACATTTCAACAGTAGGAAAATAAAGGCGGGTGGATGATGAGCAGCAGAGAGATGTCATTTTTATTTTGGAGAGAGAGGGAAGAACACAAAAGCAGAGGAGCGATGGAGTTAAAAATAATCCCTTTATTAGAAAATCTGTGAGAGAAAATAAAAAAATGTCAGCTCATAAAAACACATCCTCCCAAAAACACAAATCCATGTTTATTCAAATTCATTCAATCACTTCAAATCAGGAGAATTCAGCGAATATTCTCGAATCTGTGCGTCAAGATTTCATCCGGAATCATCCGAATCTGTGAATCTCCTCATTTGAATCAATCTATTCATTAAACACAAGGTCCCCCTGTAGGTCACACACCGACTGTAATCCGTTTTCACGGGGAGTATCGCGGCCCCACGGAGGAGTGTGTGTGTGTGCGTGCGTGTGTGTGTATGTGTGTGTGTGCGTAAAGACAGAGGCGCGAGGTGCCACTCCAGGCGCGCACGGATGAATGGGACTCCGAGCTGGAGCTATACGGTTCAAGTGTGTGTGAGAGAGTGTGGGAGAGTGTGTGTGTGTGTGTGTGTGTGTGTGTGTGTTTGAGTGAGAGACAGGGAGGGAGAGAGAGAGAGAGAGAGAGCTTCGTTTACATGCAAGCACCGTGGCACTAAATTACGCATGACAATAATTCACCCAGGACTGGATCCACTTTCGACCCGGGGAAAAACAGGAGGTGAAGCAGCTTCAGCTTCAGCTTCTCTCCGCCTTCCTGCTCGTTTTGTTGCTCAATAAGAAGAAAATGACATCATTTAAAAACCGAGAGAGAGAGAGAGAGAGAGAGAGAGAGAGAGAGAGAGATTCAAAACAAGAGAGAGGAAGAAGAGACAAACTTACCAAAACAAAACACTCCGTCTGTGGGTCCGTGGGTGAATCTTCCAGTCCGTGGGAGAAAAAAACAGAAGAAGAAAAGTTTTAGATTTTTTATAAAGTTGATCAACATTTAAAGTTTTCATTAATATTTAAAAACAGACAATTCGAACAGGATTAATCTGATTATTAGAAAATAAGAGAAAAACAAGATTAAATTCACACAAGAGAATCCAAGACTCCATATCCGAGCAGGATTTCTTTATGCTGCATCTGATTGCGTTTTTTTTAGGATGGGGGGAGTATTGGGGGGTGGGGGGTGTATGGAGGGGTAGCATAAACCAGTTCAGCCCCTTGATTGATGATTTAATTAGCCATACAGTGGCGAACTGCAGGAGGACAGGACACCAAATAATACTTTATTTACATAACCAATCAGGGCGCTGCAAAGGTGGAGCTTCCTCTCTCTCTCTCTCTCCCTCTCTCTCTCTCTCTCCCTCTCTCTCTCTCTCTCGCTCTCTCAGACATGGCTGAGATAGTTGACTTCTCTAATAAACGCGACATTCATCCTGTTGAGTCGTGTCAAAATCACTAAAATGACCCTGAACACCTCCTCTCTCTCAGTCCTGCACTTTAAATCTAAACTCCTTTTATTTGACTCTATTTTTATTATTATTATGATTCTAAATATTAATGTCTTTATGCTCCAAACACTCTGTGTCCTCAGAATATATCTGCAGATATTTGGAGGGTTTTTTTATTTTGATGTTTTTCTCGTGGAAAATAAAAATACACAGAAGCTTAAAAATGCAGTTTTGTTTCTGTTAGAGGAGCCGGAAGCATTTCCGTGATGCAAACACAGGTGAGGATGTACCTGCAGCAGACGGTGATGCTCCTGTAGGTGCATCCTCACCTGTCTCTGTAATAAAACTACAATTACGCACAGTTAGGATGCAGAAAACCGCGTTTTCAGTGCGTCTTTACGCATTTTTTAAATGGCTGAAATGTCTTTTTTATCCTAAAACATAAAAAAAAATAATTTCCTAAATCATCTCACTGAACTCCTTTAATTTAAATTAAATTACAATAAAGAAATGATCAATCTTTACATGGAGGAAATGGATCTGAGCGCGTGAAAGCTCCTTATTTACAGAAACAGGAAGAATCGAGCAGGTTTGAGCGTCAAAAAAAACGCCGTTTGACTCCATGAAAAGACATTTTTTGCAGCGTAGATAAAAGCCCAGCATCCCCAAACCTTTTGCAGTCGCAGCCAATTACAATAATGAAGAATATGTGGAATTGCCTCCCCACCCCAACTCCTGCATCCTGCCGTATCAAGCCTGCCATTTCTGCAAATTAAACGGAGTGGAAATAGAAATAAAGAAAAAAATCCTTACATGATTGCGGCTGGTGTGGACGCGCTCCAAGTTTCTCCCCCCTTTTCTCTACTCTCTCTCTCACACACACACTCACACTCACGCACACACACACACACACACACATGCTCGCACACATTCACACGGAGGAAAAAAAAGCCACACTGTCGCCTGTTCTTTGCTCCGCGTCGAAGCCCGACATAGTTGGTTTCACTCAAAAAGAGAAGAGATGGAGAAAGAGAGAGGAGAGTGAGGGAAAGAAAAGAGGAGGAAGAGGAGGAGGAGGAGGGAGAGAGAGAGCGAGAGAGAGAGCGAGAGAGAGGAGAAAAAAAACTTCACGTTCAACCCAGAAGATGCTCACGTTTGGCTCTCCTCAATTATCCCCTCCCGTGAAGATAGGTGGCGTGCGTTTCAGGGGGCTTCTCCTCCTCTGTGTTACACGGCAAAGAAAAGGAGGTGGAAAGAAAAAAAATGTCATTAGAAGAGGCGTAACACGTCAGTCCCTACCCAGGTTTGTTTCCTGGAGTGGGTGTAAGACATCAGTTGTAAACCTGCCCTAGCAGGAATAGCGGTCCCTCCCTCCTCCCAACTATTTCCAAGGCTTTTATTTCTAAGGCTTTATTATCACCGGTGGGGAACAGGATCCGCTCACCGACGCGCTCCGGTACCATCCTTTCCTCGCGACTCCTCTCCACGAGAGCCCTCTTTAAGACTCTGATCAGGTATGTCTCTCCTCACTTTTCCTATTTCGAGATTTTTTTATTCCGGGAAAATCTGGGATCTTAAACTTCCACGCGCTCGCCTCAGAGTTGGAGCTCAACTTCTCCTTACCTGCACAGGTGGAAATAGGTGCGTTTGTTTTTGTTTTTTTTTTTCCTTTTTTTTTTCTCTCCTGCTCCGCGGCGCTGAGGCGCGCTGCAGGATCCTGACAGCCGGGGAAAGTGCGCTTTTCACGGGGCGTTTGGCGCTGAACACCACCGCTGTCCTTTGGAGGAGAAAAGACGACATCCATCCCGATTTTCTCTCTTTCGCTTCTTTTATTCTCGGCTCTGTTTGTGTGTGTGTCTCCTGTCAGAGCCCGCTGCTCCTTCTAACGGGCTTTTTCTGCGCTGATAAATTAACAGGCGATTTCAATCTTATCGCTTTTGTTTCTGCGCAATTTGTGCCCTAAAGATTTTCCCTTCTTTTCCGGAGCCATTTGGCACATTTGAACAATTATTCCCCATCTGTTATTTATTAAGTGTTGACAGCAGGCTTTGGGTTTAGTTTATTAAAGCTCCAAGTGTAATTTTCTCCGTGTTTATTGGAGTTGTATGACTTTTAATCAGACCACACAGAGAGGCTGAGTCCTGGCTCAGTCCTGGCTCTGCCTCGCTCTCCCTCTCGCCGTCTTTAAGGTGAAAACTCCGGATTTGAGCTTTTCAATTTGACAGAAATTTGATTTATTAAGCTGTTTCAGCTTCTGTGCCAAATCCGGACTAAAAGCGCAGAACATGAACACACTGTGCCAGTTTGTAAGTCACAGATTAATTTCTCTTAATCATGAGGAAAAATACAAACCGGATTGGGAAAGTTTTGTGAGTGAAAAACAGTCTCCTGATTGTTTTCTCTGGGATCCCGATCAGCGAAATGAAAAGTGCTTTTCCTAATAAGAGAAATGAGAATTCCCCTCTTTTCTTTCTCTCTTTCTTTCTTTCTCTCCTCCTCGTGCTGCTCTGCTCTTAATGCCACAAAGCTGAGAGCCGATCAGCTGCAGATCCAAATGAGATGGACGCGGATCCCCTCTCCGCTCTTTCTCTTTTTCACAATCTCTCCCTCCATCCAACTTGCAGTTTCTTGTCGCGCGTCCGGCGCAAGTGGATCTCCTCGCTAATACCCACATTGTCTGTCCTCTGTCTGTGTGTGTGTGTCTGTGTGTGTGCGTGTGTTTCCCGTCAGATATCAGGCTGAAATCAAGGAATCGAGTCCATGCGAGCTGCCATCTGATCCCACACACACTTATCAATGAAGCAAGAGATCATGGCGGATGGCCCGAGGTGTAAGAGGCGAAAACAAGCCAACCCGAGACGGAAAAACGGTAAGAAATCAACCTGCTGCTCGATGAGGGGGGTATCTGTGGATGGAAGCCGGCTTTGGAGGCTCTCTGTGCGGGTCGGGGGTGTGTGAGGGTCCGCGGCTGGTGCGCTTTCCTGCCTTTACGCAGAGACAGAGGGACCGTGTTCCCCGGCTGGGAAACTGTGCGTAAGTGCGTGAGTGAAATCTGAGCAATCAGTCAAAAATAGCGGGTGAAAATGTGCGTGTCTGAGAGGGTTTGATCGTGGGAATAATGCCGAGGAGAAGTTGGAAACTTGTGGATGTAAAAGTTGCAGCGTAGCGGAGCCGGCTCGGGACAGACCCCGCCATGGGGGGACTGTGTGACGGTCACTCCGAGCGTCAGAGCAGGCTGGCTGCTGCTCCGTGTGTGGAAAGTCCACTCTGGTTGTTTGAGGAGAAACCGTTTTCCCTGCCTGTACTGATGCTTCGGTCGTGATTCGGGCCTTTCAGCCTCAGATTTCGGAGTCTTTTCGCTCCACAATAAAAGCTGTAGTTTGTGAGCCTGTCTGTAAGTTTAGGAGAGTGGAAGGACCGTTTCTAAAAAGATGACATGTCGGATAAATGCTGCACATTAATTGGGTGTGTTGGGGGAGCGCTGGAGGTGCAGATTTGTTGCTTTTCTTCCTCCATTTGACTGCACACTTTCCCACAAGAGGCAAATCTGCTCTGACATTTCCTGGCCCCGTTATTCCTGATTATTCCATATAGGCTCAAACACACACTCTATGTGTGTGTGTGTGTGTGTGTGTGTGTGAAATATAGAGATGAGGCTTTTATTTGCTCTGCTCCACAACAGTTTTTAAATCTCTGCCCCCACAGGTTATTTATCTAGATCAGATTTCATTTATTGATCGCACACAATCGATAGCAGACAAGCATTTTGTTCCACATTAAACAGCAGCAGCAGCAGCAGCAGCAGAGCCATGCTGGAGATTTCTGCTCTGTGTTTGTTAATTTATATATTTATTTATTAATGTACATGAGCAGGATTCAGAGGAAAAGCAGACACACACATTTGGAGATCTGACAGCCTGTTTAGCTGTGGCCACCTGTTTTGCAAAAGGGGGGGGAGTGTTAGAGGGAGAGAAGCAGTCCAAATGCAGCGTTTGATAAAATAATATTAGCAAAGCAAATATAATTTTCACACCCTTAAACCTGAGGAGACACGGCGAGCTTTGGCACGCTGGGAAAAAGAATATTTTTATCCCTCCTGGTGCAGGAGAGTGTGCATTAAAAAATAGATTTAAATTCTCCATGTAAGCTCGCCTTTATTTTTCTTCTTCTTCTTCTTCTTCTTCTCTGTCTGATGATCCCCCTCCTCTCCTTCCTCCCCCTCCTCACCCTCTATCCTCCCCCCTGGGAATGCAGAGGCTTATTGAGGCTTGGCCACTCTCCTCTCCTCTCCCTGTCTCTCTCCGCCTGTCTCTCTCCGTCCCTCTTCCTGCCTGGCTCTGATGGCAGGGCAGGGCGAAGCGGCCGAGGGACACACTCTCAATCCTCGGGCGAGAGAAATGCACCAAAAAATGCACCGTGCACACACACACACACACACACACACAGACGCAGACGGAGGGGATTTAGCTAAATATTTTTGCCGATTGAGAGCGGATGCACTCTGAGTTCATTTTTCTGAGAGGTTCGACGAGCAGAGATGAATTTTAAATTTGTGATTTTACTCTCAGAGTTTTTCAGACTCATTTCCATCCTGATGAAAATTCTCTCGCCTCCTAAATTAGTGAAAAATTTTCTAAAATGTAGTTTCTGATTTTTTTTAATTCGTCCTCTCAGATGTAAAATTATCTGGATTATTTTTGTCCAAATAAAGGAGGGGGGGTGTGTGTGTGTGTGTATATGTGTGTATATGTGTGTGTATATATGTGTGTGTGTGAGGGGGGGGGGGGTGTATGGCAGCATTCTTGCCAATTAGTATTAATGAGGCATTTGCTCACTAAGTTGTCTACCCAATGACATTCTCATCCAGATGACTGTTGGCCTTCAGGGCTGGAGGTGCTACAGTAGCTTTACTCACTCACTGGCCGGCCTGTCATGTGGTATTTAACCACAGTTATGACTTATATCCCCCTCCTCATCCTCATCCTCCTCTTCATCCTCATCCTCGCCGCGCCGCTGTCGCTGCAAGTGTCCGTTTCCCTCCCTCCCAGCTGACACGCGATATTTAAAAAAGCGACTGAAAAAGCGTGAGAATATTTTCTCGACGAAAAACCTCTCCTGGTGTGAAACTTGATCCCGGCAGCGTGAAGCGTTTGAGAGTTTGGCCTCGCCAGGTGTTGCTTGTCACATCCAGCTGTGCGGCGCTCACACACCTGTCCAGATCTCCCTCAAAAACACGCCTGCTGCTGCTGCTGCTGCTGCTGCTGTTGTCTTAGTGAAGCATTGTCTCTCTTTGGTTGGAGATTGTCTGTGTTCAGGGGTAGAAAAGGAGCACGCTCAGATTACGCTGCTGTTTTATTTTCCTGATTGATCCAGTTTGATGACATTTGCACGTCAGGAAACGCTGGATTACATAATCTGCAGCCGCAGAAGGAGAGGATGAGGCCGGCCTCCTCCTCTGCCTCTCTCTGCCTCTCTCTCTCTGCGTCTCTGTGTCTGCTAGAGTTTGATATAATAGTCTGAATGTGCTTATTATCACAGATTTAAGGTGCAGGAGGAATAGGGGCAAAGCTGTGTGTGTGTGTGTGTGTGTGTGTGTGTGTGTGTGTGTGTGTGTGTGTGTGTGTGTGTGTGTGTGTGTGTGTGTGTGTGAGAGAGAGAGAGAAAGGAGGAGGAGGGGGAGTTAGCCTTGCTTTCAGGCGCAGACAATGCCACATTTCTGCCAGTCTAAACAATTTGTCCATCTCTATTCTTCCTCTAAAGTTGCAGGAGAGAATAAGAAGGGAGGGGGGGGACAAGGTGCTGCCTTTCTTCTTCTCTTTCACCCCCTCTTCTTCCTCCTCCTCCTCCTCCTCCTCTGTTTTTCTCCCACAATCTCTAGGTAGGGGTGGCCTTTTTTTTTTCTTTTTTTTTTTTTTGCAATAGCACCCACTAAAAAAAAAAGGGGGGAGTAAGAGGAGGAGGAGGAGGAGGAGGGCAGGTTTCGCAGGGCTCTTGCGGACAATTGATTGTCAGCGGTAATGTGTTTCATTTACATGTTTATACCGTCAATAGTGGCGGGGGGTTGTCCAGTTTAGCGTGCCATTCACTCGCTGCCATTCCCAGACACCTCGCTCTGCTGAGGGCTTTTATTTTGTAGGAATGAGCAGGATATGGAGGATTATTTAGTTTAAAGAAAATGAAGAATCAGAGTGTGAGATTCACACACACACACACACTCTCTCTCTTCATGTTAAACAGCTCGACGCCGGGCTAATCAGGAGCCATATTTGTCCTGTCACAACTACACATTGCACTTTGGCGTGCTGCGTGAGGCCTTATTATTCTCCGGTAGCCTTTTTTGCATCCGTTTTTTTCCTCCCTCGGCTGCAGAGCTAAATATATCCATCTGCTCAAAGTGTGTGAGTCAAGTGTGTGTACAGCACAGCGCGTAAAAATGAATGGACTTCCCCTGACGAGATGGCGGTGATTCGGTGTTTAGGAGCAGAAGGATGTGTGTCACAGCAGCCACAGTTTTTCACCACTTTATTTTATTTCACGTGTGTGTGTGTGTGTGTGTGTGTGTGTGTGTGAGTGTGTGTGTGTGTGTGTGTGTGTGTCAGTGTGTTTCTCCGAGCTGATATGTTAAACGACAAATCCTCTAATATGAGCTTCCACCAGGAATTAAATCAGGAATGTAGCTCAGCAACAGCCGCTCACAAACATGCAGCTTTTTCTCCCCTCCTCTCTCTCTCTCTCTCTCTCTCTCTCTCTCTCTCTCTCTCTCTTTGCCGCTTTGATAAGGCAGATAAAAGCAAATAGCATGGCTTGTGGCTGCGCGCACACACACACACACACACACTTAAAAAACAAAAAGAGAGAAAAAAAAAAAACACTAATGATCATTTCGACTCGGTCCTGGACACTGGGCTGAAAAGTTTCCCCCCTAAAAAAATCAGAAATAATTTGACAGATTTTTATTTTTTTATTCTCCTCCTCCTCTCCTCCTCTCCTCTCCTTCTCCTCCGTCGACCGCCCTGCTTGTGTGAAGATATTTTTTGCGCCTGGCGGCCAGAGAACACACACTCGCAGAGGCACCGCGAGCCCGGACCCCCTGACACCGCGGGTCTTTGGAATGCCTTAGGTACGATTTCACTTTCGCTCACATCAATGCTGACCTGAATGCCTTTCATATCTGATCCGCCGTGTCTCTCCTGGTAAACATCCCCCCGGGGGGAGAACAAAGAAAAGGAGCTCCTCTTCTTCTTCTTCTCCTTCTCCCTCTTAATCACAATTCAGCCCCCTTTCGCCCGCCAGCAGCAGCAGGGCTACACATTTGCATTCAGCATCAGAAAAAAGGGCCTGAGATGAAAAGGGGGGCGAGAGAGGAGAGGAGAGGAGAGGAGAAAAAAAAAGGAGAGCAAGAGAAGAAGAAGAAGGAGAGGAGGAAAGGAGAAAACAGGGAGAGAAAGAGAGAGAGAGAGAGGAGGGGTGGGTGGAGAGAAATAACTAGGGTGTTTGTGGTTGTTTGTTGGTCGTCCCCTGGTTACAAGCCTTTTATAGCCTCCACTACTCGAGCAGGGACCCCCCCTCCCTGACAGACAGATAGTGTTACGAGATGGCATGCCCACACTATTCGTGGCGAGTCACACTTAAAGGAAGAGAAGAAGAAGAAGAAGAGAAAAATCCTCCAGTGGAGGAGATAAGAGTCGGAGCAGGTGTCTGCTCCTCCTCGGCCTTTTTTTCTCTCCGCTCCTTCAGACGGCGAAAACTCCATCAGTCAGCCGACGCTTGTCGTGATTTTAACCGAGAATAGAGTCCACCTGTGTTAGCGTTCATATTTTCTTTATAGTGAGGTTCATTTAAATTCTTCATGTCTGTATTATCTGAACAACCTGAGCTGTAAGGAAGGCTGCACGACCCGAATCTTCTTCGGTTTAAATGTGGAAAAAACAGGAAAATCTTCTCTGTGTTTTTGTCCAATTTTACAAAATAAACCAGAAAAGAATTCATCCTAAAACAGCCGTAAAATCAGCAGAAAGAAAAAACGTATTTCTGACATTTCTGATGATGATTCTGAGATCGTTTTTCTGTGCAGAGAGCAGAATCAGTTCATCTGCATAGAAACACTTTCTGCTCATGCTAACCTCATTTTTTAAACACATATTTAAAATATTTCATATCCTTAAAGTTTCTTCTTTAACGGTTTAGTATTTTATTTTAAAGATCATTTAGAAAAAGGATGATGGGAACGATGATTTCCCGCCGCCCGACCACAGCCGCCCCCTGCTGCCCGCGCCTTTCCTCCATGTTTGTTTTTATCGAACAAACATAATCTCATGACGTCATGAAAAATCTGCATCACGGTGGTTTTTAAAGTCTGAGGTTGTATGAAGATTAAATCTCTGTTTGATAGTTTTCAGTTTAAATTGATTCAAACGAGTCGATGAAAAAGAGAAAAAAAATCTGCTGAAAAATGACGTAATGCTCCTTTAATTTAAACACAAACCGCTCTTTATCTGTTGCTTTACCGAAATGATTAGCAGGATATCTTTATCACCTGATTCCCATGCTGGATGTATGCAAATCTGAGGCAAAGATGGGGGCATGAAAGGGAGGAAAAGGGGGAGGGTGGGGGTACACGGCTCTTTAAATGGCATCATGTGATATGGATTCCACTTTCTCTCTCTCCCTCTTTCTTTCTTTCTTTCTTTCTTTCGTCCCCTTCTCTTTCAGAACTTTTTTTTCTTTTTTGGTTAAGAAGAAGGATTATCGGTACACCTTCCCCCCTCCCTCCCTTTTCTCCTCCCCCCTCCCTGGCCAAGCTGCGCAGGATTTAGGCAGATTTACTTCAGCAAACACCTTTGGACACTGGGGGGGAAAGTAGGAGTCTGTTTGCAAAAGGGGTCTTTTGTTCCGAGAGGTTCTGGATAAAGCCTTACCAGGCAGCCGTGATATTAACCCGTGCTTTGGAGAAGAAGAAGGGATCTCTTTTTTTTTTTTTAGGGTGGGGGGGGGGTTAACTCTTTGTAGGAGGACCCTCTGCTCCCTCTGCATCCCCCGCCTCCCCCCTTTAAAAAAAATCCAAACTGCCTTTCTGGAGCTCGGTGTTGAGTTTTGTTGTGATTTTTGTGGTTTTGGAAAAGCTGCAGAAGTTACAGTGTATTTTGGTGGATGCACGCTCACACACACACACACACACATAAACACACTAACACACACACACTCACGCACATGCATAGAGTAACTGCCAAGAACGATGAAAGCGAGAGCGGTGGCTGGGCTCCGCTGCCTGACTAACACCGAGGCATGAATCAGCCAATAGCGAGCCAACTCTGCGCCCTGTGACTTCCCTTTATGTTTTAAACGACAATAATGATGTATCGCACAAAACAATGCGGCGACACGGGCAGCGACGTGGCATTCCCCGCATGCTTTTGGCCTGAATCAGCCGCGCTCCGAGTAAAAATGGAGGCCGTTTTCTGGAGAGGCAGATTTGAGAGCGCGGCAGCTGAACTGTTGCTGAACTTGTGCTTCGGCCCCAGAAGGCACCGCTGCAGAAAAATCCGGTTTTCTCGCCGTTTGATACCGGAGCGGTGGGTCAAATTAGGCGAGTTCTGCCGGGCCGTGACAGAGGAGTGAGTTTTCATTTGTTCAGAGTGACGCAGGGGTTGTCAGGAGTCCAGGTTTGTGCAGAGATGAGGAGTGATGGAGCAAAGGTGACAGACTTAAAGGTGTTTCAGTGGCGGTGGCGTTCTGCCTGTCAAACCCTGACCCACCTCCTCTCTCTCTCTCTCTCTCTCCCTCTCCTCCTCTCTCTCTCTCAGGATTTGACAGGTCGTATCACCCCCCCCTTCACTGTTATGCACGCCTGTTCTGCGACACGCTAGTCTAAGTAAAGTTGCTCTGCAGTCAGATGTCTTTTCCCTGCTTCCCTGACTTTATTTCATGCCTTCTTGCTTGTTTTCTCCTTTTTTTTTTCCTCTCTCACTCATCCCCTGTTTTTCTTCTTCCTTGTGATTTTGACAAAAAAGCAAACACCCAAATTGAAAACTTCACTGGTCCGGCAAATAATTGCATGCATTTGCTGTTTTTCATTTACGTGTGTACACTCTTTACCCTAAGCCGGCATGTTTTATGCATTGCGTAGGACGGGGAGACGCATTCTGAAATATCATGCCTCATTTGAGTCTTTCTCAAGTGAAAATGCAAAGTCTTTATTTGGCCCATCCGTTCCGTCTCGTCCTGCTGTTTGCACTTATTCAGTTGTTGCGCCTGCGTCTCGCCGTGTGATTTTTCGACATTTTCCACGCGTCGACTTTCTCTCCCATTTGCGAGGGAGTCTGGGCGCGACAGACGACAGGTTGTCGAGCAGGTGTAAACTAACTATTCGGATTTCATAATCGGATGGCAGGGGGGCGAGAAAGGAGTTTGAAAACACCTTTTTTTTCTCCCAACAATGGTATATGTCGGGAGTCTGTTCTTCCAAATGAGAAGTGATCCAAGAATAACTTCCAGGTTTAGAGTTTTTGGAAGAGTAGCCTCGTCATTTTCCGCTTTTTTTGGAAGATTTGATGTAATTTTTCTGTGTGTTTGAGTGTCTCAGTGTCACGTGAGCTCAGATCTGCACTTAGAGAGTTAGTTTTATGGAGAAACAAAGAAGGAGACCAAACACACATCACAGCTTCTTCAAGTGTGTGTGTGTGTGACTTTTCTCTCCCGTCACCCGTAAAAGCGGCGCTCAGCTCTGTGATGTTCCTGCAGAAAAAAGCAATCACCTCCATCGCCCATTAAAATGATTTTTCTGCCTGTTTTTTCTGCAGCAGCTGCTTCAGAGACGACACCTTTGTGCAAACAAGTGTTGAAAGCAGCCTCCAGTTTTCTCCCCGCTCTGATGTCGGCACCGCTGATCTGCAAGCGCCGCTCGCTGCCACATGTGCACACACACACATTTAAAGGAAGCGCACGCATGCGCACGTGAACGCGCGCAGACGCACACTCTTTGATGTGTGTTTGATTGTCGGGTGGAAGAGCTCTTCTGGCAAGGTCACGGCCGCGTGGAACAATCAATAACAGATCAGCAGATTAAGGCGCGGTGACATCTGGAAATCTGGGCCGGTTTTTAAAGAGGACTCCACACGCCGGCTCTTACCTTTCATTCAGGATAATAGAACATGCTTTTTGATCAGGACTCGCTTTCGGACTCTTCTTCATTATTCACAAGGTGTCCCGCTTCCTCACCACCTAAGTGCGCCCCTCTCGTTACCTCCTTTTCTTCTCCGTCTTTTTTTCATTTAACGAGGACTTGTCTGCTTCCGTTTGAGCTCCGGTTTCCTCCTCTCCTGGAAGTAAATTCAGATGTGTTATCTCGCTTTAATTGCAGCCGATTGCCGAGCGAGATTAGGACAAAATTAGGTCATTTTGCGGTTGCACAAATTCCACTCACTTCCACGCTTTCATCTTCGCCGTTGATCAAGCACCTTCTTAAGCGGAGGTTGCAGCGGAAAAGAGGAAATGGTCAGAAATTGCTCGGGCTTCGTTGTTATTCAAACATACATTTAACCTTTGGCAAGAGTGAGTCAAGGAGAGGAGAAACACGGAGCGAGGAGGGAGGGGAGGGAGGGGGCGCCGCCGCCGTTTAAATGTCATCTGTGCTGCTGCAGTCAGTGGACATGTGTAGCCGAGTCGTCCCCGTTCAGAACCCAGAGAGGTGGATTCACGTGTTAATGAGTTGTGACGGGAGAGGGAGCCCCCGCTCCTGAACGCCTCGTGTCCCGCCGCTGTCAAACGCGGATGTCAAACAAACACCTCCTCAGGTAGCGGGGGGATAATCACACCGACAGGCCTGTCCTCAGCCTTTCTGACGTGCAGGACAAACATGATCTGAGGCTGCAGATAGAGAGAGAGGAGAGGAGAGGAGAGGAGAGGAGAGGAGGTCTGCGGGGTTTCAGGGACCGAGTTTTGGGCAAGGTGGAGGATCTGGAGGTCAGAGACTCCGGGAAAGTTCAGAAACATCAACATTTTTACATCCTCGTCTTCACAGTGACCTCAGATAAAAAGTCAAGCAGACGGAGACGTGATGATTTCTGCATCTTTGATAACCTGCATGTTGAAAAGGAGGAGAGAGAAACCTGGTTCTGTTTTTATCAAAGGTTCATGTTTTCTTGATTTGCATTATTTCTCGTTCGGCTCCTTCAGACTCAAACAAACTACAAATGCTTTCACATGCAGACTTTAGGTTCACATCAAAGAGGCCTGAAGGTTTTGGGTCTTTGTAGTTGTGGTCATAATTTTGGTCTGGGTGACAAAGTAAGTCTCCAGGATCTGGTTTTGGGTTTTGAAACACTCTCTTTCAGGGAACAGATACCGTGTGATTATTATCATTATGCCCTTATTTGAAGTCACGATGAAGTGATAAATCTGCGGTCTGTCCCTGTGGTTGTGGCTGCAGTTTCGCTCTCGACGCCTGAGCGCTCTGGCCTGAAGCGGGCTGATGTGAGTTTTGGCTGAGTTTTGGTCACAGATCCTGTTAAAGCCCGGCTGCTGAGGGCTGAACGGGTATTTCCTGACCCAGAAACCTGATGGGGGACGGCAGAGATTGGGTCACAGATGGAGGCCGGGTGCTTGATTGGGCCCTGTGACTCAGCCCGGCCTCTGGAGGATGTTGTGAGTTTGAGCTGAAGGAGAAAGTTCGTACACTGAGACTTGGTTCGGTTCTGCCTGCTCCAAAACTTGGTCCTGGAGTCCCCCACCTCCATCTCTCCCTCCTCCATCCAGTCAGTCAGTCATCTAAGCAGTCAGCCCGCTCTAATTACTTCTCCCCCACCCAGGGGAAGCTACTTCCTTATCGCTCGGCCGTCTTGCTCCGGCATTCCTGAGATAAATTCCCCTCCACTTTGTTATTCTTACTACTTAGGGGTATTGGAATTAGCATGTCCATCAAAGCAGACCTTGTACTCTTGTGCTTCTTTTCCCACCCCCCCTCCTCCCTTATGACCTTATCAGTGGTCATACATTACAGGCGGGCATGGGGGACGTGCCCACGGGCAGCAGAGGTGAGTAACGGACAAAAGGTATGGCGCCCGGTGTGTCTGAGGGATGATGAAGCGATGCTAATGTGCAGCCCGTGGCGTTTTACCGCGGTCTGGCCTTTTTGGAAGCGCAGGTACTTCAGGGCGGCGTGGAAAAGGATTCGTCAGGTAGCGCGTGTAAAGAAGCGGCGACCTTTGAGGCTCTTCATACCTGCTCAAACCGCCACGGAGTCAATAATCAGAGCTCATTCAGACCCGTTTTTGATCAGAACCGAGCCCCCTCACTTCCTTCCTTCCTTCCTTCCGCTCCTCGCCGTATGTTTCCCAACATGGTTTTATACCTCAACAAGCAAAGCAGACGCCGCCTTCTAAACTGGCAATCACAGTATCCCTAATGTTATTACTTTTCATAATTAGTTACAGCAACACTCATTCCACGACTGGCGGAAAGGAGTATTCCTTAGTAATTAAGGTAATGAAATATTCATTTATGCTACCTTTTCAGCAGTCGCACAAATGAGCCAGCCGTGCTTAATGTCCGCCCTGCCTCTGATTTTATTATGATGGCAGACTGGCACATCTGCAATTAGCGCCTGCGTTGACAGTTAGCGTTTTTTGCGCGGGGCGGTAAGCAGAGGGAGGTGAGGTGAAGCGGCGGAGGGGAGGGGGGCGCCCTGCTGTGACTACACCCCCCTCTGAACCCCACCTTCCTCTCCTCTTTTTTGTGCTACCTTTATCCCCTCCTCCCCCCGCCGTCTCCTCCCCGACGGAGAGGTTACCTTTTCCCAACGGTGCAAAATCGACTTGACATAACTGTTCATCAGTTTCAGCCCCCCCGCCCGCCTCTCCCTGCGACTCCCCCCCTCCTCACCCCGAGGTAGTTTGCATCAAATCAGGCCCAGTCAAGCTTCAAGTGGAAATTGGCAGGCCAGAACCTGACAGAGGAGAGAGAGGGAGAGAGAGGGAGGGAGGGAGGGAGAAGTGAAGCAGGAGAGTCTGAGGGATGGGAAACTGAACTACATCCAAGATGGTGGCCGTGGGGTCAAGCTCTGGGGTCAAGTCCCAAATCAGATCATGATGCAGGTAAACCTGATTTACCGCTCGCTGTCGTTTTTGGATTCCTCGTCCGTGTTTTCGAGTTTCCAAAAATTCATACAGTTTATTTAAAATAACCGTCATCATCTTCACATTTAGGCTGAGCAGATATCCGTGATTCACCTCGGAGAAGGTGTGAATAAAATCCACGCAGCATTAGAGAGAGAGAGAGGGCACGCCGGAGCGCCACTTTTCCTCTCAACTGAAATAACTTTTCAAGACTGGAGGTGAAGAAAGATGCTATTTCTGCAGCGACTGAACGTGTTAGAGATGTACAGAGTGATCGTCAACGCGGGGACGAGGCGCCGCAGGAATAAGACACGCTCTAACAACCATCCATGAACTCCACGTGGATGTAGATCTGATTCTGTTGGTCCTGGAGTATCGGTCCAGGAGACTTTTTTGTAGATCTAGTCATGATCCATCAGAATACCGAATTTCATCCTTCTAGGTTGAAATTTTGAAGAATTATAGGGGGCGCCACTGAGCCGTCAAGCACTGAGAAACTAAACCTGTTTTAAACATCCTCTTCCTTCACGAGGCTTGTCGCTACCCGATCCGTCCTGGAAACCCGGATCAGGTAGTGTACCATGTGTACCACTTTTGATGACTCAAGTATCTCAAACGCCTCATTAACCTACTTCCTGTTTGATGCTAGTGCGCGGTACGACTTGTCTAAATAAGGTTAATTCATGAAAGATGATTGAAATAATAAAATTACTTGAACTTATTTGGACAAAAAGCACAACAACAGTACCAAGAACAGCTTTAGTAAGACTGTAAACAAGCCTGTATTATGAGGCTAAGCGCTAATGCTAACGCTAATGCTAATGCTAGCTAGCTAGCTAAACATTCCAGCGTGCGAATAATTTGTCATTTTTAATTTGACGTTTTTGGATCGGTAATGAGAGGGTTCGGTGCTGGACCTGCGAGGACGTGTTTATGTGCCATCGATTTGAAAATGGCTGACACTCGCAAAGAGTCACACATGTTCGCCAGGCGACAGCACATCTGCACACACACACACAGACACACAACGTCACCCACAAACACACTCCAGATCTGCATATTTGGCCACACATGCACACATTATACACACATTGGCACACTCTTAGGCCTATATATATCACACACACACTCACGCACACTTCACACACGCTCACACGCATGCTAATTGGCGTGCAGACAGGTCACAGCAGACGCAGATGTGCCGTTTTCTTCTTCTTCTTCTTCTTCTGTTTCTTTCTCGCTGCTGAAGCTCGCCGCGGCCTCGGAGGGGAACAGAGAGGGACTTTGTGATGAAACTTTTAGTGAATCTCGCTGCTCCAGTTCTGTCGCCGCCACGTCACGGAGCTCAGAAACGCTGCGTCCTCCCCCCTCCTCACCCACACCTGCTCCCCCCACAGCTGTTATATATTCTTATTAAAGCCGAGTTGGAGAGGTGCAGATGATCGTGTTTTTGATCACTTTCTCCCTTTACTTTCTCCTCTTCTCCACCTCCTTCTGTCTTCATCTTCCCCTCACTCATATTTCTCTCCCCCTACCTCCCTCCCTCCCCCGTTTGCATGTGCTCTGACGGGGCTGATGGCCGTTTCGACAGGGGCAGCATTGAGGTAAAACGGTGTGACGGCAGAGTTTTGTTAAGCCGAGAACAAAGGCTCAGAGATGCCGGGCCGAGGCCATTGTCCCGCCGCCCGTATTGGCCTTGCCACAGTTTTGCAGGATTTAATGCTCTGTTTACCTCCAGCCAATCGCGGCTAATATTCAAAGAGGAGCTTCTTCCTTTTTAGACGCACCTCAGGATGATTTCAGATAGACCCGTAAAAACCGGATTCAGAGAGAGCTGCAGAAAAAAACGAGTTTGTAACTCGGTATCTTTGGATTAAACGTCAGAGGAGAAACCTTCATCTGCTTTAGAAAGACTCTCCACCCTCTCCTGTAAAGATGACCACACCGGTTTCAGACCTCCACCCCCCCACAGAAAGTGTCTGTCACTGTGACTGGGAGAGAGATATGAGGCAAGTGTGTGTCTGTGTGTGTGAGAGTGTGTGTCTGGTCCGTTGGAGTTCCCCTGCATGGTCTTTGGGCAAACTGAAAGCAGCGCTCAGTGGGATTAGGGAATGAGTGTTGCTGGGGGTTGGCTGTGGGTGGAGGACACAGAGCACAGGAGGATTCTGGGAGTTTTTTTCTGCCCTGTGGCTGCAGGGATCTCCATAGGTTTTCTATAGGAGCGGTCCGGTCCAAGTAAAACCTGTGAAAGGGTGCAAACACAAGTCCTACATCCAGGAACGCACGACAACAAACGGTGTGTTTTCATTTTTACTGCGACTGTCACTCTGACACCGACATAAAAGCAAACTTTCGGAGAACAAGGGGCAATAAACGCGGCGGAAAGCGCCGTCATCGAACCCAATGATAATTTCACGAGGGCATAAAGATTATGAGTCCATTCCAGTAGCACCCATCTGTGCTTTCATTCGCCGCTATATACGCGGCGTGTAGTTAAAGAGGAGGCTGAGGAAGGAGAGGGGTGACTTTCATTTGGTGAAATAGTTTGTTAAGGTCAGGAAGACGAGGGTGTAATCCTCCTCCTCTTCGGCGTGATGGACAGGCGAGGAGGCCGTCTGCGGTTTGATTTTTGGGGGGAGAAGAAAACAAATGAGACACCTCCTCACAAATCCTCCTGGAGCTGCTCCGGCGATTAACGGGTTAACCAAATGAAACAATTTGTCAACACACAAACTCGCTCTTTCCAAACCTCTTTCTGCAGAAGCGTTTTTTTTTTTTTTTTTTTTTTTGCAAAACAATTACAAAATTACAGTAGATAAAAACTGAACGGCGCCAGTATTTATGCAATCAACATAACGAAGAAACAAAACAATTTAATGTGGAAAAATCATCATTCATCTGCATTATAATTGCTTCTCTTTCACATCTACGGGGATGGTTAATTAAAATTGTGATTAAATGCGCCTGCACTGCCTAAGATGTCTTCCCCCTAAACAGGTGCTACAGAATTTAAAAGTAAAGAGAAAAAGCTAATTAGCATTGGAAATTGAGAAATTGCCTGCAAGAATCAGTGTTAATTTCACTCACTGATGAGGTAATTTATAAAGGGGGAGCGCCGCCGCCGCCGAGGAGGAGGAGGAGAGTCTGTGCAACACCAGAGATTGCTGCAACACCGACTCCTCCACCACCCCCCACCTCCTCCTCCTCCTCATCATCCCAGCTTTCCCAGTGTGCAGGTGAAGCTGTTTGGAAAACATTGAAGCTGTTTGGTATTCTGTCTTCGTTAGAGTTCATCTGTGCCCCCCCGCAACAGCCGGAGTAAACACCAAAGACTAAATAATGATATGTTAGGGCACACACACACACACACACACACACACACACACACACACACACACACACACAGATGAAACGAGGGATGGGGAAACGCACGTGAGTCATTAGGAAGTCGAGGTTTATCCAGGTGTGAAAACACAGAGTTCACTCTTCTTCTCCAAAAGCTCAGATCCGAGTTTTAAACTTTTCACTTCGACTTAGGAAAAACACGACATCAAGACGGGGATGGCGTGGTTTTTTCCTACTCAGCTCCGATCAGAGGAGTTTGGACGCCGTCCTCTGCCCCGCTCAGAGTTTCCAGAAACATCTCAGATACTGCTGATCTCCGGCGCTCGTGTACTCCACCTCCCCTCCGCCCCCCTCGTAATTACCTGTCATTGTCCATCATTATAGTTGGCCTTGGAGAAATGTCAGGCCTGGAACGAGCCGGAGCCAAACTGTTCCATCATGTTCAGAACTTGGCCACCGCCGCCGCGTCGCAACCCTCTCTCTGAATTCCCCCAAAGTCCGATCGATCTCAGCGAGTCTGTTTATCTGCGGTCTGGGAAAGATGGCGGCGGAGTGGAGGTTAGTTTGGGATTCCAGCTCAGAGGGGTGCCCTCCCTTCATGGGTGGGTTTCCAAACTTTTCTGCATTTAAAGAGTTTTTTCAGTTTGCACGTTTAAACCTTCTTAGTTTGACTTTTGAAGGATAAACGAACAGAGAGAGAAGACTCCAGGTCAGGTTTCTAACAGACGCTCATGTGTTTGTGATCGTTTCAAATAAAAACCTCAAAATTAAGAATTCCTCGCTCCTCCGTAAATATGAAAATGCAGATTTTAATCTGCGGCAACAACTTAAAAACGTAAAAAAGTAATAAGTTACTGTCCTGTCCACTCAAACTGGAGCCAATAAAAGGTCACTTAACTAACCAACAGACCTCTACAGGGATCGACATGGACTTTTTTATAAGTTTAAAAAGTAAGGAGCACACAAAAGGGCTTTAGGGGCAGAATGAAAATTGATCGAATAATGTTTGTCTTATTGATTGACTTAAATACAATTATTTGAAATCAATTTTAGATCGATTGATCACATGACATTGAAGCTATTGTAGGAAATGTTCAAAATTTCCCTCTAAATTTAACACAAAAATATTAAGAGGACAAATTAGGGAAATAAAGAGGTGTGTCTCATTGTCCGATCTTAGTACTATTATTTGAAATCAATTTTAAGTCTTTTGGTCACATGACAGTGAAACTATTGAAGGAAAACAGCCTTTTCTGAGAACATCAACCAGTAATTTATTGAGGGTCCCTTATTCAACACCGACGTTGACATCCTCGCTAATACCGATATATCCTCAGTGAACGTCCATCAAATTTTCAAATTAAAACTAACTTCACCGTGATTTTCTTTACGCGCTCATGTGTCTCTAAATACATTTTACAATTCGCACACATTTATTTTTAGTCGAGTTAAACGGTCCCACCATCGAGCCCCGCTCTATCCAAACCCCAGTTGGGTTCCCCGTCTTCTTGGCTGTGTGTCTGAAGTCCCCAAACTCCGTCATGTCCCTCTGCTCTGGTCTGTAAAAACTCGAACAGACGTGACACCAGCAGCTGAAGTTCTCAGAGAAATTGGCGTTGGACAGGTGGGAGAGCGGGTTGAGCTAGCAGGCCGTAGGTCATTAGGCTTCCACGGCGGTGGAGCTGAAGCATCACGCCGGCGTCCACGAGGTGAAGAAAAAAAAAAAAGGAAAAGCCAATTTGCTGAGACATACTCTGTCGACCTTTCATCATAACTGGAGCTTTTTTCTTTTAGATTAAGTCCAGTGAGCAGAACTCAGCCGCCTGTCAGACCCTTAAGCCCCACACCCCACACCCTCCACCCCTTCACTTTTTAACAATCGTCTCTCTCACTCAGCCTCAAAGCTCCCCCAACTTTCTCCGGCTGCTATGTGACAAATCATGTACTTTACACCCCGCCCGTCTGCGCCCCCCCACCGCCGCTCCTGACATCCAAGCTGCTCTGTTGCGAGGCCGCATTCCTCCCGGTCCTCTCATCACAAAACCTGAAGGTGTTTGAGGGATTTCACACCCAGTCCAGAACGTTCCCCGTGATCCACTGTAGCATCTCTAAGGTTGGAGAAGACCTGCAGATCTGTGCTCCACTTTATTATGAAGCAGAAGTTGCACCAAACTCTCAGATTGTAGATTTCGGATCTGTCATCTGAGCGTCTCTGAAAAAGGTTTTTAGAGCAGCTGCTGCAGATTCAAGAAGAACACGGAGGAACCGGTCCAAACTCTCTCAACCTCAGCCCCGCTCCTCCATGATTATTTTATTTCAGGATTTCTCCCCCTCTCCTCCTCCTCCTCCCCCTCTTCTTCTTCTTCTCTTTTTTCCTACTCCGAGTCACTCCGCTGAACAGGTCAGGCAGTAAGTGACAAGGTATTTCGTCGTTTTGTGAACCTTTGCCAGACTGATTGTTCGGTGCAAGTGTAGTGTAACTGAGCCGCTTGTAGCTCGCCGGAGTGTGGAAAATAAGATCGAGGACTGATTTTTTTTCCCTCCCTCCCTCCCTCTCTCTCCCTCCCTCTCTCTCTCTCTCTGTCTCTCACTTGCTTTTACAACAATGTGAGATAGTAAAATAGATATCCAGTGGCCGGGCGAGAGCTCCCGTGCGCCGGCGTTGCTGTCGCTCTTCATACATATCCGTTCCACCTGACAGCCCGCTGCATCGCTCCAACATTTACACTCGCACCAGTTTGACCCGTGACCACTTGTGCGCTATTACCGCCGCTCTCGCTCCTCTGTTTGCACCCAGGTTATGAGCGTGAGCCGTCCGCGTACCGCCAGCGCCGCTCAGAAGCTCTTTAAGTTGTCGACGCATTTCTGCCCCAGTGAAAGTACGACCAAGTCTAGTCCTGTTTCTGGTTAGAAGTGGAGTGGTGACGGTCGGTTTACGGGCTGGAATAATAAATCATGAGTGTTTGCACCAGAGCTGACTCACAGTGAAAGGCAAAATAAAGAAAGAGAGAAAGAAAGAAAGAAAGAGGGAAAGAAAGAGGGAGTATTTTCATTTTTCAGTTTCAGCTCAGTAAGAGAACAAAAAGAGTCATTTCTTCAGAGTTTCAGGACTTCTTTAAGGAGTAAATATGTTTTTTTTTCCAGTTTTACTTTATTAAAACTCCTTAAACAAAAACTCAAAACACACTAAAGTTGAATCGAAATGATAAAAAGTGATTGATCCACTTCTTTAAGACGATTTCCTTCAGTCTTCTCATGTCCCCTTTTTTCTGTTTTCCCGCTGTAAACCAGAGTTTGTTCTCATGACTAGAAAAGTGCGAGTTTTTGCTCACAGATTCATTCAGATATTTACTCCAAAAGTTTCTGTGATTCTTAGAAGAAAAGCTGATTTTTCTGCAGGATTGACTCTGTCGTACGCTGGTTTATATTCTGCGTCAGGTGAGAGTTGGACGTGGACCGTCTTCTCAGGTTCATGCAGCAGAGTAAACCACCTTGTTCTGGTGTGATGGATGGTTTCTCTCCCGCTGTGCTTCTTGTGTTTTCTAACAGCGTTGTGATGTGATGTTTGTGTGGATGTCGTGCTGTCGGAGGAGTGGCACTTTATCGGGTAAAAAAAAAGGGTTTCCACGACTTCAAAAACAAGACAGAGAGAAAGAAAGAAAGAGAGGAAAGACCTCCCTGAAACCCTGAGGGAGAGAGAGTCGTACGACGACACCAGGGGGGAGAAAACAATCGCTAATATTAGGAGGAGAGGAGAGGATGGGGGAGGAGGGGGAGGAAGACTCACTCACACACACACAAACAAAAGAAAAAAAAAACCTCGAGTTTGTTTATGTGCACATAATGCGAGTGTGTGCGCCCGGTGAAGCGCCGCAAATGGGAGAAGTATGCGTGGGTTTCTCAGGTAACAGGATTACGTGGGCACATAATTGATCCATTTGGGGGAAAAATGACAGGGCTCTAAAGAGGCCCCGGCTTTGGAAATGGAGTTTATGAAACAGGCATTCGTAAATTCAAAGGAATCAATATGTCAATTTTATTACATCTCCGGGCCAGATGGGCTTTAAAGGCACAGCATCATCCCTTTCTCCTCTCACCCTCGCTCGCTCTCTCGCTCTCTCACCCTCACTCACTCTCTCTCTCTCGCTCTCTGCTCTGTCGTCTGCTGCTCAGGGTCTCTCCATCAACCTCTCTGATTTCCACCATCCTTCTTCTTCTTATTTAAAGGATGTTTTTATCTCTGGTTGACTTCACGTATGTGCAGCTTTATTTTCTGTGTTGTTGTATTTTTAATTAAAACTCAGTTATTTTACTTTATGAGTTTTCCTGCAACAAAATTTGAGATTTTCTAAATATTTCAGGACTTTTAGCAGGAGGCTGATTCAGGTTACATCTCCAGTTTCAAATATTGAAAATAAATCTATAAATCTCTCTGCAAATATTCAGATTCAGATCTGAGATTAAACGCCCCCTTGCTCACCCCTCCTGAAGCTCTCAAACACACGTATATGAGAAGTTTGTCCGCTCTGTGCTGCCGTAGAAACATGGCTGTGAAGATGGCGGCCTCTGTGAAGGAGGACTCGCTCCTTTGTCGATATAACAGACTCAGTTTCTGTGTTTTCAGGTGATTTAAACATAATTTACTTTATTCTGTTTCTACTTAAAGTTTAAATAAATTCTACAGACTGAACCTTTAACTCCAGTTTAGTGGGTTTTATCTCCTTTTTTCTGTCATATTGAGCTGAAACAGAAGAAAACATCTCATGTTTGATGTCCTCAGATGAGTTTTTATATCCTTGTTGAACTAAAGAGATAAACAAGTTTAGTGTTTTGATTTTATTTTAACCCCAAACTTTCTGTTCCTTTTATTTCAGCGACTAAAACTTCAATCTGAGACTTTAGTGGTTAAAATCTTACAGCAAATGAAAGTCTAAACTACACCAGTGTTAAGATTAAATAAAATAATCCACATTTTAAAGTATTTCCTCAAATATAAACTCTGATCTTTTTAGTTTTTTGTGTTTTGACGTGTTTACAGATAATATCTGACCATCATGTCAGGAAACTTCCTCTCTGGGTTTCAGTTCGTCCGTTCTTCTCTCTGTTTGTCTTTAATTTTCATGCCACTGTCTCGTCTTATCTCTCCGTCTCTTCCTCTCTAATTCCTCGTCTGTCCTCCTCTCCTCTCTCTCTCTCTCTCTCTCTCTCTCTGTTTGTGAGGCAAAGGTCCTCAGTGGCCATTTTGTCGGGGACATTTTGCATCCATACATGAGCACAGTTATGTCTCTGTTTGTGTGCAGAGGAGGAAGAAGAAGCTGCGTGTGTGTGCATGTGTGTGTGTGTATGTGTGTGTGTGTGTGTGGGGCCTCAGCGGTATCAAATATCCCCGTCCAAGCAAATGCATCAGCTGAAATATGTTTGTCAATGCAGCTGTTGACTCAACACTATTATTCTTTAGAAGAAGCCGGCGAGCACAATAAACGCTTTCGGATCTCGGCCAATCGTCTCCAAAAGAGAGAAAGAGGGAGAGAGAGGGAGAGAGAGAGAGAGTGTGGGTGGGTGGGGGGCAGATTAAGCACTCTGCATTTCCCTTCGCTAAAATATTCACATTTCATTTTAATACAACGGCATCCCAGGCAAGATTTAATTACCATCCAGCACTATAATGCAAATGAATAATGCAGCAAAGACTGATGCAAACGGATAGAAATCATATAAGACTCAGTCAGTGTGAGGTACCTACCTACGAATGAACGAACCAACATACAGTCAGAGAGAGAGAGAGAGAGAGAGGGGGGAAAGGTTAAAACATCCACCCTGAGATGCTCCCTCTTCTTCCTCTTCCTCTTCCTCTTCCTCTTCTTCCTGAAAAAGAGGAAGAGGAGCAGCAGCGGTACAATTACCCGGCCCATGCAGCGTCCCCGGCGTTTGCCAGGATTTTCCGTCTCCCATTCCAGTAGTTCATTTTTGGAGTAAGTAAATAATAAGAAGTTGGTGATGCTTGCATTTTTAATTCCACCCCCTCCCCTCGCCGCACTTTTCTCCCCTTGTTCAGTTCACTGACTGACATCTGCTATCAATGCTAAGCAGGTGTTCCCGTGCAAACAGACGTGCCCCTGTTTGTGTTTCGCCGTCCCCGCCACCGTGCACCCAAATGAGCAACGTGATTAAGAATCCTGTAAATTTTTGAAAGGAAACGGATGGCTGCCCGGCTAGAACGTAATTACACCGCCGCCGACATCCTCCTGCAGCAGCAGCAGCAGCAGCAGCAGCAGCAGCAGCCAGAGCCAAAGCAACAGCAGAGAATTAATAATATATAATGGCATCTTTCCTTGTAATTCATAAATGAAATAAAATGAAGGAGGAGTAACCGCTGATAAGTTTTTTTCTCTTTCTTTCTCTCTCTCTCTCTCGGGGGGAGCGGGGGCAATTTTCAGAAATTGAGTCGAGACGATCATCTTCCACGATGCGTTAACTCGACTCAGTGTGTGTGTGTGTGTGTGTGTGTGTGTGTGTGTGTGTGAGGAAGAGCCATTTCTCAGGCTTTTCCTTTGACTTTCTTCTGCTTCTCTTTAGCTCATTTATTTACTAAATGAGGCCTCGGCGTTCCTCCGTTCGCTCCCTCGCTCTTCCTCCACTCTCTGTTTTTGTCATTATCCGCTTTCACTTCTGCTCTACGATCACACGAGACGCCGCAATGGACAATTAGCTACGACACCTCAAGTGGCGGCTGACTTGGACTTCAGTGGAAGTTCAAAGTCTGTCGGCACATTAAGTTTTTACCTCGAATGATGTTTTGGGACGTGAACCTGGAGGAGAAAAGGTGCACGACGATCCAAAAACACCATCAGACGTGAGAGTCTGTGCAGTGAGATCTCAAATGAGGCTGAAATGTGCCAAAGAGGAGTACAAGGAGGAGGAGGAGGAGGAGGGGAGCAGACGGAAACCTCTGGGGAGGTGTAGGGAGGAAGGTAGCGTGACACACAGGCCAACTAAAACGGCGTGATGAAGAGCGGTTCTGACAGAAGCTGTCCCCCCTCCCCTCCTCTCAAAGAACGATGATTATTTCTCTGTTCCATCCGTCCAAAGATAACAATCAGAGCAGCTGCCAGGTACAACAGCCTCCACCTTTACACGGCCTCAAACATGATGGAAACCTGCTGTTGGCGCTGAGGGACGTTGTTCGACACGTTCTGGGACGATGGCTGCCACGCTCCGCCTCCGTTCGGGGGCTTTGTGGAGTTAGAGAGCCTTGTAATGCACTTTTCACCTAATTTATATCCATTTTCTCGGCGCAGGCACCTTGGCTACCGTTCCCTCCCGCGGCAGCTATTGATAGCGGCTGACAGACGCTGTTTGGACAGTGAAAGGTGCGCCTCCCCGTAAACGCCGGCTTGCAGAAGGGGGAGGCGACGCTCCTCTCCTGTCCCCTCTAATCAGAGCCAGAGATGGTCACATCCTCCCTTTCGGATACGCGATAATTACCCTTCTCTGTGAACGCCGGGGCTTCACTCCGAGCAAGGAGGGACAGACCCTGACAATTATATTAGGGATGTGTGTGTTTGTTTCTCCCTGTAAATCCCCGCACGCCGCCTTGTAGCCATCTTTCCCCTCGCCACAGCTGAAAGAGTTAGTCCGCAGCTCATGATATGAAATAATAAGGTGTAGTTGTGTGTGCGGCTCCCGACTGTAGCGGGACAAACATTGTTTTTGTCTGTTTGCGATCTCTATAAAGGGCTGCTGTGGCAGAGATCAGTGGGTTTGCTGTGTGTGTTGCTCTGTGGGAAGAACAAGGCTCTGACACAGCCGGGGTGAGAGGGTTCGGCCCGATTTGGGAGAGCAATGCTAAAGATGTGAACATTTCTACATAAATTTACGGCAGAAAGTGACGATATCTGACCTTTAAACGCCGCTTATCCAGACGCAGTAAAGCCAGAGTCTGCTGTGAGGAGCTTTGTGTGAACGGTGACCCAAGCACAGACGCAGAGTCAGTTTTTCAGTTTCACCGAATCATAAGTGATCATCACGCTCTGACCGAGTCTGTCGTAATCTGCTTTCTCTTTAAATATAGCAGCAGCAGCAGAGAGTGTGGCACAATGCAATCGGACCCAAAATAGACCAACATAAGAGAGTATGGTACATTACAACACCGCCTCATGTTACATAACCGCGGGCTGGATCTGCGAAATAGAGCGGTGCTGCAACGCAAAAGAGATCAGAGTGCATTAAAGGATGAGATCATGACGGAGCAGGATGGAGTCTCAGCCTACAGATCCAAGACCAGCGAATGGAGGTGTCAGCTGATCGGGCTTGCAGGAAGACAAGGCCGTGACCACCTGCGTGTAACTTTGGGGAGTTGAGAATCGATTGCAATAAAATACGTCTTTTTGCATGATGGCGAAACACATTAGAATCAGAAATTTAGCAGCTTTATGTAGCTTAGCATGAACTAAAATACCTTAAAACAGCTCCAACATAGCCCAGTATAAAGTGCATATATTAGAGGATGGTTGCATAGTGGTTTGTCACAGTTGTGCCAAGTGGAGCTGAGTGCAGGTGTACGCACAGAAGCAGCCCAGTTATGAAGCTTTCTTAATCCAGCATTGTAGTGGGAGTATACTAGTTTATTATGCATGAATGGTAAGACTTGTAATGTTAAAACAAGCTGGCTCTATTGATGAAGAGGAGCTGAGAGTGACCTTTCAGGAGGTCTGGCACTGACCCTGGACGCCGAGTCTCCAGCTCGCAGCCTGAAAGAGTTAATGTGTAACAGTGGACGGGTGATTGTGGCGAACATGTGTGACAGCAGTGTGAGGAGGAGAACAGGGCCGCTTCTCTCTCTCTCTCTCTGTGCTGAGCTGATACAGATGCACACAGAGTTCTGTTGTAACCTTTAGAAAGCCGCTATAATAGTACTGACAGTGTGTGTGTGTGTGTGTGTGTGTGTGTGTGTGTGTGTGTGTGTGTGTGTGTGTGTGTGTGTGTGTGTGTGTGTGTGTGTGTGTGTGCAGCACAGAGAGAGAGAGACACAGAAAAACTCTGTCTCTGCTATCTCCTTCTGTGGTCGTCAGCCCGTGTGTGTGTGTGTGTGTGTGTGTGTGTGTGTGTGTGTGTGTGTGTGTGGACGATGTTTTCCTCCTCCAGCTGCTGGGAGATGATTCGGGTCACCGCGGGCTGCCTGGGCGGAGGGGGGGGCCAACTGACGAATCAAGGGGGCAATTGTGTCTGGTGCCAGTCAGTCGTAATTAAGAGCAGGATCAGGGGGTGGACGCACACCGAAGCATGCACAGGGATAGACCTCAGGACATAAAACCACGCGCACGTAGACATATACAGGGACGCTCACACACATACTTAATCCAGGCTTCTATACAGAGCAGCTCACCTGAAAATAATCGCTCCGAGGGGCAGCAGGGGATGCAAATGAGGCCGGAGGTTAGCGTGGGAAAAGTGGAGCAGCGTAGCCTGGGACTAGGTGATCCTCCGGGCAGGGGGCCGGCCTCAGGAGGGGCCTTTGTTTCCAGCCTCCGTTTAAAAATGCCCACCACAACCTCCTCCTCCTCCTCCTCTTCGTCCTCCTCCTTCTTCTCTTCCTCATCCCCCCACCGCCGCTCCTCTATCACCTCCCAGCCCGGGCCAAGCAGATAGAGAAAAGCAGTGATATATGGTTTGTTTAACAAAGGGAGAGGTGTGTGAGGGGGGAGTGTGTGTGTGTGTGTGAGTGTGTGTGTGTGGGGGTCGGACTCAACATTCATTCAGGTTAGTTTCATGTGAAGTGACAGGTTTGTTTTATCAGTCAGAGGTGGAATTATGGAGACAGATACTCCCAGTTTGACTCTCAGACTAGATTCTGCAGAGATGAAGCATCTAGATTCAGAAAGACGTTTATTTCCTGCTCTGTGAGCCTAAAAAGAAGCTGAATATGACCTCTGGACTGGAGGGTTGGCTTGTTCAGGACTCAACGCTCCAAAGTTGTTCATGAGAAGTCTGCAGCAGAATCACAAGGGTGTGCAGAGTTTCAGGTTTGGGTTCATAAACGGGGATGAGTGTGAGTTCAGTTCAGGTGTTTCTCGGTCAAAAACGCTCCTCCGTCAGCTGTGAGGATTGTGAGGAGCTGTTTGTCTGAAGTCGTGTCGTAAAGTCATCAAACTCTTCAATCATTAACTCTTTTCTTCTCTTCTCTCTCTTTCCGGTGCTGATCCTCCTCCTCTTCGCTCCTCCTCTTCGCTCCTCCTCACTCCAAAGCAGGTAAGCTCTTGTTCTTGTCTTTTGTTTTCGTGCTTCATTGTGTCAACAGCACCTGTAAAACCTCCTCACACACACCCATCATCATGCAAACACACCGTTTCACACACACACACATTCGAACCTGCACCCGGATGAATTCCTGAGCTGTAGCGAGGAGGGAAATATTGCTTTGTGAACAACACTTGTTCATAAATATTCAAAGACTTGCAGCTGTAAAACGTGTGTACGAGGAGGAAAAAACCTCCAAACAAGATGCTTGGCGGTGGCGTAAATGGAAGAGCGCGGTTGCAACCTGTTTGCCGCAGTGGCTGCTGCTCAGAGCGGCCTCCAGACGCCCGGCCGCTGTAATACCTCTCTCTCTTAATTATTATTTATTGGCACTACCTCTGGCTCCCTGCGCCTCTCCTCTCGCCTCCTCTGTCCCCTTTATCGCCTTTCTAAATAATTTCTACAAATGAGGAGGTTTTCTCCGCTGCACGCATGTACGCGGCGCTCAGCTTTCACTCATCAAAGTTTAATCGAAGCCCACGTTTTAGTTTTTTCGAATAAAGCACACTTAAAAAATTTAGATGCAAATTATTTTGCATTATTCATGCATTCTCCCAGTCCTTGTAGATTTAAACATTTCCGAGGCCACCTTGATTCGAGTAATTACCTATGCCTCGGCAGGCTCCGTCATGAATAAGGTATTTCCTACAAGCAGAGTATGTGCCTGATGAGCTTTTAAAGTGGCTCTACACCCAACTTGTGTATTGCTTCTCCTGCATGAGTGACTAGAACATGCATCGCAATCGCTCTCAGGTGGGGCGGGCGGGCAGGGAGAGGTGGGGGCGGGGCTGGCGGGGCAGCCGAGAGTGACAGCACTCTCACTTTCATGCACCGGGGGCCTTCAAGTCTCTATCTGTCGTCTCCTTTGTCTCCTCCGTCCCCTCCCTCCTTCCCTCCCTCCCTCTGCTGCTCCTCGTGTCACTGCCCTCATGGTCTCTGCTTCACGCTTTGCAAAATATCTCCATCTCTGCCAGACGTTTATTTCTCCGAATCGGCCTCAGTTTGAGAGAGACGGATGTGCTGTAGAGAGAAAACAGAAACAGAGGAATAGATGGACTCACGGGTGAAACAGGTGGATTTATTTCTGTCATGTAACCCGAAATAATCTGAGTGAAATAAACTCGGTCTGAGACGTCGGTGTAAAAAGATAAAGCTTCAGTTTCTCTCTTTGCCCTTTCCTCCCTCCTCACCCCCTCCTCACCCGCCTCCCTCCCTCTCCCTCTTTGTATCTTTATCCATTTCAGTCTGAAGGATCCCAAAGTGTCTCAGATCTGAGCAGCCTAATACCCACCTTTAAGCCGCGCGGCTTTGAAATCTCTTTTCGACATAACAAGGGGAACTTAGCTTTTCCTCCACTTTACCTGAGTGCCGCTGAAGATCCTCCCAAATCACACCTGGCTTTGTTGGGCAAACACTCGCCCTCCTCCTCCTCCTCCTCCTCCTCCTTTCCTCCTCCTCCTCACTAACACCTTGTAAGCACTTCTTGATGTCTGAGGAGTTTCATTTCAAAATTAAATCGCTTTTATTGCAAATTGCTGCGCGAAAGTCGATGTTATCTGCAATCTGGAGCCATTTACATGAGACATAATGTCATTCTACAGTTTTTTCTCTCCTTCCCGTCAGGTGATAATTACCTCCTGAAATTTATTCATAGTGTTTTTGGAGTGAGTCACCTTGACAAAAAGCAGTTTTTAACCGCCTCTCAATAGGAGGCTTTTACATCAAGTGCATGTTGTTCCACCTTTAACTTTGCGGCTGCTTGAAATCTGCCCTCACCTTCACTGAAGACACAGAACTATTGACTCAGACGACACATCATCATCATCATCATCAAACCCTCCAGACTCTCCTGTAATCTCACCTACATTTACTTTAAAGACAGATTAACATGTTAAACGGCAGACGGAGGAAACCTGCGTGTTGTTTCTTATTCTGCAGAAGAGGGAACAAAGCGAGGTTAGATGGAGAAGAAATAAAGCAGCTGCGGCCGACAAGCAGGGGGAGGAAAAACAAAGTAGTTGACTCGGCGACTCCATCATCTTTACTACCCAGCAGAAGAATTAATATTTAAACATTCTAATAATGTAGCTCGCCTTGCATGCACTTTTAAGCAAAGCAACAATATTTTTCACCTGGGGTAACACAATGATTTTTCTTCCCCGCTGTGCACAATTTCCCTTTCTGATGATCTCCTCCAAGCCTCGCACCCCCCGCCTCCCCCGAACCCCCGTTTTGTGATTTTCACCCCACTAAAGAAAAAAAGAAAAAAGGAGAAAAATATTCATGGAGATAAATATTGAAATGAATTTTTCCCTGTATATGAGCAGAGACGGTCGAGGTTGTGGCTCGAGGAATGCACAATGCGCTCCCCGGAGAAGCGAGCAGTGATTCATAAAATCGAACCTGTTTGAAGGAGGAGAAAATACAGCGGCATAATGGAGGACAAACTTCGGCTTTTTCCAACGGTTTCTTCATTTTTCACACCTGCTGTTGACTTCAGCCTTTAATACCAGGAGGCCGGACGCTTTGGGCCGTAAATGTTGATTTTGATGCTTTTAAAAGAGGAAGTTCAGCAGAATTCGTAGATTCAGATATCGAAGATTATCAGTCAGAATCGACACGTACGCTGATGACGCCGTCGTAGCTGCATCAACCTCAGTCTGCACAAAAACAAGAGTTAAAGCTCCGATATTGAAATTAGCAAACAGAGAAAATCAGATTTGAATAAAAAACGGATTCTTCCTGCAGCTGCTTCAGGAGGTGAAAGTCTATCCGATATTTTAGACTCTATAAATTCAATAAGACGTCAGCGTCGGCCTCGTATATCAGCTCTAGTGCCACATCAAACAAAAAGGGGTCAGAGTAAGGTCGAGGGGTGAAAGGTCAGGATTTGGAGAAGCCATTAAAAGCGACACCAGCAGAGACAAACATTTACTTTTTTAGCGGCTGTAATTTTCCGTCCATCAGGTCTGAACATAATGAGATTTTTTCTGTTTCATATCTTTGAGTCTCAGAAATCTCAGGAAGGAGAAAGTCGTGCAGAGACTCACTGATCATTATGATGTAACAGCAAAGCCTTTTCTCAGCGTCTCTCCAGCACACAAATTACCTCTCTGCAGCAGCGGCGGCGGCGGCGTGTTTAACATCAGCCGCAGACGCACCTCACACAGGCGTGCATGTTCAACATAACACAAAGGCTGTTATTAGCATCAAAGGTGTAGGTAACTGTGGACTCCCGGGGGATAAATACAAACAAATACTCTCTGAAAGGAGGAAAATTAGCCGTTTAGGTATTCTCCGAGGCGCTGGGCTGGAATATTTCACAGCAGCGAGCGTCTGTGAGCGCGCCCTGTCAAGACAGATGCATTACAGATGCCTTAAGGTTTCATAATTGATCATGAAAATGAATTGCCGGGCGTTGGGGGCTAAATTGAATGACATAAATAAGAGTTATGCATGGAGCTGCACTCCCTGGATGTGTTTATGTGACGGCTGGTGATCAGGATGTTCATCTTTTATACCTCACAATGGCGTTTCTCTCCTCTCCTCCTGCTCACACAGGTTAGTCTGAAAAAAGAGCCGCGCTCTTAAAAGATCACCTCCTAAGCTGATTTCGACATCTTATGCAAGGTGCCTCGCCGAGGGGAAAGAATAGTTTGTCTGGCGCCTCGGGGCGCAGATTAAAGTCAGCGCTAAGGTGTAGAAGCACCTTTATGTCGGTAAAGACCCGTTTCCTTTGATTCATGCTGTAACCGAGTGAAATCCAACAAGCTCGCCGCTAAACGCCGCAGAGAACGGCTTTAAAGCGCTCCCGCCCTTTCCCACAGGTTTGGGAGTTTGGTGGCCGGTGATGGAGCGATATCAGATGTTTTAATTAACGCGGTTGGACAGGACCCCAGAGTGAGTTTTGGAAGCAGCCAGTGGTTTTAAATGGAGGGTGACAGGGTGAGGCAGAGTTCAGCAGGAATCAGGGTGGAAGGAGGGAAACGAAGATCGGAGCTCCAGCCAAACACCTCAGCTGGTTTGAGTTTTAATTTAAGACCTGCCGCTATTTTTACTTCTTCTTCTGATGTCATTTCATCAAAAACCTCCAAATGTTTTATATTTTAGAAAGGAGTCAAACTCTGGATCTGAGAAAACCAAAATAATTCACGTTAAAGTGCAGGAACCAACGCCGCACTGAAGACGTCAGGAGTTCAGGATCAGCAGTCATGTTTTTACAGCAGCGATTATTCTCACGTACAGAGAGAGGGAGAGGAGAAAGACGAGATGAAGGTGGGAAAGAGAGGAGGAAGAGGAGGAGGAGGAGGAGGAGGATGGAGAGAAATTATCCTTTCAACAGGTTTCCAGGGTCCAAGAGTCAATCAGCACTAAAACAAGCATGTAAACTTTCAAATCAGCCACAGAGAGAGAGCGCCGAACTCAGCCGCACCACAATGGTGCCATTGAGGTGTGTGATTATGTGTGTGTGTGTGTGTGTGTGTGTGGTTTCTATTAAACCCCCACGGGACCTCCCCTCCCTCCACATTCAGCCTCCCTCTGCCCTCCCAGGAATAAAGCCAGACACTGCGTTCAGGAATCACCTTTTTAAACCTTAATTGATTCCCTCAAAAAGAGGCCCTCGCTGCCACCCCGCATTAAAGCCCCGGAGAAGGGCCTCATGTCAGATTGGCCTGCCGCTCGGCATTTGTCCCACCGCCACCGCCACCGGCCCGGGACATTAGAGCAAGAGCGTCAAGAATTTAGTCTAGACTGGAGAGCATGGGGGGGATTTAGCACGGTGAAGGTTGGAGCAGATGACTTTCAACCAATTAGATTAAATCCCCGGCTAATTTAAGGTACCTCTCCGGCCGTCTCAGCTCCCACCGTGTTAAGTAATTTGTTATTTTGGTGCACACGCTCAGTGGACGCTCGGCGCTGAAGTTGCAGAAAAGTTTGAAATGAGTGAATGAGGGTCGAACTTTAGAGGGATGAAGACATGAATCTGATCAGCAGGTGTTTGGGTGAAAAAACTCTGATTTCAAAGGTGGCCTTTAAGGTCCTCTTCGATCCTCCGTCTCTGCCGTGAAGTGCACAATGTGCTCCTGAGGAATGCAGCGAGATGGCGTGGAGCTATTTCGGTCGCAGTTGCAGCAACGTGTTGGGACGCCCATCTGGTCTGAATCAATCAGACTCGTCCCCGCGCAGGCCAGAGTCTCCCCGGGTCTCCCAGCTGTACAAATATGTCCCAGCTTCATGAAGAGCCCGACTCGGACAGGGGTCAGTCCTGCGCCGATGACCCGGCACCTGAAGAGAGGGACGCCGGACTTTGTTCCCTGATAGTTTCACGCAGATCCACCTGGTCCCTCGGAGAAAGTGATCCGGTCTGAGCTGAATACTGTACCCATGACTTCACAGTCCGTCAAAATAGCAAAGCGTGACAGTGATTTGAGAATGAAATGAGAGCGTCCCGTCTCACCCAGTTTACCAACAAGCTAAAAATAAACGCTGTTTGATGTTGAAACTAGACCAACGCCTCGGCTGGCCTTACTCGGCCTTAAGGAGCTCCGATCCGCTCTGCTGGGTTAGTTTTCTCAACCTGGAAACACCAAAAACTTTATTTATTTTTCAGTCTTTAATGTTGATCTTATAAAATCCACGAGCGGTTTTAGGTGTGTGAGAGTTTAGGAGTTTAATCTGAGATTCAGTTTTTGTCTCTCAGTCAAACCCACAGAGTCGACCTGTTCTCTGACCGTCACGGACGTCTCCCAGTTTCAGCGCCGGCGACTGGAGGGCGGTGACTTGTTTGCCTTTTTTTGCGAGGCAGAGGCAGAGGGGCAGGTTGTTTTCTCTTCTCCTCTCTGACTGAAGGAGGAGGAGGAGGAGGGTGAGGGAGGAGGGTGAGGAGGGAGGGGGGGACACTCTGCATGACAATACCTACATCTGTCTGCCGTTTTGTTCTTTGTCATATCAGGGGCCGTCTTTGTGGCAGAGCGCTGTCGTGGTAACAGGAGGTTAGAGGTACGGGGTGGCGGGCGGCGGCGGCGGTGGGGGGGTGTCGAAGGAGAGACTTGTGACTCAAACGCCCCTGTGACACAGCTTTTGTTGTGCTTCAATATTTGATCCTCTTAGCAGTTTGCCATGCCTCCGCCCCCTTCCTCCCCTCCACCAGCACCATTACTACTACCATTAACACACACACACTCACACACACACACACACACACACACTCTCATTTACTGTGGTCCACCTCTGTAATCTCTTTTGTCCAGCTCCTTCTCACTTTCTCTCTCTCTGTCACCTGTTTGACTGTAAGCAAAGGATTTAAGGACGTTTGTTTTAGGTTTCCTTGACCCCCAGGAGGGTGGAGCTTTTCCAAATCGAGGCAAAATGTGATCGGGAGTTCTCTCCGATTGCCAAAACAAGTTTAGGAAACGTTCTGTTACCCTGAAAAACGCGGTGTCGGGTGTCGGCGAGCGTGCCAGTGATTGCACAAACTGTCAGAGCTCAAGCCTGAGATTAGGGAAAGTGCTGGAGAGGAAGAAACCGAGCTGGAACATCTCTAATGACATGAAATAGGTTGTATGTTTTGAGAGAAAACCTCGAGTCTCTTATCACCTTTGAGGACAAGATAAGCTCCTTCCTCTGCTCTCGTTTATCCCGTCTATCTGAGCCGCTCGCCCTCAAAGGTGTCAGGAAAAGTTTATAACCTGAGCTCCATTTTCCTGCTTTTCCTCCCCTCTTCTCACACATCGAGGAGGACCAAAGTTGAGGCGGCGGGCCTCTGGAGAGACCATTACAGGCCCTTTATTGTTTCAAAGCTGAGGTCATCCTTCTGCTCGCCGCAGTCGAAACAAAGGCCAGGGGTTTATTGCAGGCTCAACTGTGTGAAAGGAAACGCACTCCAACATTGTTTGATTGTGGGAGATAGTGCGCAGACATCCCCGCTGTTTCCTTTCTGATGGTATGTAAGCATACTATCACTATCTTCTTGTTGCTTTTGTACATATTTTGCTGGAATTTTGTTCATGCCCGCCGGCGCCCCAGCCGAGGTGTCGAGCGTGACAGTTTGCTCGTGTTGGGATGTCAGCCCTGCTTTCCCTGACATGTTGACGGGCGTCAGAGGCAGGGAAAAAAAGGGAGTGTGAAGGGCAGAGTGGAAAGCGTACAGGAGGAGGTGTCATGTGGTCTGTTTTTGTACTTTTACTCTGGATCTGATTCCAGTCTTGAAGTTTGCACAGAGATGATAAAAGCCGCCCTCTTCTTCGTCTTTATCACTCTCATATGAAACATCATCACAGCCAATAAAAAGAGCTCATCAGGGTCCGTTTCTGCGGCCACAAAGTCGTCCCCTTTTGTTTTTGACGCGGTGACCTTGATAATTGTGATGGTAATTACAATAAGTGGCCATTATATTTCAAGGTGCAGCGACCTTCATTATCCGAATCAATTTGAGTCACTATCAATTTGATAATACCCTAAATGCGTGGCTGCATGGAAGATGCTCACTCGGCACGGCTGTCGTCTGCCGTATAATGGAATGCTGTTATTGAGATTGAGCCGCCCCTCTCTCTTCAGCCGCGCTGGCAATCAATATTAACAGCTTGTAAAAAAGTATGGCGAAGGATTAGCCGCTGCAACAAATGGAGAGAGATACTTAAACAAAGTGCAGCCGATCCCAGAGTCAGATAGGAGGTCCAGACTGAGAGGTCTGAGTCCTGCTGCTGATTTGTGGGTCTAAGAACAGGATTCCCCCGCTTTAATGAAACCCTCCCGTATTTAAAACTGCGTGGACTCTAATGTGATCCGGGAAATCCTCGCAGACTTTATTTGAGTCTAAAAACTTCACATCTGCGTGTTTTCTCACATGAACTGAAGTCTCAAACTCTTGTGATCGATCAAAAACTCGGTTTATTTTAGATGTTAACTCTTAAAAAATATCATACAGTCAAAAAGAGTTTAAAAAACCGGACCCTTTTGGTCTTTTTCAGGCTTAATTACGAGTACATGTATTTTCTCAGTCAACCTTTTCGTCGATGACGCCCTTCTGTGAAGCCACACACAAAAACTTGGGGGTCGTTTTAGAGTTTGAAGCGTTTGAAGTTACTCAATAAATCAGTAAAAATAAAGAGTAAGATTTTCTTAAGGAGCTCGGACTAAGTTTGCAGAGTTCCTACATAGTTGGAATTTCCCTATTTTTCCATACTCTACTTTTTAGAAATACTTTTGGAAATACCTGCTTTTCTATTTTTAAAAACAGTATTTTTTTAACTGTGGTAATAGTCTGTAAACAGATATTTTTCATACTTTTTAAGACCTGGAAATTGATCAGACTCCTTCCATACTTGCGCAGGAACCCTGACTTTGGTTTCACCACCAAACACTCCAACTGGAGCAGAAGACAGACTCTAAACTCTCTCTTTAAAGGAGAAAACCTGCTCTGAATATCTGGTTCCTTTGGTTTTTCTCCCTCCAGGACAAACCCCCATCAGTTTTCTCTTTAAGGCCTCATTTCCAGACCTCTCTGACCCTCTTCGCTGGAGATCTTGGCGACACTCCTTCCCTCTTGTCTCTGCAGATCGGCGCCCCAGCGCCGCCTGATAGATTAGGACGTTTTACAAGCCTCTTCGCTACAGGAAAATCCCCCCCGCCGCGTCCGGGGCCGTTAAATTCTGCACCTGTATTGTGTTGCAGAAAAAAGTGCTTGCCCGGCACTTCTCCTGGCCTTGTCCAGCAGCAATATTCAGAGCTTATTAATAAAAAACAGACAATTGTTTGGCAGTTCTTTTGATGTATGTGCCTATTCGCTGGGTAAACCCCCCCCTCATCTGACAATGCAGGAGAGAGATTGTTTTCCTGAAACAGACCCCCACCTCCACACCCCCACCATCCTCCAGCTGAAGCTGCTCGGCCGGCCCAAGGCGTGATTTGTGAGGTACCTGACATAATTTACCGTCCAGGCGAGTCATATTTCAAAAAATGAGGACAAACAGTATTGAATGAAGTGCCAATATAATTAATGGGGATCATGATCATGCGGAAATTGTTTGCCCCCTTTACCCCATTCATACATTAAACAGATGTAGAGTAGAGATCTGCTTTAGTGAGCGAGGGTTACAAAGGTGTGTTCAAAATAAGACGTCAAAACTCAAAAAGCAGCTCCTGCAGCTGGACGATCTTATTCTTCGTAGAAATCAGCTGAATTTGGACTTAATTTGAAGCTGAAACGACATGCAAGGGATCAGGCATGATCAAAATGTACCACCAGGATGAAGGACTCCTGCTAATCCTCAATAACAGCTGAGAAAAACGAGAGTTTTTAGAGTTTGGAGGATAAAACGGGTCAGAAATGTGGATTTCTGCACATTTATGAACAGAGGCAGGAGAATAAGGAGGTGTTAAAGTTAAATTTAGAGGTTGCAGCAGGTAAAACACGTCGTTGTTTGACAGTGAATCTTTGTTAAGTTGCAGATGCCAAATAATTCCAGATAAACCTCCCAAACAGCAGCAGCAGCAGAGCGGCGTCCGTAATCCCGCCACCGCCACCGCCACTCTCACTTCGACGACAGGAGGAAAAAAAAAAAAAAAACAGCAATTATTTCAGTGACCTCATTGTCATCCGCTGGAAAATGTGTAATTAGCGCGTGTTTACAAGTCTGGCACACCTGCAGCTCATCTTTCGCTGTAATGTTTGCCTTCAAGAAGCCAGGCGGCTGCCAGCCACTGTCACTGGCTGTCACCGAGAAAGAGGAGAGAAAAAGAGAGAAAAGAAAGAGAGAGAGAGAGAGAGAGGGAGAGGGGTGAAGTAGAAAAAAGAGCGCCTCTGTCTGTGTGTGCCATTCTTCCAGAAAATCTCTGACTGGCTTAATGCCGTCGTTGCTGTGCATGTGAAGAAATGGGCATTTACATGGGTATACAATAGAGACTACATTACTTACACAGTAGCCTCATTATATCCCCGACGCCTACCTTCTGCCCCGCACTGGTTTACTCACTCCTAGCTCTTATTGTTGGGGTATAATGGCGCTTGGGCATTTCTGAAATTCCCTCATTATTCAGCTTATTAAGGCTGCACCAACTCGATAATCGCGCCGCATTTCGTGTCAAAGGGGGCGACTGTGCTGATTTGCCACATTTGAAGGCTAGACAAGGCTGCGAGCTCAATCCTCCACGCATGCAGGCGGGATGAAATTGCTCTGTAAATACAGGCGGCGGCGACGTGTAATGCCTGTTTTTTTTTTTTTTTTTTTTAGCAGCTCACTCTTCCCCGGAGTCGAACCCGAGGCGAAGTGCACCTGACAGATAACCTCGCCGATTTGGATGTCGAACGCACGGTGCGAAAACACGACAGACAGCTGTTAGGGGGATGCAACAGGAAGGAAGGAGTGAGGGGCGGTTTGTGACGACGGATGAACGAGAGGTTCATCTGCAAACATGGTTACAGATGTTAGGAATCAGCCGTTTGACGTCGCTAATGGCGCCCAGAATTACGGCCTCATGTCCATCTACAGCGTTTTTCAGCTTCATGTCAAACTAGAAGAAGCGATTCACAAATTCACACACCTTAGACAGCTTTAAAATCCCCTACCTGAGATTTTTTACTCGAGGTGGTTTTAATTTGAGCGATTTTAGGAGACTCTCTTTTGAGGCTAGTCTTCTGCTCGTGGCACGGAGCGATATTTCCAGAAGAAAAGAGTCATCTGGGTGGAGAAAGTGCACATTTTAGCGGAGGAGGAGAAACCACCCTGACTTGATGCTATGTACATTAAAAGGAAGCGAACACTCTGGGAGCTTTGTGGCCTCTGAAACAGAAAATGGGTCACAAAGAAACAATTGCCAGTCGTCACACAAAGCCTGTTTTTCTTCTCCTCTCTTCTTTTCTGTCTTCACATGCATTGAGTTTAATTATTGTGTGAGGCGCTTAAGCTCTCTTTGGGCTGAAGCATCCTGTCTCTTTTTGAAGAATATTCAGCTCTGGTTGCCAAGAATCGGCGGCCGCCTAGGGCTGGTCGAGGCTGCCGCATTTTGCCATGTGACATGTTGTCATATACAGGGGGGAGAAAAATCAATTGGCAATTAAATGATACACCTTGTGAGGATGACAGGAGGCATTTGGTTGCACAGGAAGAAGTGGGTAGTGAGGGGCTTTGTAATGAAGGCCTAATGACTATTCATAAGCGATTTTCAGTCCGCTGATCCACTCGACTGGGAAGCTCTGCCCTGGAGAGTCGGCGCTGTCACTTTCCCTCACCTCAAAAAGGCGCCGCGATCGACGGTGTAGGATGTGAGCGAGAAATTACCCAGAATTCTGCCCCGGGCCTGTCTCAGGTCACATGCAGGAGGATGGGGAGGGGAACACACATCTGGCACACTATAGGTGCCACCGGGGGACAAAAAACTCCGAATCAGGAGGCTGCGAGTACGGCGGATTGACAGCGGCGGATACCTTTTCACACGACAGTGGGTTCAGGGGCTTTGTTCTCCTCCTCCTGCTCGTGTTATCGAGCTGACGGAGCTCTGAGGTGGCCATCTGCGTGGGCGCCGACCTGGATTTATGACCTTGTCGTGAACTTTGGTCAATAGGTGATAAATTTGAGAGGCCCTCTTTGGGATCTCTGTGAGGAGGACCTGAAAAGGACTTCCTGCTCCATCCGTCACCGCCCTCATCTTCAGGGTCTACCTCCTCCTGGTTTCATTAGGGGGTCTGACTGAAGCAGAGGTAGACAACCAACTCCAGTCCCAAAACTACCAGAGGAAGAATGAAGGTTGTTTCAAAATAAAAGCATGTTTTTAGGAGAGAGTAAATAAAGAAACCTTCTCGTCTTCTGTGGGTGTTTAAAAACAGCAGAACGTCCCTTTAATCCTCACGTTAAGACTCGACACCCTGACATTTCCAAAGAAGTCACCCCCGATTCGTGGAAAGCCACGCCTCTCCAGCAGGCCAGCTGAGGTAAAAGGACTGACTGATGACCTTTTACCCTCAGTGTCAGATCATGAGGTCATGGATGCCTCGTAGCGGCCCCGCCCCCCCCTCTCCTCGCTCACTGCGATGGAAATATCATTTGGCAATTAGGCCTTTAAAAAACCCACTGACCCTTTTCTCTGATTACTGACGCTTCGGTTTTCCACCGTTTCTCGCCGTCCTATCAGACATTCCTCCTGGAAGCAGCTGGCGTGTTTTCACAGAGCTGACAAATAGCGGCAGAGCCTCGGCGTGTATACGTCCTCTGTTCAAACAGACACTTATCGGCCTCTTATCGCCTGGTGCCGCTCACCTTATCTAAGGTAAATACAATAATGTGCTCATTAGGCTCTGCTTCATGGCTACTTGGCAGGCGTGTTTGCTCAGTAATAAGAGCTTGTCAGAAGCAGGCCAGGTCAGGGAGTGTGTGTGTGTGAGTGAGAGTGTGTGTGTGTGTGTAAACGGAGGAGGCTAAAACCCAGAAATTATGCCTCCAGAGCAGCTCTGCGCCGCAGTAATTGAATAAGTCCCGAGTACCTGAGCGGGTCGGCCGCCCTCGTGGCTTTCCCCCCGTCTCCACGCCAAGAGTCTATTGCTCCTTTCTTTCTCTATATCCTCGGCTGCACATGGCGCCCGGCCAGAACGACTATTACATAATTAATCTGCATTGATCATCTGGTTAGCACATGAATCAAATGGCGGAATAATTGAGTCATGAAGTTTTTGAGGTCCCGGCTCGCTCTGGGTGGTTAAATGTGGAGCCGGAGCTCGGCGGACAATAGTTTTAACATTTTGAACTCGAGGTGAGAAGTCAGTCTCGGGCCTTAACGAGGTTATAAGTCGACTTTTTAAATTAAGGGAAGCTTGGAAGAATCAGCTTTTATTTCAGATTAAATTGCTCCCAGGAGCGTCGTAAAAATCCCGCTTTTCTGCGTCTATTTTCTCGTCTCAAGACCCCGTGCGAACCGCGGGCCAGGTTTCCTCCCTTTATTTTGATTGTTGGGAGCTTTCAGCACACACGTTATAAAAGTCTGGGTTTAAAAATGGCAGCATATATTGTCTCATTACCCTTTATAACCACTTTTATTAGAATAAATTACTGCCGGGTCAGAAATTTCCTCATTGTGTCACCGGGGTTGAAACAGGGACCTGTACAGCGTGTTACTGAGTGAATCACAGCTCAAATAGTGCTTGGCAAAGCAACTCCGGCGAGGTGAATGGACCTCATCAGCAGAAACACCAGAGCTGCGTTCACTGCTGCAAAATTTAGCAGGAAATTCACAGAAAGGTGGAGCGGACAGGAGGCCGGAGAGGAGAAGGTAGACGGGAGTGATCGAAGAGAGGGAGTGAAAGTGAGACGTGTAAATCAATGCCTGCTCTATCTCAGACAGAAGAGAGGGCCTGTGTGTGTGTGTGTGTGTCTGTGTGTGTGTGTGTGTGAGAGAGTGTGTGGGTGAGGCGGTGAGCGAGAACAGCAAACAAAGTGTTTCTAATCAAGAGAGTGTGGCTTGTTTTGGGGCGTAACTTCCAGCTGAGTTGATGTTAGTTTGTAGTTTTGAAGGAGCTGATGATCTTATTTAACCCCGACTCTAACCACTTTTATTCTTAGATAAATATCATCTTAAAAAATATCATTTAAAAGTTTATTTCAAACACTTTTAAGACCTTTCTGAAAGTTACAAACAGTTTAAACTCTTTCGCTTAAGCTTAACCAAACCCCATTCACAAAATGAGTGATTTTACCTCTGTGCAGGCAGGAGATGCTGGTTTTCTTCTTCCATGATTTATTAGTTTGTTTGCCTCCATTGTGCGACTTTTACCTTTCCAAACTCCTCATTAAGATCCTGAAACACCCACATACTTCAGGACAGAGGCAGCAGCGCACCAATAACTTCAGTTTAAAGCAAAGTAAAATTCAGTTTTTTGTTAATGGGGTTTGGTGGCTTTTAAAAGTGAGATGTATCAGTTCATTTCAGTTTGCACTAAGGTCTGTCTCTGCTAAAGTACTTTCTCTACTGTTGAGGGAAACTTTGCTCTGCAGTGTTCTTCTGTCGGTGGCAGAAATAGCCCCATAATTGCAGGTGTTGCGTGCCAAATCAAAGCTCTGCATGACTTACGTCTGTTTCGGGCTCTGAAATATGCACAAAAACCTCTACCTTGGTTTAAATCCCCATTGAAACCTTATCCCAGATCTACTAATGCAACTTTTGAACTCGTCTTTCCAACGCTGACTCTAATTTTAGGGAATTACCGTCACTCCGACCCCCGGGATGTAAGATCCTGAGAGCAGAGCGAGCCTCATGTTCACCAAAATCATGATAAATGTCTCCTAATTAAAGAAAACTCTTGAAACAATTAGATTCATGCAGGCAGGAGGAAGATGTTCTCACGTTTTTAAGGAGAAATTACAGGACTCTGTAATTGACGGAGCAGACCTGATAAAGGGAGGGGGGGGTTTTATGGCGAGGAGCAGCTTACCTCTCTGTTCTCACCGGCGGAGTCGGGGTCAGCGCGGCGGCAGCAGCTGTAGCGGCTAAGTACTTTTAATTGAAGTAGCAGTGCCATCATTAACATTGCTATCATTATTACAAAGCGAGCCGTTCGGATGATACTTCTGTCCCCAGTCGCCGCCGCCGCCGCTGCCACCGCCGCCGCCGCTCCTGCCTCCATCCCCACCCCCAGACACCCGCACATCATTATGCAGTGGCATCTATCAGATACTGGCTTAATTAGGGCCTGTACAGCACATTAAGCAAGGGGAGTAGCCAAGCTCAAATATTTATAAGGTTGAGTATATTTATGATCTGTGTCATAATCCCTTATTGGAGGTTTCAGAGGAGGTTTAACAAAGCAGACCCGCGCTCCTCAGCCTCCTCCTCCTCCTCCTTTTTACTCCTTTTTCTCCTTTTTTCTGCAGCAGCTCAAGCAGAAGAAACGTGTCCCTCCTTTTAAATACATAAATAATATTAAAATCATATTTGGAGCAGTCACAGGAGCTTGGACGCCCCGTGTCACCAAGTCCTCTGAGCTGATAGATTTGCGACAAATGTTCCTGCAAACAAGATTAGGACGTCCTCTATCTGCGGCACAGAGATGGAAAGTTTTGGATTTCTGGAGTCTGACCTTTCACCTGTTGAACCTTGATTGTTATTTTGTCTCCTGGCGTCTGTTATCTGGAGGGACGCTGTGTACTTGACAGCGTGTGCAGATCCAGCGTTTGAGGCTTTTATTTTCTTAATTTCTCATCCGCCGAGCGTCACGAGGTGAACGTCCTGCTATTTTTGGCCCACTTAGCGAGTGCAGGTTTAAGTGAATGGCACTTCTGCTTCAACGAGAGCCCCTCCACCCTCCTCCACCCTCCTCCTGCGATAACTCCTCTTGTCTCTTTTTGTTCGGGCGAAGGTATCGTCGCCGTTAAGAGCCCTTCCCTTTCTCCCTCTCTCAGGCATCTTGTTTTCTCCTTTTGTGTGTGTGTGTGCTTCGCCTTGGGAGAAACCACAAGGGTCATGTTTATTTAAAACACAAAAACACACGTCTGTCCTTGTCCTCTCTCCCCCACCCCTCACTTTCTCCTCTCCACCGAGGGGGGAGGCAGGTAAGAGGAGAGAGGGAGCTGCAGTTAGGCTGTCCCTCTTCTCTGCAGAGGATGCAGATTCACAAAAATGAGTAAATATTAAACTTTGTAACACATTGTTGTTTTGACACGAGAAAACAAAGATAAGGATGTTTTTCTGTTCCTGCAGAAAGGTGAGAGATTTGGAAAAGCAGCTTCATTTTTGGTCGAAATGTTCCAGTTTAGAGTTGATGGACATCGATCAGTAAGGAAAAGTAAGGTTCTGGTTTTATTGAGTTTAAACGTGTAAAAATGTCGGAGCTTCTCCTCGAGTCGATATCCAACGACAACATCCGGTGGTGAGATTTCTAAACCCGCACCGCTCCGTCGTTGTATCACAGAGAGGTCTCCAGCGTAACCTCCACCTACATCTTTACAGCATGGTCGAGGTCAGCGGCGTTGACCCCTATACCAGCCAGTCGTGATGAGGTCTCGACGTGGGCGGGCCTGGAACTGCAGCGGAGGGATTCTCTCATCGCCGGCGTAGCTTATCCCGGGGAAAATACTGGCGGTCACTAAAACCCCCGTCCTCTAAGACGCTCTAATACAGATTGGGAGGCGAGGGGGTTTCTGCTGACCTCAGCGAGCGAGTGGAGAGCAGAATAACGGCGCTCTTAAAGATTGGGCTCAATCACTCAGGTAGTGGAAGTGAGTCGGTGTTCACCTCTGGGTGTAATTGAGATTAAGTCGCCCTCGTATTGTGTGGGAGTGAACGAGCGCTCCCTCTGTACGGGGGGGGGCAGCAGCTTTAAAGGTTTGATGGAGTTTGGCGTGAAGAGTGTGTCAGAGAGGAAAAAAAACAGGCGAGCGTTGAATCATATTTTGATTCTCAGCTGATGTGGACCTCAGAAATGATGTCATCTGGCTGGTGGGAGTGGATTTCTGACGTGTGAGACATGCATGAGTGAAGGAGCCGGAGGTAAAAACGTGCAGAAGCAGAAGCGACGGCACAAAAGAAGCAGGAGACGTGCAAAAACATCAGAGCGTTAAAGTTTGGAAAGTTCATTTTTGATTTGTAAGTTTGAAACTGATCTGAGGTCAGTCTGTGTTCGTCTATTCTTATCCGAGTTTCCTACAGGGGCCCACCAAAGTTTGTTAGCGCAGTGATCAAATAAAAGAGCAGATAAATCTGTGAGTAAACCCACCCAAACTCTCGTTTTCCTCACCCACCTTTCATTAGCAGAGTTCACGCTGCACCACCCACACCATCAGGACGATGCCAAGTGATCTCAGGGAAACGTGGATCTGTGAGCAGGAACGTTTAAAACACTCGTACTCTCACTACCTTTGGATTGAACCGCTCTGTGGCCTCTGCGCCCTCCTGATCCGACACCTGCAGCCGGCCCACAGCTCGCCCTGTGGGAGGAGCCCAGCTGCTCCTCAGGCCTCCCGTGTAACCCCCCCCACCCGCCTCCTCCTCGCCGCTCAGCCTCGCGTAGGAAGGAAAAACCTAGGAGCTGCTCTGGAATCGGCGTGCATGAAAAAGCGTGAGCCTTTGGCCAGGTGGTTGGTGGTGGGGTCTGGCTTTTATTGATTTTCGTTACTTTTTTCTGACAAACATCCTCCTCTTTGTTTGGCCACCGAGGGCAGCCAGAGGAGCGAGCAGCGTGGGGTGTTTGGAGTTGAAGAGCAAAGACGAGAAACCGACAGCGTTTGCCTGGCCTGGGAAACCTTTTGCCTCTTTCTCCTGCTCTCTCGGTTTGCTGCGTTCCCGGCGGAGAGCTAACACATTATTATGCATTTTGCTTTATTTTACTGCATCGATTTAAAGTAATTTGAAGGTTCTGCAGGGACTAGTACCTGGGTTTTTCTCCGATCGCTCAGCGCGCTCTCGTGTGTTAAAACAGCGGGGCCTCTGCGAGATACAGGGTCTATTTATCCCAGAGGGAAATTTAAGTGTCAGCAAGAAGCAGCGAGAAGGTGGGACACAATAAATACATGTTGTATCAGTGAAATGCACAACAAGCAGGCACTTCAGCTGTGTCTAAATACCTTATTCTCCTGCTTTAAATCATCGGCAGCTCCGTTATTTTACTTTTATTTGCACGCAGGCAGCTCTTCTTCTTCTCTCTGCACATCTTCTGCCGTATCGTACGTTCGTATGCCTGCGAGTCGGCGCTTCAGGAGACTCACCAAGGTGTCCGTTCGCTCACAGTTCCAGCCCTTCAACCTGTCAGACACACTTTTGTGACGCCAAATCCCTCTATTCATTTCTCTCCTCTTCGGCACAAATATATTTTCCTTTTTTTCCTCCCCTCTTTTATCAAGGGCAAACCTGAACTCCATGGAAAACGCGCGCACACATCCAGGGCGGGCAGATCTCCAGGGCCTGTCATTTTACATTTACATTTTCGCCATTTAGCTGACACTTTCATCCAGAGTGACTCTGTGCAGAGAGTGCAGCGGCGGCGGCGGCGGCAGACTGAGCCTAAATGTTGAGCTGTAGGTGAAAACATGCGAGGAGGAGAAAAGGTCAGGCTTGTCCTGTATTTATTATGATGGAGGGCGTTTTATTTGTGACCTTTTGATCCCTGAAATCTTCATCCACATTTGACTTTCATAAGGATGCATCATCTCAGACAACCTACGATTTGTTTTTGCTGCTCAACATCTCCCCTGCCATATGGCCCCCTATCTTAACACCTATTTTAATCTTTCATGAAGCCATTTTGAACGAGCGCTCGGCTCTCTTACTTTCAGAGAAAAAAGACAGCAAGTATTCTGAGACCCTCCACCTGGCCGTCTGAATAATTCAAACGTGCAGGAAGTGAAGCCCACCCCTGCTCTCGCGCAGGTTGTAAAGGCCAAAATTGCTTCATCATGCCCAAGTGAAGGTATGCATACATTATTCAGGAAACCTGCGAAGACTCAGAGTTTAAAAAAAGCTGCTCCTGAGTTTCTCCTCCTCTCTCCGTTTATTGACGGAGCGTCTCCCAAATAAGTTTAAACGTTGAAAAGATCGATTCTCCTCATTTCTCCTTAAAGTCGGATCATTTTCTGCTCGTCTCTCTGATTTCACCTGTAAATTTGTTTTACGGCCGACACTTTTACGGCTGTTTTCCTTCCTTACACACCTCAAACTGCACCTCGCCACTAATCTATACGCCGCTTTTCTCTAATTGTTTCTCTCTTCTATCGACCGCCGTATTCATCCCCATAATGAGAGATAAGTCGCTTCACACCGTCGAGCACCTTCCTCATTTGTCTTGCACGCTAACACACATGCGCTCATATATATCTGTGTACAAACACACACACACAAACACACACACCCTCCCCCACCTCTCTGACACATGCAAACACACTCTCTGCAGCGGGCCTCGGGCCGACTCGATGGCGCTCTTATCTTCAACGCGCAGACTTAGCATTATACCATCGAGCAGCTACTGTCTCCCAGTCACACTGATCTCCTCTCAGGTTGGACTTCTTCCTCCTCCTCCTCTTCTTCCTCTTCTTCTTCTTCTGCTCTCGCTAATTTAGCATCGCTAATCTAATAGGACGCCGCCTTTTCTGAAAACATCACCGGATTCGTTCGGTGTCAGAGGTCCTGTTCCGCCCTGGCAGCAGCGCCTCTCTTTGCTTTTAATTTGCTCTTCATGTATGTTATGAATATCCCCGCGCCGTGCATAATGTCATTAAGTATGGCCAATGCAGAGTGGGCAGCTGTCCCAGAGACACTCAGTTCACCAACTCATGAAGCGCCATCTCGCCGTTTTTTAAGCGTCTGCAGCGGCGCCAGCAAACGTGGGAGCCTTAAATATCGATATTATTCTCTTTTAATAACATCCAAGAGTTTTATCTGCGATTGCTCAAACTTAAACCGTCTTTCATGAGTTTAATACTTTTAATTCGGATGTGTTTGCTGATTTTTGCACATGAGCAGGGAGTGAAAGTTCAGCAGGACCTGGCAGACGGCCCGGTAAAAGACAGAGATCAACACTTTAGCTGCTGCTGCATCTCTCCTTGCACAAGAAACAGACAATGGGTAGAAATTTCAAAACGGAGCTAAAGTTCACCAGGAAACAGTCTGCAGCTTCTTTCCAGTAAAAACCGAAGCTGAGACGAGTTCAAGCGCAAAAACAGAAAGTGAGTTTTTCTGCTCCCGTGGTTCTTTCAGGAATATTTTACACGACACATCCGCGGATCTTCCCCGCTATCATCAGGGGAGCGTAACGGCCCTCACAGAAGTTGTAAGTGTCCAGCGTTGGCCCTGGCTGGTGGGACAGAGTCCAAGAGAGAGTGTCACAGCGTAGCAACTCAAGGAATCCCAAAAGGAAACAGCTGCATGGGCAGGCCGCGCTGTTTTTCTCAGCGAGCTTCATGCGTGTACCGGCCAGCATGTGTTTTCCCAGAGTTTCCCAGAGCTCCTGTGTGATCACATATTGGAGTATTTCTGGACCACATGTTCTCACAGCGGCGCTCAGAAATAGAGATTTTCCACTTTCAGGTTTTCTCTCTCTCCGAGGGTCGGGGTTAAAACCGCTCAGAGGTGCTCAGAGTTACAGCGGAGGGAGGAAGTCAATCTTTCCCGCGCTCACAGGTGTAGTAATAGAAACCTCTGTGTGTTTGTGTGTGTGTGTGTGTGTGTGTGTTAGCGCTCAGAGAGACAGTCATTTCCAATCCTGTCAGCTGTTGTTCTGTGCTTCCAAACAGGGCTCAGGAGAGATTTGGGGGGTGGGGGAGAAAAAGCACGGCCCGATGTAATTTCTTGCCATCCTGACAGCGCCGCAGAATAAAGTGGCGCTCTCTTCCCGGGTGATTGGAGGGAATTGCTTCTCGGGGTGACAAATGATTAGCTGTTATCTCGGACAGGATTTGATTCCCACAAGCAGACGGCAAGTCAGGCTGCCGACCGACCGACCGACCGAGCGGCCAGTCAGCCACCCGGCCGACTGAGACCGACGGCGCTGAGTCAGGTAACTCCGCGGGAGGATACGAGGGCCTATTCGCAGGAAATTAAGTCGCCAGCCGCGGTTAAGCACCTCCTTCCTCCTGTGTCCCTACGAGGCGCCCACCAGGACAAAGCCTAATCCGCTCTGTCAGGACCAGATTACGACTTTGTTTAATTGGAGATGGGCTTCGCTGACAATCAGGGCCTGTTGTCGCGCAGCGGTGCAGGTGTTTTGTTGACGCTTTTCATCTTTAAGAAAGCGTCCGCCGATAAATGGGACGGCTTTTCTGAGTATGAGGGCCGGCTTAGACGCTCAGAACGCCAAATTAAAGTCCAGGACCACATGTACGGACCGTAAATGGACCTTTAGAGCAAAGAAAACATCTCGTCCTCATTTGACACAAATTGATCAGAATATATTTTTAGTTTCGTCCATAAAACCTGAACTTATAAAGTCTAAATGAGTGATTTTTTTACTCCCAGTGAAGCCTTCAGTCTGCGTTAAAAGCCCCCGTAAATGATCCTCATATTTATGGGGCGCCAAGTGAAGCTGCTCACACTCTCTAAAAGGATCAGGTAAATTCGAAGCCCTGCCGTCAAAAGGTTCAATTTCTCTTTACAAGAAGAAGAAGAAGAGCAGAGTGCACACTGAGACGGGGATGAAGAGGGAAGTCTCATTTCCCAGCGCGCCCTAATGAAGAGGGTTGAGTCCTGTGTATCACACGAGGATTTTGACACATTAATCCCTGGGTAGACTTCAAGCCTTTGTCCGTCTAATGGCTCTTTGGCACCTTGGATTCCTGTTGGAAGCCAATTTGTGGCGCTGACATTGAGGCGGTGAAGAAGCTCAGCGGCGGCAGAGGCCACATTTGGAGAGACGAGTCAAGGTGTTAAAGCCTGATTGGTTCCTCTCTGCGACTGGTTGTCACCCCGTGAACACATGCTCCTCAAACGGAGAAAGGAGTAGACGGCGGTCTCCTCTGCACCTCGCCGTGGACTCTTCAGATAAGAGGAGGTAGAGTCACATCAGAGGAGCGCTGGAATGTTCCTCTGTCACAAATCAGAGAAACCTCCCGGGATCAATTAGCCGCCCATTACCAAAGATTCAGAGAGTTTCTTACGCAACTACATTTAAGTGCAAGGAGGGAAGGAAGGAAGGAAGGACGGAGGGAGGAAAGAGGAGAAGGGGAGACTGTTTAAGGATCTTGTCAAACTTCACCTCTGGCTTGAACAAGCATGGCGGGAGGCTCTGGCGTGTCGTTCAGGTCATGAAAACAACATGAAAACGTCCCTGTCAGCCGCTCTGTTTTCATTACCTGAAACAACAAACAGTGAGGAAAAAAGAGGAGAGGAGGAAGGAAAGAGCGAGTGCTCCCCCGGGACGCCGTTTACTTCCTGAGCAGATGAGACGATAGGTGAAAGAGGAGCCCACGAGCTCTCCCTCCTCTGTCCTTGTGACTCGCTTTCATGGCGGCGTTGAGAGGTGTCGTGCATCGCGGCTAAAGAGCTACCTCTGCCGGGGTGAAGGGTTCAATTCCCGGTTCTGCCCGGCTCAGAGTCCAAACTCCCAGAGGAGTCCCCCCCCACGGTTAAAAATGTCTGCAGCGAGACTGCTTTGGATAAAAATGTCCACCAACCAGCTCGGGCGGCGTTAACTACACTGGAGGGAATTGTCCTGCAATAACAACCACCCAGCAGAGGTTGTGCATGACTCGGTCTCCTCTCCTACCGCAGGGACGAGCCCATTGTTTGGCCTGAGGTTGATGATATTTTAACCAAGGTGATGATAGCCTGGGTTGTTTTCCTCCGAGGGGAGTCCGCCCCCCTCCTGTCTGCTACCTCTCCCTTCGTGGGAGCTCGACTTTTTCAACTTCTTCTTTGTGATTTATGACCCCTCCATCAGATCCATCCCCCGGGTCCTCCCCTGGCGCTCTCACAGCCAGTCCTGACTAAAATGGATTAGGTGCAGTTATCCACAAATGGATCCTGGAATACCTCCGTCCTGTAAAGTTAAGACACGCTCGGTTTGATTGCAGAGGTGGAGTAGGCCCGAGCGCCCGCTCTGATCTGTGAGTGTCTCCTGTTTGCCCGCTGTAATTACCTGTTTTGAAAGAGTTAATAGCCATAGGAAACCCGCTTAACGGGGATAAAAGGGACAGTATCTGGCGTTCAAAGCGATGAGAGGGTTTTAACTGCGCTGGGATGTGTGCATATGTGTGTGTGGGAGGGGGATACTTTCCTTTATGCACTCTGGAAAGGGGAGAAGAAAAAAAAGTTCCTTATCAGGTATGTACTTAAAAGGATCCCTCTGCTGGAAGCGCACTGTCTTGAGGGAAAGCGCGGAGAAAAGATGAAAGCCTTTTGTTAAAAGTGACGCTCGGCCCAGGTTTCCTGTGCCTTGCCTCGACTCCCCTGTCCCTCCCCGCCTGAGTGCTCAGCTCTCTTCCTCCCACTTCTGCCTTCTCCGCCTCGCAGAGCTGTCTTTGAGGGGGGGAAAAGTAAACCCTTCTTGCCGCCTGCCGGTGTTAGATTAAATACCGAGATGGCGACAGGAAAAAGGCAGGGAGGAAAAACAAAAAAAAAAAAAAAAAAAAAAAAAGCACGCCGCCCGGCCTGCCTGCCTGCCTGCCTCTCTGGCTGGCTGGCTGACTGGCTGAGCCGGGGTGAGGGATGTTGGAGGAGAGTTATCAGGTTGGCGACGGAAACTGCCAGTTAGTCAGCAAGACTCCCAATCTGGCGTAGTCCAAACATGCCGCCCCGGGTTTTCGATGACACGGTAATCTGTCCCAGGGAGTTCAGGGTTGATCTAAAGAAGACGGCTCATCTTTTCTCTCCCTTATCATACCGACATAGCAAACTGGAGGTGCCTAAGGCCACTAACACAATAACAGGAGAATAAAAGCCTCTTCTTCTTCAGGGAGGAGGTATTGAGAGCATTTTTCATGGCTGAAGTATGTCCAGCGTAGTGGGCTTTAATTCACAGGGATACGCGGAGTTAACAGCCGCCGCCGACATCTTGCAGAACACATTTCCTTTCATTTACACTGTGCAAATCACTTGACCCTTACACGGGAAAATAGCAATGATATGACTTCCGGGAGCTGTGAAAATTGGAGACCTGTGAAGTCATTCAGAGATTTGTTGAGCCGCTGAGACGAGGTTTCTGAGGGATCTGAAGGAAGTATCAAGAAACAATGAGTGTAAGACTTTATGTCTTGGCTTAGCTCCTCTATCTCTCTCTTTTTTCCCCTCTCTCTCTCTCTCTCTCTCTCCGCCCCGCCTGACTAATCAGGACTGCTTAGAAAAATGGTAATAGCCTGCGTGCAGTGACAGTGCCCTGGCAGGTTTGTGAGCGCCCCACCAGGGAGGGAAAAAAGCAGCCGGCGCTATGCATCCTAGAAATGAGACTCAATAAGCACAATAATGTGTTTAACTTGTAAACTAGTGCGGGTGACAGATTACGGGCGGTCCAGCAGTGTGGCGAGGAGCCGCCGTCTCAGCCGTTCACCTTTTGCCTCTACATCTGTCCTGCTAATGGGCTCCACTTCCACTTCTCTGCCAGCGCGTTAGAAACCTAAAATCCTCAGGCGAAGCTCTCATTCCTCCCCTCATTCTATTTCCCAATTAGACGAGAGGGCATGATTAGTTTATTAGCAGTAGCAAAAGCTCCGGCGAATGTGTTTGCGGATTCTTAGCTGTTAATGAGCAAATTCAAACCCTATTGAACGGACGCGGGTGGGAGGGGGAGGTTATTCGCGTGTGCTCGGCTAATAATAGCGTCCCAAAGACAAAAGATGGAGGAAATAGCATTATAGGAGGGGGGGGCAGAACAATGGGAGCCTACCGGCGCTCTTAATGGCATGCTCTTTCATTTTTTAAATTGTTTCCCTTTTGGAATTATGTATGCTCGCCATCCTCTCCTTCAGGGTTTGGCAAAGCGTATACACACACTCTTCTTCCTCAGCCAGCCCCGCTAACACCGGGGAATAGAGGCAGGTCTTGAAGCACAGGAGACAGGAGTTCCACCTGTGGGAAATGAACTCCAGCGCAACCCGCTCTTTGTTTTCCCGCCGCCTTGGCAGGCTTAACCACCTCCTTTACAAGCCAGGTAAATTGTTCATTAGGGCCGAGGTAAAGGGGGGGTGGGAGGTGCTGCTGCTGCGAGGAGGAGGAGGAGGAGGAGGAGGAGGATTTTTTTTCCTGAGAAGTGCGAAGAACAAACAAGTCAGAGCATTTGTTCAACGGTGTAATCTACACATCAATTATCCTGCCGAGCTAATTAGCACCTCGGCATACCCCAGGTACCTGAGCACTCACACATGCTCGACTCTTTCAAGCCACTGATCAAAAAAAGGAGAGGATTGACAGAAACACGGGGAGGCAGAACCCAAGGGTAGGAGGGGGGAGAAGCCTTAGATCAAAATTTCCTTTTTACTTACAGTATACCGAGACTACGCTCTGTGTGTGTGTGTGTGTACGAGTGTGTGTGTGTTGCAGCAGGTCTCGTCATACCAATGGAGATACTCAATTATGTAAGACATACATACATGCACATATACGATTGAGTATCAGCCATTGAAGATGATTGTAAGATATGGAAATTTCCACCTAGAAGTCACCTTTCCTGACATCTGTCTGTACGGGATCTTATTAGAAAGGCACTGATGCAAAATTTCCCATTAATGTGCAAAATCTGAACATTTTTTTAGTCCTGAAAAACAACAAGTGTGCAGAACGACTCCAAACTGAGAAGTCAATCAAATCTGACCTCTACATTTTTAATTGCAGATCATCTCTACAGTCTCTTTTACACCTTTGGACCTCTATTATCAGGGTCATGATAGATTCTCAGTGATATTTCATGGTTTCAAAGGGAGCGTGAGGTTTGAGGACAGTATGAATCAGGTAAATTAGAGCATCACCTGTAGAAGTGGACGTGGCCCATGTCTCGAACTCTCCAGTTAAGGTCTTGGCTCTCTTATTAAGGTGCAGCTAGCTCAGTATGTGAAAGAAGAGCCCTAGGTATCCACATCCCCCAGCTGCTCCCCCCTCCTCTGCTTCCATCCTTAACTCCCACCATGTAATTAAAAGTGTAGTTTTCGCCCTCCTGCGGCTACATAAGAAAGACAGGTACAACATGAAAAAACTGCAACTGGCAAGAGAGAAAAAAAAGGAAACAAAAAGCCTCGGTCTGCTCCTGTTTACTCCCACCCACGTCATGTATAAGTCATGGGCTCTGGGGCCTCCGACTGCAGCGCTGCCTGTTTGTGCCGTTTACCGAGATCGAGGGAAAGGTTAAGTTGTGTCATCTCGCCGCTGTCTTACACCTGGCGTACCTTGCCGCTAGCGCTGTCTAACACTCACACAAACACACACGCAGATGTGCTGCTAAATAGGAAGGTGTGCAAAATCTCGCAAGCAGTTGGCGATCACAATAAAGGCGAAGAAACCATCGGCTAATCGATCCGGAAATGGATTTATATATGTTACCGTCTCTAAATAGCTCACAGCTCTGTTATGCAGAAACTCAAACTGCAGCATTATTATTATTTTTATTATTATTATTATCATCACCTTAACAGACTCAGAAATCAGTTTACTGACCAGATATCACTGCATAGACACAAAACCTACTGTCTGAATTTGATAGAGTATTAAACTCGAAATTAAGGTTTGTAGAAAAAAGGGCATCATAATCTCAGCAAGAGCTAAATTAGGCTACAAATGTAAAAAAATATGAACAATTATCAACAGTAATGTTACAATAATGTTGGATTTTAGCTTTAAAAAATTCCCAATTGTGCCAAAAATGATTAAATTATCTTGATTGAATGTTTTTTAAATGAGGATATCCTGATTATATTGTGTGTTGACCAAACTATCGTGATAAATTATGTCATTCCCATTATAGTAATGCTGTGATATATCCACAGAACCACAATAATACTGTATGATAATATTGTACCATGACATAAGTATCATCTTAATGATGTATCATGACTTAAATGATAATATTGTAAAAAGTATCGTGATATATTGCAACATTGTTCAACATCGTCTTAAGTACTAGGATGATACTTTTCAACAATATCACATATTTACAACAATATCATGATGATCTTCTATCATGACTGAAATATCATGATAGATTTGTTTTGTGGCTAAAGTATCACAGTAATATCATATATTTATATATCGTGATAAAATGGTATCATGACTGAAATATCGTGATATTATTGGACGATAATAGAAAAAGACAAACAGATCATGATTTGAGTTTTAATTTGAGTTTAGGGTTTTAAACTGACTCCTGTCTTTAACAGTTAGACAGTATAGGCTGAAGCTTGAATTGTCGTCATTGGAAACATGGGTCATGTGACTACAGCGCTGTAACAGATTTGACTGAATAATCACGTCAGATGCTTCCAGGAGATGGTTTAAGACACTCAGGTCGTTGCTGTGACACTAAGCTATGCCCCCTGTCTGTCCAGACTCTCACCCACCACCTCCTCCTCCTCCCCACTTTTTCATGCCCCCCCCCAACACACACACACACACACACATACTCCCCCCTCCCTCTGGCTGGCTGGTAGCTAATTGGGAACTTGGTAACAGTGTCAGAGAGAGTCGCCTTTCTCCAGAGGGCTTTCCCATCTCTGTGAGGGCCCAGGCCACCTCTCCAGCATGTGTAAGGCTGTGTGTGTGTGTGTGTGTGCGTGTTTATGTGTGTGCACGTGTGTGTGTGTGTGTGTTTATGTGTGTGTGTGATTCACTGATTGGAGGGCCCGGTTTGCCGGTCGCCTGCTGGGGATGAGGCACACACACGCACATGAGCACACACCATTTCCTGGTGCTTGTTTGATACCTGGTGGGGATGCTATTCAGGTGACAAAGATCTCTTGTGAGTGTGTGTCTGTGTGTGAGTGTGTGTGTGTGTATCTGTGTGTGTGAGTTGGTTGGGGTAACAGATGTGATTTTACACTCTCATTACCATGTGAATGAGGCCCTGGGCCCCCAGATTGGCTCGGACCAGAGAGGAAGAAGAGGTCTTCTCCTCGGCCCCCCTCCCTCGAACTCACCCTCCTGTGGCCCCTCACCTGGACCCCCCCTTTCTCCCCCTCCCCTCTGGTTCATCCTGTCTGATCTCTTCAGTCCATCTGAGGTCCCTGCTTGACTCCCCCCTCTTCATTACCCCCTCACACACACACACACTGATCGACCTTTAAACAGCTGGTGACTGGCAGAGTTTTACGACGGTGAGAGGTCTCACTCCCTCTTGTTTTTCTTGTCATTTTTACAAAATACGAGCGGTCAGACACAAACACACAAACTCCGATTTCACTCAGGCAGACCTCACTCTCTCTCTCTCTCGTGTTGCTTTTTGGGACCGGTGAGAAATGGTTGTTTTAGCTCTCAGGTGCTGTTTTTCTGCGATAACTGCGACCATGGCCTCTGTTGCATCGGACAAGAATGCAAAACAACCTTGGCCAGATCAAACCGGTTGTTTTCGCGTCTATCTGGCGGCCTCCTCAACAGTTTTTGTCTGAGTAAAAAGGTGAAAGCGTTTCAGAGAGCTGCATATAACCTCTCTGATGGCTCTGAAACAGACGACTCTATTTACTCGGTTCACCTCTAAGACCAAACGAAGATACTTTAAAATCACGTCCTCGGCTCCACTCAGCATGAAAGATGATCTCCGAGCTCTGATTAATTCTTCTTTTTTTCTTCATCCCAAAAAGATGCAAAGCATTTGAGCAGAGAAGCCCTCATTTGTTTCCTTTTCTTCTCCCTCCCCTCAGTGAAGGAAATCAGCATCAAAAGCTTCTGTTAGCCGGTAATTACAGCTCAGGTTCTGCTTAACTGTTATTAACAAAAAAGTACAGTAATCTGGCCTGGCAGTGCAATATGTTACCGTAGCTTTCTAATTAATCTTACAGGGAGCGTAATAAATTTACAATATCAGATTGGCGCAATACTGTATATAGATTTATTAAAGCTTTTAATCAGTTCTGGCAAAATTAATTTTGCAATGATTGCTTACATTTGAATTTGCATATACTTAGTGCAAGTAATTTATTTTTATAGATTCTTTTTTATTAAAACGAGGCACGTGGGGGCCGTCAGGGATGAAGAATTGCTGGATTTTACTTCTCTTGTGCTGCGAGGAAAGAGTTTTTCTCCGAGGTGTGAGGGAACGTGATGCACCGTCTCACTGTCACTGAACTTTTTATCCCCAAAAATCACATCTTATGACTTTTTAACACTTTATTTCTGTGAGTGAAGTTGTGTGTCTGAGTTGTTAGAGCTTCTAGGATGCAGAGTATGATCTTCATGGATCCTCAAAATGAGCTGGAAGGTTGTGGCAAACTTTTGCAGGTTATTATTTGGAGTGTGTGTCATTTTTTAATGGAGGTTATTGAAGAAAAATGCAGAAAATGTCCATTTGAGCTGCAGTTTAGCCCCTCACACCAAACAAAGTCTGATTTCTGATCACTTTAAAGCATACCTGAATCAAACTGCAGATGATATTGACTCTATATAGTAGGTATTAGAGCTAGCTGTTGCACCTTTAGCATGTGTTGTTGCTACTTTCTTAAAAACAGCAAAAATCTAAATGGAGTTTGGTTTGTGTTGCGATCGGTCTCCGAGTAGATCTTCTCTTCTTCCTCCTCCTTGTCTTTCTCTCTTGTAAATACTCACAATGACACAATCCTACAGAGAAAACACACACCGAGGAGCACAGGAACACAGATGTACACTCCCACACACTCACACTTACACACATAAACACACACAAACACACACACACACACTCTTAGGAGCGGTGTAGCACTTCCAGGGCAGATAAGAGTGATTCATAAACAGATGAACCCAAAGCAGATGTGTTATCACGGTGGTGCACAAAGTAGTGCGAGGCCACACCGGCTCTCGTGGGTCCATCATACACACACACACACACACATACACACATACACAATATTAAGCAGAGCTGATAACAAAACGCTGTGACATAAATTCAGAGCCACCTCCTCCTCACAATCTAACCTGATATGAGTCCATGTCAGCAGATTCCACCACCTGTGTGTGTGTGTGTGTGTGTGTGTGTGAGGTGTGTGTTTGTTTGTGTGTGTTTTCCCCTTGTGTGAAAGCGTGTGTTTCTATTTATAAAAATGTTCCGCATGCCGCTTCGTCATGTGTGTTTGCGCGTCTATTTTTGTGAATGCATGTTGCTGCTTTGCCCACATGTAGGTGTGTATGAGAGTGTGTTTGAATGTGAGTGTGTGTGTGTGTGTTTATGTGTGTGTAGGCTGGGGCGTGGACTGGTGGCATTGAGCCACGGTGTCCCTTTGAGACTGGGCAGGAGGAGGAGGAGACGGAGGAGGAGTGGAAACGAAGAGAGAGAGAAAGAGAGAGAGACTCATGGCCGAAGAGAAAGAGGAACGATTTAGATAACAGTCTCAGCTTTTGGCACACACACACACACAGACACACACTTACACACACACACTCACTGCTATCGGAAACACATTATTATTGGAGAGAGCTGACCACAGGAGAACCCTGGCAAGAGCCCTGAGATGGGCTCTTATATTTTTCTCCCTCCCCAGGGAAGAATTCATGAATTAAATCTTTCTATTAAAGGTAACCCACCCCTCCTCCCCCAAGAATACAAAACTGGAGAGTGAGGAAAACTACAATTTACAGACGAGAGCTGACATTATTTCCAATATCCAAGCGTGTTTAAGAGCAGCTTCTCAATAATGAATCTGTTTTTTAGTCAGTAGGAGCTCAAAGAAAAGGAGAAAACTGATTTTTTAACTCCAATAATTTAACCTGGCCTTTAAACTCTTTACATAACAATAAAAAACAGAAAAACAATCTGCTTTTCTCATATTTTTTACATAGAAAAATGTCAAAATTATTAATATTTTTACATTTTGGATCAATAACCGATTAAAAAAAACTGTTTATATTATAATTTGTTTATTTCATATTGCTGAGGTCTAAAATTACTAAAACAGCACGGTATAAATCATTCAGTCTCACCATATTTTTGTTAAACTCTCATCATCTCACCAATCAGACTGAAAAATAAAATACAAAACCAAGAAATTCACGACTTATATTAAATTAAACTTTGTTTTTGTCATTTTAACTCTTTTTTTACCACCATCACTATATAAATAGTAGTTTCTTTTATTTTTTAATGACATTTTTCTCTTTATTCAATTTAATATGAAAATACAGCAGTAGTGTTCATGTTTCAGATGCATATATGTTGATTTTTTTGTTTCAAATTTGCTGAAAAATGACTAAAAAAGCATAAATTTGATTATAACCGCCTGATATGATATTGATTAGTCAGAGAAGTGTTTATATTATTATAATTAATGATGATTTTTCTTCTTTATTTGAAATTTAGCTTCATGTTGTTTAATAGAATCTCTGCATGTTTGATGGAAATCAGCTGCACATGTAAACACATGTCCAGTCTTTTATTTTGGCGGGGCATCTGCGTCATTAGCTGTGTTTTCTTCTCCATGTTAACATGCAGGTGCTCGTGTCACAGTCTTAGCTGCAACATCAGTGCTCACACACACACACACACACACACATACACACACACACACAAAGCGCAGCAGATTTCAAATAGTTGAAACTCCTGGCTGCATTCATTCAGCTGGGAGCTTAAAAAGAGCTTTTATAGTGGAGGGGAAATTAGCGATGGTCTCTCTTATGTGTGTGAGAAGCGACGACTCCAAAACTGGAAGCGGTTCACCCAGTTTTCTTTTTTTTTCTTCTCTCTCTCTCTCTCTTTTCTCGGTGTGTGTGTGTGTGTGTGTGTGTGTGTTTGGTTAGTTACAGTAATTACGGCCCAATAACTGACAGCCAAAACCAGGCAGGAGAAAGTAGAAGGGGGCTGTTTTTTTCCTCCTCAGCCGCGCGCTGCCTTGCTGCCGAACATCTGCTGAGAGATTTGCATATTAATTAACCCATATTAACTCTAATTATTCTGGGAAATTATCAAATAAATTAAATTTTCTAATTTTAACCGTTTTTTCCCCCTTTCCCCGCTGCTTGACGTGTGTCAGAGGAACATCAGGAGGCGGAAAGGAAGCTCACCTGGGCTGGAATAAAAAAATATACTCTCTCTGAGCTCTCCCCCCTCCTCCCTCTGCATGCACTCTTCCTCCCCCCTCCTCCCTCCTCTGTTCTTCCTCTCTGAATCCTCCCTCCCACTCCCCTGGCCTGGGAGTCCTGAGGGCAGCCAGGGGAAGCTTTTGTGTGTCTTTTTTATTCTTCTTCTTTGGCTTGTGTGACGAGGAGGAGGAGGAGGAGGACGGGGGAGGAGGGGGGAGGTTTACTTCGAACATTTGTTGGAGGCAGGAACATGTGTGAGGAGGGGGAGGATGGAGGGGGGGCACAGATGGTGAATCCATGCAGGACCCGGCAAAGGTGGGACCTCTGAGCTGTTGAGCAAACCTTGCAGCTTTCTCCCCCTCTCTCTCTCTCTCTCTCTCTCTCTCTCCCTCCCTCCTCTCTGTCTCCCCCCTCCCCAGCCTGTTGCTCCGGCCTCCTCGGCAAATAAATGGGACTTTAATTGAATTAGAGTCCGAGCTGCTGCGAGGGTCTCCTCCTGGACAGAACCAGCCCTGGTTTTAGAGATGTGCAGCGAGACTCAGTATGAAGTCGAAGGAGTCGCTGAAATCAGCTGTTTGATTCAGCCGAGAGTTAACGAGAGTTATGAAATGATTCTGAGAGATTTAGACTCAAAGTTTGTTTGGAATTTTTCATCTTCTGAATTTCTCCAGTGTTGTTTTGTTTAGCAGTCGTGGCTTCATTGTCGTTTATGACCTAATTTAAGTCGTAAACGTTGAATTTCCTGCCTTTTGGCTTTGTGTTTAGAGCTCTAAAGGTCATAAACTTTCATTTTCCTGGTGAGGTTTGGAGTTTTTGCACCCTCCTGTGCAGAAATGTTATTTTTTAGTAAATATTTATCCTGAAAAAGGTCCAGATTTTATCCCCCTCTTGTTGGTTTCTTCTATCGGACTGTAAATTTTCGTGCACAGAGACGTTTTTCACCGTTTAACTTCCGGAGAGCTTCTTAAAGTCATCTCTAAAATCCTCCTCCTATCAGTCAAACACACTCTCAGCCTCTCACTCGTCATCCACACCCCTCCCCCTCCACACACACACACACACACACACACTCTTGCAGACAGACACACACTCTCCCAGGTTGCGTTTACACTTCACTGAGTTTTCACCATTCATCGTCCCCCCCTCCTCTCCTCTCTCGCCCTCACCCCTCACTCTCTCTCTCTCCTTTCAGAGCTTTTGTTTGCCCTCTGCCACCGTCCTTTCACCGACTTGGCCCTGATTTGGCCCTTGTGCTCGATCTCACCATTATACTGAGACAAGATAGCACAAAATATCCAAACATGTCGGCGTTTCTTTTGTCCGCTGTGACTTCGCTTCGCTCCGGAGCGGCTCTGCCGTGTCCCCTCTGACGGAAAATCATCAGCAGATGGATTATTTACGAGTTTAAAGACTTTCTGCTTATAAAAGTTTGTTCAAATTTAAGAGGAAGGCTTTAAAATGAAGTTTAGACGATTATAACAAAGGATACCCAACTATCAGACCACGTCATTTAGTCTTTTCTGAATAACTTTGATTCTTGATGTTCGTTTTTCAAACTTCCTGCTTTGTCTGAGCTCAGATCTGACTTTAAACAGGAAGATCAAAGTTTAAAAAAAGCTTTAAAACATGTAAAAGAATACACTTTTACTATAAATAAGGAATTTGTACAAGAAAACTTCAATAAAAGAGCACTCAAATCAGGAGAACGAGCTTTAGAGTCATCAAATTAGAGCAAATGGATTATTTTTAAAGAGAAATGTCAGAATAGAGTTAGAAAAGCTCCTTTTAATTTTACTAATTTAGTTAAAAACCACACAGGAAAAGTCTCAGGACTGATTATAGTTCAGGATCATTCTAGACAAAAGTGGAAATGTGCAAATTTAATATAGAAAAGAGATTTAGAAGAATAAAAAAGAAGCAAACATGACAACATGCAGAAAAGAAAGTCTATGAATTAGTCACTCATCTTAATGTGCAGAATAAACCAAGAAAAATAACTTAAATTTTCACAAAACTGTCCAAGAAGGAGGATTTAAATCGGATTTATACTAAAACAGAGAAATAAACGCTGCAGAGATGTAAATAAACAGCAAAAGAAAGTCTTTTAAACGTGTAAAAGAAGAAGTTTGTGATGTGAGAGAGAGAGAGAGAGAGAGCGAGCGAGCCTCCTGTAGGTGTGAGAGAGAGAGAGAGAGACTCAGACCCGGAGAAAACCTTAAACTGCTGCAGACAGGAACAATGGCAGACAAAAGGTCAGGACGAGAATCCGCTACCGCTGGCCGTAGCCACAAGGCAGCGACCTCGCTTCCACCTTAATGCCCTCCCACACACACACACACACACACACACACACCGAGTTATACACTCCACTCCTGCTTCCCCATCTCCCTCGCAGCCATCCAGGTGATCGGCTTGGCTCACATTCATGAGACAGGGAGCGAGCGTGAGCAGTTATCGTCCAATAGGGAGAATGTCCTGGCTCATTATCGGCGTAGGAGGCCGAGCGTGTCACCTGGAGCTAAGCCTCGACACTCCACTAAAAAAAAGTCAGCCGGGGTTAGAGTGAGACCGTGAATGTGGGTGTTAGTCATTCCCCCCACAGCGATCACCTCCACCGCTGGCCTGCCGAACACACACACACGTACACTCACACACACACACACAGCTCTCTCTCTTTCTCTCTCTGGCTCCCAGACCCGAGCAGGAAGGGCTTTTAGTGCAGCCTCCTCCTCCGGGGCACTGGACGACTACTCAGGGAGCGTTAAATAAATGTGATTATACTTGTTAGCATTGTGAAATGGTTTCTCCTCGGCAGTGCAGGTGTAACACGGAGGAGCTGTGATTCAGAGGAGGAGAGGAGAAGTTGGAAAGGTGAAAACGGAGGAGAAAACTTTCCCCGTCTGTCAATTTTAGTCTTCTGGCTCTGATCGATGAAGCTATCGGAACAAAAACTACCACAGTCCTCTCTACCTTCACCGCCGGCTGCCAATTATTAAACATTAAATTCACTTTTCTGGAGACTTTTGAAGACTTTCTCTCAAATTTAGAGACTGTTTCTCCAAATTTATCGGACAGGAAACCTCTGAAGTCTTCCTTCCTCTCCCCTCTGACTGATTAAAACTGAACTTTGAGGAACTGTTACGAGAAATTAGAACTCAAATTAGCCGTCTTTACCGAGGGTTAGTTTAGTTTGAGCCCATTAAAGTTACAGTAGAGGTTTTTCTGTTTTCTGTTGAGAGAGTTCTTTCTAGTTCTTGTCCATAAAATCCAAGATCATGCAAACAAAAACCTGCAAAAATCAGATTTGAAAGGAAAGGAAGTGTAGATCATTCGAGGTATCTTTTGATGAATCACTTTGAGTCACCTTGTAACTTCTTCAGCTTCGTCAGGATACTTGCACGCAACACGACCCCAAACAATAAAAACAGCAGAAAGAAACGACCACGACCTTAAAAACAGCTCCAGTAAATCAAAGAGTTTCTGCAAACACGAGCCGGAGCCGGCTTTATTTGGTGGCCCGCACTTCCAGCTTGAAAGGAATTCCATGCATACATAAAGTTTTTGACCAACACTCGCGCCCGCCGCCATCATCAAAGGGACGAGTTGATGGCGGCGTTTTCCTCTGAGTGACTTTAGATTGTCTTTGAATGCGGCGTGCGGTCAGACGACCGTTGTCAGAGTGACTTCTCCTTGTTTTTTCGCAGGAGTCGATGATGACTCCGAGTTTAAAGGCGTTGTTTTTTTTGATCACTGCAGCCATTTGTTCACTGTCAAACCTGACGCCTTGTAAATATAATCATTTTAGATTTGGAGTTTGCTTCCCGGCACTAAATTAATCCGCCGTATCTGCAGAATACAACTGTCACAGCTGAAGTATTGTTTTTTTTTTCTTATCTTCATCAAAGAAATGATTAGATTTTAATAAGACTTGCTCTCTCGGGCTGTCACCGCTGATGCTCCTCGCCATCCTAATCAATATACAATATTCCCCTCGGCTCTGTACTTTTTGGCTGAGTGACAGAATAATGCCAGGCCTGTGAAAGGGTTATGTCAGATAGTTTAAAACCTGGTATTAAACAAGAATTGCGCTCTTACATGTTGTCATTTTAATTATCTGAGCGAGTCAAGTCAAAGAGGCTCCTTTTATTTACCTTAAATGGAGAGACAGCAAACAGGTAAAGCGGGAGTTTGTGAAACGTCAGGCGTAATTGCTTTTGTCGTGGATGACACTTAAGGTAAGAAAAGGAGCGGGATTTGAGGAGTAAACATTCTCTTCTCTTTGTCTTTCTCTCTCCTCAGCTGCACAAAAGGCTGATTAAGAGTGAGGTTGGGAGAAGGGGGGCGAAATAACTGCCTGCAAAATATTAGTAGGTTAGAATTACTTTGTTGCGTGACACAATACCAATAGATGCTTCATGCTCGGAGAGGGAGAGGCACTTGTCAGCGGTGGCACCTAAACAATGGCAGCTTTCTTGACGCTAATGCTAAGCGTTTGTTCTTGACGAGCACCCCACTGTCATTTTGCCTTCTTGGAGGTATACGTTGAATGTGGAGGAGACAGCTGATTGCGTCTACTGTAGCTTTCAGAGACAACTTCAACGCCCCCGTGCTCGAATCTGTTCAGAAACTTGGGAACAAGACGTCAGGAAACGGTGACAAAAATAAAAAATGTAAGCTCTCACTTCTCTTCCTCGAGGATTTTCTCTCAATCACGGCCCTCAAACTTTGCTGCAGTCCGACACAATGCCGCATTCCCTACGTGGGAGTCAGACCGGTGTGCGTTGCCGTGCATTGGATGTGTTGCCAAACAAAAAGAAGCTCCCTCGCTCCTTTTATTGGGGAAGAATGGGCCCTTTAAAACCTGTCCAGCCTTAGATAATTTCATTCAGCCGGCCCCTGCTCCGCCGTCATTGAATCTGCATCCAGAGATCAGGTTCACAGCGACGGGTTGATAGCTTCCCAAGCCTCTTGGCCTTTTGTTCTTGGCTGCCTCCCCCTCCTCTGGAAGTTGGGGGACACAGAGCTGATGGGACACGGCTGAGAAAAGTTCAGAACCTCGGGGGCGACGGGGCACGGAGAGGTGAATACCAAAACCGCGGTTTTGTTCTTTTGAAGGCTCGTCTGGTCCGGTCTGACGTTTGACAAACGTTTCAATAAATGTGGGGAGAAGGTAACGGATCGGCCCCTTCAAAATAAGATTCAAAGGAGGTGGATGATTTAGTGATAGGACTCTTATTTTGAATTGTCTTTGTTGAAGTTTTTATTCAGTGAAAAGATTGGGAGCAGCTTTAGGACTAACTGTGCCAAGTTGACTCTTATTTTGAAGGGTTGATGGATTTCTTTATTTTGAAAACCTATGAGTGTTTTTTTTTTTTTTTTTTTTTTTTTCAGTCCAAAAAATACAATACAGAGGGTTACAAGGTTTACTGGAGCTAAATTCTCACGTTTGACAAACTTTCCCCTTCAAAATAAAACAGAACCTCAGAATAACACAAAGAGAGGGTCGCCTTAATGAAAGATTTGTACCATTTAGGAATTTATGTTTGACTTATTTTGAAGGGTTGAAACCTTTGAGTAATCTCAGAATTTTTTTTCCAGTCCAAAAAAATAAATTAAGCAACCTTTACTTCATTATGTAGGATGTTAGCGATGTTTACTTGAGATAAATTCTCACTTTTGACAAACTTTCCCCTTCAAAGTAAGATTCAAACAGAACCTCAAATCAACACAAAGAAACGGTCGCCTTGTTGAAAGATTTCTATGATCAAAAGGACTCTTATTTTGAAGAGTCTTTTTATTTATATTGAAAAGCTTTGCCTTGAACAGAATTTATTTACCAAAGTGTCAGAATAAATTGTGTTTTTTAAGATTCTGGTCGACTCTTATTTTGAAGGGCCACTTGGTTTGGCAAACTTTAAAGTTGGGTTTAGCAGGTTCGAGTGTTTTTTTTCCTCCTTTGAAGTAACCATACAGACTTTGTCGCCCCTGTAGATTAATCCGAGGCGTTTGGATGTTTTTCAGGTGGAAGCTCTCTCCCTTCAAAATAAGAGCAGAAACCTTCAAATAAAGACACAAAATTAATCCCACCAAGGTATATATATGTGCGGACCACCCAGCCTGCGCCCCTAACGTCTCTCTCAGGCCTCGGTTGCCTTTTTTGTCATCTCCAAGGAGCATTACTGAGTCTGAACTTGCCTAAACCCTTGTGATCACACCTCTTGAAAAGGTTTTGTTTCCTCCGTCGATTTGTATTCGAGGCAGGTCACCGCACTCCCACCCTCCTCCTCCTCCTCCTCCTCCTGCCTGCCTGCCTGCCTCCCCCTCCTCCCCCTTTGAAAGCCCTGTTTTCATTTTAATTTGCACCTGTTGTGCAGTTGTTCGCTGAAGGCAAGTGCAGACCAGTCAATCGTAGGGAGACGTGTTAGGAGGAGATGTGGGGAGCTTATCTTTTGATATGTATAATGTCCTCAGAAATGTCATGCATGGACTTCATCTGTTGATTCTGGGAAAGTTCAGCCGCTATAGAGACTCGGCCGGGGCATAAATCGCCATAATGGAGGTTGTTGTTTCTTACAGGGGGTCACATTGTAAGGCGTTTATGCAGGAAACATTAAAAACGCCATCTCCAAACCATTAGGTTGGTTTTCACTAAAGACTTATGAGCTCGCTGACGTTGTTTTTATGACTCAGAAACATAAATCCAGTTAAAGCGCATAAAAAAGCCTCCACCTCTTCCCTATGGTGGCTCAAACTCCGGGGCCCTCCCATGATTGGCTCCCACCGCAGAACATTCTTGAACGAGCTGCCAATGAGGTGTGTCCCCGTGTGATGCCATGCGTCTGGCTTCGCCTGGCGCTCCATCTGCGCCCCACCAAAGCGTCTTCTGATGCCCCTTTCTGCCGCGATTGACGTGGCGGTGGCGGCGGCGCGAACCTGAGGATGGCGGTGACTAATTTGCAGACGAGTCACCTTTGATTGAGTTCACAGCCCGTATTTACAGGGCGGCTATTTTAAGAGAGGAGGCATATGTCTGGGACCTGAGTGTTGTGGAGACGGGCGGGCCCTGCTGATGTTTCTGTGTGTGTGTGTGAGAGACAGTGTGTGTGTGTGTGTGTGTGCGCGCGCTCCAGGCCCTGTCATGTCTCTATATGTTTGCGAACATTTACATTTACGTTCATGGTTCAGCAGCGATGTAAATGGGAAGACATCGGAGGGGTGATGAATAATCTAAATGACTATAGGTTAAGCCTTTTGTATGCACAGCAGCCACATTTGTAATATCCTCCTCGCTGCTATGCCGAGCATCTCAAACGTGACGGCTATGCTCCGAGCAGAGCCGTCCTGAAAGGTGCAGCTCGTTGGCATCCCAGGCATGTGTGCAGGACTGAAAATTAGTGGCTATTTTGGCTCGCATCTCCTCGACAGCTGTCTGCCCACCGCTGCGGTGCAGTCACAGATTCCAGGCTCGGATGCTGTAATTGGGGTGTAACCCACAAAAAAAAAAAGAAACGCCTACGCCTTGGAGCGAGCGCTGATGTGGGGTGACCTTTTTAATCTGGGAACAAACCTCCATTTCCAAAAAATCCCTTTTCAGCTTCATTTCTCATTCATGTTTCGTCAGCGCGCTGACACTCTCACAGAGGTGGACGCCCACATTCCTTCATCACCAACCTTAGCGGCTGCCAGCGGCGTTGGCACCGAGCGAGCGCTGAAACATGGAAAAGATGAGGGAGAATCGGGGAGAATGTTTCACTCAATACCTGAGTTTAAGGGTCGTTTCTGATGAACTGACTCCGCCCCTTCCTGCCGTCTTAGGGCGTCTCGTACTGACCAGATTTTTTCTCTTTGTGTCGCAGCTCTGAACTACGAGAATGTGGTGGAGACGGGATCAGAGACGGAGGAGGAGGACAAGCTGCCGGTGTCTGAGGAAGACCCCCTGATCAACGGCACGGGAAGCCCCGCCAGCCTCACCAACCCGGAGGCCTCGCCGCGCGCCGAGAGCCACGGCCTGCTGACGAAGGAGGAGGAGGACGACGAGATGCGGGACAGCGGCGTGGAGCACATCTGGCCCGACAACGACATGCTGAGTGCCTCGGTCGACGGTACTGGTGAGTGTCACGAAATGGGGCGGGGCTTAATCTCAGTGGTGGGCGGGGTTAAAAGATCTGTGTTTGATATGAACCGTGAAAAAAATGAGAGAAAGTTGGAGAGACGCTCTCAAAGAAAACGCCGCTTTAATCTCCGTCAGCAGATGTTCAGGGTTCAGGTGAGCTGTCAATCAAAGTCTACAACCCCTAAGCTCACTTTGGTTACTCTATAGCGAATGTGTGCACATCCTGCCACTCGCGGCGTCGTCTTACGCCCTAAACCCCACCCATCTGGTGCCCGAGCAGACTTAAACAAACGCCGCCGAGCGTTTTGCAAACAGTGCTTGAGCCAGGTCTGACGCTGGAGCCCCGGCGCTGCTCCCTCGGCAGACAGACGCGATAAACAGTTTCTTTGTGAGCGACAGAGACCATTTGGTTCACGCTTAGAGAAAAGACCCGCTCTGAGCCAAACAACGAAAAATATTTACAGTAATGTATAACCTCGCAAAACACGGCGGCGAGCTGCAGGAAATGAAAAGCAAAGGGAGGCGAGGCGTTCTCCAGAGTCTGCAGGATGTGACTCTTTTACTCGGAGCGTATCGACGCGCTCGTGAAAACCTCCAGCGGCGCCTGATGCCGTGTACGACCTCCTCCCTAACAAGCTGCTTAATCCGGAGCAGGTGACGCCCCAAACTTGACTGACTGATGGCCTTTTTTGTGCGGGAGCGAGCGGGATCGCAGGGGCCCACAGTCACGGATGCTTGAAAGATAAATACTTTTAATTAGGGGGCAGGGGTATAATCATTAAAGGAAGCCAGACTGCTGCAAAAAAGTCATTAACAATCTTAAATGAAATTTTTATTTTTATGATAGCCATTTACATGTATAATAAGAGTCAATGATTCTTGGAAGCATGTGACAGGAACAGAGTATGGCGAGAAGTCATGTAAGACAGCCAATTTAAATGAGCCGGGCTTCGCTATTCATTTCTGCTAATGAACTAGCTGTGCACGGCGCCGAAAAACGGGGAACATTCAGCAGTCTTAAATTTTAATACAGGGGAAAATTGCACATTTATTAGAGGAGGGGAAAAAAAGTTTGAGGGGATCAACATTTGCCTAAATAACGGCTCCTGAAGAGGGGGGGGGGGAGAAAGAGGCTTTGGTAAATAAATCAAGATAAAGGATAAACAAGCTGTCGTTGCATACGGTAATTGTTTATTTGATAAAGACCTGCGGTGCCATAATGTCTGTAATTCAACTATGTTGCAATCCCCAGATAATATGCTTCTGGTGTGATAAAGCGGCTGACATATTTCGGAGAGCAAGTCAAGTTCATTAGAGCGTTTGGGAGTCTCTTTCCCAATCTTGCGGGTGCTGTGTTTCCCAGCCTGTTTTTTTTTTTCTTCCTCTCGGTGCCTAAGTGTCTGCAGTGATACCTCAGCACATAACTGAGGCCTGAGATAAGTTCGCACCCCTCCTGCCCCTCCCCTCCTTCCTCCTCCTCGGACTGATCCGAGTCGTCACTCCCCTATCAGGAGTTTTTACACACATTGAAGAAGTGTTGGAGGGTTTTTAATCGTCTCAAACTCGAGTTGAAGTTTATCAGCGAGCGTCTTCTGATTTCAGGGCACAATCAGAGTCTTGTGTCTGGCGTTGTCCTTGACATTCCCTCGTCCCACGTCGAGGCTGGACGCGATGTGCTGGAAAGCATGACATCATTATCACTGACAGACATTTTCAAATAAATCACCTGCGCTCTCCCTTCGCCCTCCTCCTCCAAAAAAAAGAGAAAATCCCCGTTTTATTTCCGTGTTTCTGAGACACATGATTCTCCAATAAACCGTCCTCTTTTAGGACACTTCCTGCCAAATCTGGCTGCTTCTCATCAAACAGTGGTTCTTGTTTTCTTCACACATTTATCAAGTTTTGGAGTTGCTCGTTTAAACACCTACTGCATCCAGGAGTTTCCCATGTTTTTCACTCGGTGCAGATGTTTCCAGCCCTGCCAAGAATCAAATCCAGAGGAAAACAGTGTAGTCTTTGGCTGCGAGGGGCTCGAATTTGAGGGAACATTGACACTAAATATCAGCTATTTACCACAACAGAGGAAAATATCAGATTTGACATCAAAACGGCTTTTAATCAAACGTCTTACAGCTGAGATTGAGGATAAAGGAGCAGAAACGGACACAAAGGCAGGACTTTAAAGCGAGTGCGGTGAGCGGCCGTAAAAATAGGAATGTTTTCAAAATAAACAGCATCAGAGCCGCTATGAAAATACGAGGAATTCTGGTCCAGACCGAGGTATTCTGGACTCAGGAGGAGTCCAGACCGGGCTCTGAAAACCTCAACGCACCGTCTCTCTCTCTCTTTTTTTGTCGGAGGAGGTGTGTACCTTACCGCCTCAGGTCCTCTGAGATTTACTGCAGACAAAACACATTTATGGACACGTTCAGCCTGAAATAGGTGAGACAGAGGGAGTATTTCTTTTTGTTAAATTTGAGCTCCTCAAACCCTCAAAGTGTTAAAATCTGAACACAAACCAACTCAGCGTCCGTTTCACCTCCTCAGGTTTGGTTCATTTAACTCAAAATTAACCCCAATATTGATCTAAAATTCAGTTTTTATGTTTCAGACATGTAGATTATTACGTCTGTGTGCTTTCGTCGCAGTAAATATGTTGATATTTGTGGCGCAGTGACAGCAGAGGAAATAAAAACCTCAGTTTGTCTTTTTCGTCTGTGGTTAAGATCTTTCCAAGGACTCGTGCACGTGAAGGAAGGCCTCAGCTGTTTTGCAGAGAAAACACACTTTTGCAGAAATCTGTGCACAAATAAATCACTTTTTTTTTTTTTGCATTTTCCATTTTCTTTAAATATCAAATCTGTGCAGAGAGGACGCTCTGCAGGAACACTCGGGATGGTTTTCAGCCACAGGACCTCAGCACAGAGGTGTTCGTGGTATTAGCCTACCTCCTACTGGAGGCCGGCGTCCCTCCCTCCCTCCCCTCCTCCCTCCCTCCCTCCCTCACTCCCTCCCCTCAGACCACAGATAACAAAAGTTCTCCAAGGTAAATAGGGGAGAGTGGAGGGCCAGTAAATCCCACCGGTCATCCCCCTTTGCGTCAGACCAAAAGTATGCAGCCAAATTTGATTACCCAAAGCAAACACGGTGCCTACGAGGACACGGAAATGTGAGTCAGTTCTGCTGATATCTGATACTTGTGGGTATATTTTAATCTGCGGCTCGACTTTTCTGAATCTGTTTTGTTTTGTCGTAATTTATGTCGTTTCAAACCCGATTCTCATGCTGCGACTGCGGTTCTGATGCTGTTTGGCAGACGTGCAATCAAATGTACAGTTAGGGTAAGAAAAAAATCCAAGCCAGGGGAAAGTTAAACTAGGACAGAGGAGTCTGTCATTATTCTCTGAACCATCGACAGCGGTATTTATCATTTCACCACAGAAGAGGAATCTTTAATTTCGTGAAAACCCTGAATTACGAGCCCTGGAAAAGCATTCCTCGCCTATTAAAGCCATTGTGTTGGAGTAAAAATAAAGAAGTGTTTGTCTTCTGGCTTTTGTGCAGCCGAATGTAAGCAGGATAGCTTTATTATCAACAGTACACCCACCACCTTTCCTGTAGTATCACAGCCAGGTCTCTAATGCATCCTGGTCGCACAGTCATCGCAGAAACAGATACGTCAGAAAAAAAAGGAAAATCTTCACAATGAAACACTTGTAGTGGAGGCGCAGTGATGCAAACAACGCGGCTCTTTCGAGTAAAAACGCCTCGTCTTCTCGGAAACACCTTGATTTAATTTTTACCGTCGACGCAGGAAGGAGGGCCGGGCCGCGGCGCTCCTTAAGCAGATTGTCCGGTCGGTGTCCTCCTGTCGACCGTGGAGGGATTAATTTGTCAGGAGAGGGTTTGTTTATGAGCCTGTCACTCCAGCAGCTTGTTTACAGCCTCCTCACCTGTGCCAGGACTATATCTGCCCGTCTGCACAGACCCGGGGCCATTATCCTGATGGGCAGCTCCAGGCCGCTCTGTTTGAACCACAGAGTTAAATATTTCCACAGACAGACTTTCTCTCAACAAACAGGACAAGATTTTTTCAACTTAATCCTGAAATTTTGATTTCTTGACGTTCAAATTGGTGATTCCAACAACAATCGTGTCTGAATAAGCTCTGTATTCAAAGACTCGATTATTAGATGTGACTAAAAATGATCAGATCCTGTCTGAGATCGTCAACATGATGTTTCTGCAGAGCTGGAAGCTGCAGAATCAGGACTGCAAACCTAGGACTGCACCTGTCAGGCTCCTTGGTGATCCTTCAAACACAAAGATGTAAAAACCTCAGAGGATTCCTGCTTTTACCTTCAACTTTCTTTGACGTATTCTGCAGGAAAACAAAAACTCTGCGTCTCCACCTTCCCGGGGTCAAACCGAATCAGCGCCTCTTCGTTCGTGATGGAGGATCGGTGTTTTTAAAGCGAGCGGCGAGGCGCCGACTCTCTGCGGTGAATAAAAAAAGTGTGCACACAATACTCCTCGGATAAAAAGCATCCACCAAATGACATATGATAAAAACAAGCGTGATGCTGCATGCAGAGGATTGCAGCGGCGTCACAGCCGGGGAGTAATAAGCTCAGGCGGCGTGTTGGCTGGAGCTCTATGATTGCTCAGGTGGATGTGCTCCGTGTTGTATTTAATCACTCTGTTTGGCGATTGAAGCTTTCTCCGCCTCCCCCGCCGCTTGTTGTCATGTTAAAGGTAAATAAGTCACTGTCTGGCCCGGATGATAGCATTCATTACGCGTGCCGAACAAAGCGGCGGCGCGCTGCGATGCACAGCGGTGCCTTTATTGCTTTCTCCGTACCTGCTTCTTAAAGGCCTCATTGTCAGCGTTTGTTGGTTTGGATTGTACGCTGAGGTACTCACCCCTCCTTTTTCTCCCCCGTCCCCTCTCTTTTCTCTCCCTCTCCCCCTCTGCAGATGAAATAAAAGATGATTTCGACACCCTGGGGCCTGATGCCACGATGCAGGCAGTTGGAAACGGTACAGGTGAGTCGACTGAGTGTGTTTTTGTTCTTCCTCGCCGTTTATTCGACGTTCATCCGTTCAAACCTCACGCTGTTAAGAAATCTTCACCGTTTATTTGAGTTTGTTGACCCTAAATGAGAAGGTTTACCCTCATGATTTAACCTCCTGAAGTCGTTTTTTTTAAAGGTGATGAAATTTTTTAGTGTTTTTAAATTTAAGAATGATTTTACGTAGACTGATTTTATTTTACTGCGAGTCTTTAAAGTGATTTATTTATTGTAGATGCACTTGAATCCAGGATGAATCTATCGTATCATATCGGGCTCAAAATTGGCGCTCAGCTCCTGAAGACTCCCATCATGAAAATAACCTCTGATCAGGCGTTAACGGGAACATTATGGCGCTGACTCAGTGACCAGCAAAGACAGATCTCTCTAAGTTCACACTGAAGCTGAAGCTGAAGTGACTCTCCGGACTCTCCGTCTGTGTTTGGGTCCAGTTCTCCACTCCTGGTGGAGTTCAACCCTACCTGCCATTTTCCATTAGGCCACCAGAGCTTTACGCAGCCACACACACACTCACACACACACTCACACACCCCTCCCCGCCATGACATCATCCTGGCCACCCTGACAACTGGCCCTGGTAAACCAAACGCACCCCACAGAACGCCACGCACTCCGAAACCCTCCTTCAGATTTCATTTCACTCCGTTTGTCGCCCTGTTTTCTTCTTCTTCTTCTTCTTCTTCTTCTTCTTCTTCTTCTTCTTCTGTTGTACTTCCAGCTTCTTCTTTCTCCATTTTCGGAGTGCGGAGCGCTCAAAGGAGTTTTGGAAACAATACCGTGGCACCGCTGTCGAAGCTCCCCGCCACCAGATCACATGTGATTTCGTTTAGAGACATGAGCAGTTTGATCACGTCCCCGGTGCCAAAGCACACTTTGATCCAGGTGATTTCCTCCTGCACTGGAACCAAAGTCTCTGTCGTTTTTCTCTTAAAGAAACATTTTGATTCTCATGCAGAACGACTCCAACATTTTCTGCAGCTAAGAGACGAAGAAGACGAGGAGGACTGTAACGGAGAATAAGACTCTTAAAGCATGAAGAGTCAGACTGATAAAATAACAGTGTTTATGCAGGTTAAAACATGAACTCCTGCGTCTTCGTCAATCATCAGTCAGACTTTAATAGCTGCTTAAAAACGCCATCATTCAGCGGCTAACAATTAGCTTAGCATGTTTTCAAAACGCCACAAAGACTCACCTAATGAGAGCGCCGGATATTATCAAAAGACATCCATTGGCACCCATGACATTTGGGTGCCATTTTTGACAACCGAATATCTACTACCTTGACCTTTCGCAAATTGGACCGCAAAGTCATCACGGGCGAACAAATCGCTCTTTAAACCTCACCTTGGCTCGCCGTCTAAAAGCCTAATTAACAGGGGAAGGAGTCAGAGGAGACGTCACCGTGTTTTTGGTTTTTTTTTTGCAGAGTTTCTGCAGGTTGCAAACAGTGTGAGTGTGTTTTTGTGTTAATATGTGTGTGTTGTGTAAGTCGGCCATCCCCTTGACTAATGAAGCCTGCTGATTTCTTTTAGCTCCGGTTTGTTTTTGGAGGCAGCTATCTCCACGCTGCAGCTTAAAGAGTTTCCCCCGAAGAGAAGGGACTGGGAAATAATTTGAGAAAACGCATTGTGTGGCCTCAGCACTTTGGCTGGCTTAAGATCCATTCTGCTCCCCGTTTTCTCTCTTTTTCTGCGCCCGTTTGTGGTTTGGCCTCGGTAATCTGTTCAACACAGAATCAACAAAAGCCACAGTCTCTTGATTGACCTTATATGTGAAAGTCGATCCGCAGAAACGTGGCTCTGCTGCTGATTAACCCCGGCTCGCGTATGTACGCTCCTAAATGTTTCCTTTTTTATTTCACAGCCTTAAAGCCAAAATCTGATTTTATGTCATGACTCAATTGGGTCAGCGAAGTTTCTCTGCAGCTCGTGGTAGCGCCTTTATCTCTGACTTTTGGCCGGATTAAGTTACGATTCTTATTTTAGGCGGCATGGCGTGACAAGCAAACCCGGTAATTTAGATGTATCCTCCCTAAAGCACGGCTGTAATGTTTTAGGGTGGCTGTCCTCATCGCATTTCCACCAATATCCTCCTGTAAGACATTTCTCAGGGGGAAACAAGAATCCAATTTCTCCCTCCTCCTCCTCCTCTTCCTCCTTCTTCACCGCCGTCCTCTCTCTGCCTCTCTTCCTCAGTCAAGAGCGTCGATTGCACTTCAGAGTTCGAGGATTTCTTCGCCAAACGGAAGCTGGATGACGCCGACAGTCACGTGGTGAGCATCGCCGAGTACCTGCAGAGGGGAGACACCGCCATCATTTACCCAGAAGCCCCGGAGGAGCTGTCCCGCCTGGGCACGCCGGAGGCAACCGGCCCGGAGGAGAACGGTGAGGACTCGGTCTGGGGTTCGTGTCTGGGGTCAAAGGTGACAGGTTTTATGTGAGAGTAAAAAAAGAGGAATTACAGACGAACTTTAAAAGCTTTTAGCTCAATTCAACTAAAATTATTCCAACTGTAAACTTAATTAGATTAATTTATCCTCCCAAATTTCCTCTCATACGTCTGCTTGTCTCAAAGGAGAGTCGAGTTAAATTAAAACTGTGTCGAATTAAAAGCTTTTAAAATAAGCAGATTAAGTTTATTTTAATAAAACAAAAAAGAGTAAAAAGTTAGACTTCTGTACTTTTTAAATACAGACCTTAAATAACTTAAGAAAACAGCCCCAGGGTTTTTCCAAAGAGTTAGCTTATTTTAGCTAGCATGAATGAGAAGTCATGAGTTAGCGTGTTTTAGGTCTTAAAGCAGTAGAAGCTTTTAAAATAAACCAATGAAGTTATTATTAATAACACAAAGAAGGCCAAAGATTAGACTTCAGTACTTTTTAAACACAGACCTAAAATAACTCCAGAACACAGCCCCTGGGTTTTTCCTAAAGAGTTTACTTATTTTAGCTAGCATGAATCAGAGGGTACGAGTCAGCTGTTTTTAGGTCCTAAAGCAGTAAAAGCTTTTAAATAAAGTTATTTTCAATAACCCAAATAGGTGTAAAAAGTCAACTTGAGTACTTTTTAAATACTGACCTGAATGAGCGAACAAACCTTCAAGAAAACAACCCCAGCGTTTTTTGAAACAGTTAGCTTATTTAAGCTAGCATGAATCAGAAGTTACGAGTCAGCATGTTTTAGGTCTTAACGCAGTAAAATCTTTTTCAGTCCACATTTGTTCCTTTTGGCTGAATCTTTTATTCCAGACTCACTAAAGTGTAAAGACAGTCTGTGATTTGATGCTAGAATGCTTTAAAACACTTATACTCCTAAAATTACGTACTATTGCTTTAATTTTGAGGTTTAAACCGGACGTTTTCTCGGCCTCATGTCGGAGCCTCGTCGCTCAGCTCAGCTTAGACAAAAAAAAAAAGGAGTCTGGACAGAGCAGCAGCTCTTCCCGCTGACACGGCCAGGCAGCTGTTGGTCCCACAGATTCACCGGATGCCTTGGTGTTTACCTACAGTCTTAAGCAACAGCTGGGCAGGGGCTTGAAATCAGATAGTGCACCTCTAGAGCTCCCAGGAGGGGGAGAAACGGGGCTGAGGGGGCTGAAAAAAGGGACGGGGTTTACGAGACCAGGACTGTGTGGTGGTAGAGAGTCCGTTTAGGTGGTTCTGATCCGGTTTTTAAATCGTGTGTGACTCTGTCAAGAAAAGAGAGCAGCCCAGTGTGTGTGTGTGTGTGAGTGTGTGTGTGAGTGTGTGTGAGTGAGAGGGGGGAGAACATGTGTGTGTCAGAGGAGTCGGGAGGAGGTCGGAGAGCAGTGGATGCCAGGCTGACACTGCTGCTCTCATGTGGAGCAGATTGCAGAGATAACTCCCATACCACTCCTGGGCAGCCCGCCCGTTAGCTGCCATTGATTCGCTGACCTTTTGGCCCGCTTTCCCTTCCCCTTCCCCTTCCCCTCTTCCTCCTCCTTCCTCCCCCCTCCTCCTCCTCCTCCTCCCGCTGTCTCCCGTGCAGACCTGCCACCTGGAACGCCAGATGCCTTCGCCCAACTGTTGACCTGCCCCTACTGCGACCGGGGCTACAAGCGTTTGACATCGCTGAAGGAGCACATCAAGTACCGCCATGAGAAGAACGAGGAGAACTTCGCCTGCCCCCTGTGCAACTACACGTTTGCTTACCGCACTCAGCTTGAGCGGCATATGGCCACACACAAGCCTGCGAGGGATCAGGTTAGAGGGATTTTTCATTTCTCCTCCTCTTCCTCCTCCTCTCTCTGTCTGTCCCCTATTTCTCTTCTAATGTCCCTCCGAGAAGGGAGATCATTTTTTCTGATTGGCAATCATTATTAATTTTTCATGGCATTTTGAAGATGCAGATCCTTTAATGGTAATAACTTTAATTGAGGGACTAAATGGTTTTTTGATGGCCCTCCCTGATATGATTTTCCAGTCGCGTGTTCACGATCGAATGATTGTGTGAATTTCCAATTTGGAAATTTTTATCAGCTCCTTAACTTCACTTCACTTCCTGGCCTTTAATGTTCTTCGGGTGCAGCCTGCAGTCGTAGCACTCCATCAAACCGCCCCTCCCTCCCTCCGCCCGGCCTCCCCCACTTCTAATTTCATGCACTGCATAAACATCTGTGTATACTTGAATTTTCTCAAGCGATTTATACGCCTATACGTCTGAAATATAATGTGAATCCGCTGGCAGTTAGCATGAATCACCTTAAAGTCCTGTGAGGTGAAAACACATCCAGCAGTCACGGGCGTTTAACTCGCCTGTCAGCTTTAAGCTGAAGATGTGCGGCGAGATAGATAGTGGCAAAAAAAAAAAAAAATAAACTGCACGCTTTTGAGTTTGGGCACATCGGGGGATAATTATAACTTCTCAGTGAAGTCAAATGAGAGCAGTAAATATTAAAGGAGACTGTTTCTGAGCTGGAAGGAGGAGGGTTATTAGTGAAGAGTTTGTTTTTATTAAACACTTTTAAGCCTCGAATGCGTCTCTAAATGCAGCTTTTCTGGGTTACATTCACTCTGACGGGTAAATTAGGAAACTTTTTCAGCTTTTTTATCACTTAGAGTTTCTCTTTTAAGTAACTTTCAGACAAAATGAGCTCAGAAACATCTTTACCCTTAAATATGTGACAGTACAGAGCAGGTATATCCTTAAAAATCCTTCATTTTCACTGCTCTTATTTTAATTTTTATTATTTCCGATGATTTAAAAGGAGAAAAAATTGTTTATTTTTAATCATTTTTAAATTTTCACTCTTAATAATAATTTTTTCTCACTAGTTTTATTTTTGCTGCTTGAATTTTAACGTTAATTCAACAGTTTGTCCTCATGTTTGAAGGGAGGGGCTCTCTGTGTTTTGAAGGCGGGTTATTAGTGAAGAGTTTGTTTTTACTGCGTCTCTAAATGCAGCTTTTCTGGGTTACATTCACTCTGACGGGCAAATTAAGCAACTTTTTCTGCGTTTTTATCTCTTAGAGTTTCTTTTTTAAATACCTTTCAGACAAAATGAGCTCTAAAACATCTTTACCCTTAAATAAATGACGGTACAGAGCAGATATATCAGACAGATATTGAACAAATTATCATTATTTTTATTTCTAATGATTAAAAAGGGGAAAGAATTTGTTTATTTTTAATTGTTTTTGTATTTTAACCTTTTAATAATAATTTCGTTCACTAGTTTTGTCTTTGCGGCTTGAATTTTGACGTTAATTCAACATTTTGTCCTCATGTTAGTCCTCATGTTTAAAGGGACGGGCTCTTAATCAGAATCATAAATTTAAAATTCAGCGCGTTTTAATTTTAAGTTTAAAATCGTCTCTTTTTATTGTGTTTCCTCTTTAAACAGAGAGAAAGTGAATTGTCCTCATGTCATAAAGCCCCCGTGATAACATACAGTAAGAAACCGTCCAATCACAGCTGCTCTCTCGCTCCCCTGCTGCTCGCCGGCGCTCACTCTCAGGTCGTGGCGGTGGCGTGGGGCCCTCTGAAGCGAACACGGCGGGCTCAGACTGTGGCTGATTTGATCAGATGTCAGCAGCCAGCACTTTCACCTGATCTACCAGCTGGGTGTAAACGTGAGCAGATGGGCCGACCGTCCCAATCCTCATATTACAATGCTGCCGCCGCCGCCGCTCCCCTCCAGAGCCACAGTCAATGGCCAAAGACTCCTATTCAGGCTGCACGCCGCCCTCCACAAAGCCGGTTATCTTGATTTGTAAATTAGCTGGATTGCTTAAGTGGTAATCCTCCAGATGAGATGGAGTTGATGTCTCATTTAGTTACCTTTTCTATAGTTGTGCGGCTTCTCTTCTTCTTCTTTATTATTCCAGTAAACGCACAAACACGGTCCTCCGCCTCACTAAGAGGGAAGGAGGTGAGGAGGTTTACTAAGAAAGTGAAAATAAAAACAGGAAAAGTGATCTCTCTCCCTTTTCTTCCTAAAATCTATTCCCCCTCACTTTCTTCATGCTTCATACTGCTTAAATCATCCTCTGCATGTGTTATTCTGCCACCTTTTTAAATCACAGGCTGTTTTAATCATGAGAAATAACAAAAAAATCAATATTTCCCTGAAAATGCATTAAATAAGAAGCTGGTTCTGAATATTTGAGAGGTAGAAATCGCTGATATTTGTGTCCAAATGTTTGAAAAAGCTCCAGTCGAGTAAAAAAAAACCCTGAAGGTGAATTCAGACCCTCTTTTTTTTTCCCACCTCTGCAGATATGTCACTTCCTGGTTGTATGTTTAGCAATTAGCAGCTAACTCTGGAGTAATCAGATTAACATAAAGAATAATGTCCTGGATAGGTAAACATGTGCTCTGCTGCTCTGTCTCCTATGTTTACAAGCTTTAATACTCCTCCTCCTCTTAAGCAATTAGCTGAAATATGACTAATTAGAGGTTATACATATGCAAACATGCAGTCAGGTCCCCGCCCACAACCAGCAGCAGCGGTGGCGTTCACACCGACAGCGAGCTATGGAGGAGAGCGTTCTGCCGGTGCCATTCACAATTGCCTTATTAGCGGCAGTGGCGAGACTTAACTTTACCGGGCAGGGGTCCTCGGGGGGAAGTTATGGGATGGAGGTGGAGGTACGGGGGGGTGGGGGCGGGGGCCGAAGCAGCTGTTGCTGTTTGTTTATGCAACTCAGCAACATACGAGCGGTGGGGTCCCTCTCCGGCGCTTGGCTGGGCCCCCTGAATCTCCCCGCTTGATCTTTGAAGGTTGGGGCTGTTTGAACAATTCCTCCCAGTCCTCCCAGTGTCCTGCGCGCCACCATCTGTCTCCCCAGGAATGTGGGTAGAGTCAGCACACACCCCAGCATTTGTCAAGGCTGAACTGGGAGGAGGGGGTGTGTTTTTTTTCTTCTTCTTCTTCTTCCCCCCCGGCGAGCCACAGAAAACGTGTCTTTTTTTTATTTACTAACCGTTTAACGTCCTCAACTCCCACTTGGACTTAATTGTGTCACGAGTGATGCTCCAGGTTCGCGGCGGCGTTGTTGTTGTTGTTGTTGTTTTTGTTGTGGGTATTATTTTTAGACGTTTTTTTCTTCCTTTTTTGCGGCACAGGCCTCGTTTGAATTGCAAATTCGATGGATTGCAACTGATGTTTACCTTTGAACAGAGAATCAAGGCCGGGACGGCGTGCTCTGTTCTGTATCCTGAGATTATTAAAGAGACATTTGAGGCGCTAAAAAAAGAGCCAATTACTCCAAGACATTTGAAAGTGTTGTTGAAAGACGCCGTACAAAGTGCGGTTCAGATGGAGCGAGCGCAGGTATGCGGCGCTCACTCTGAATACCTTTCAGACTGATTAGGCCCAAATTAATGAAAAGCAGATCCAATCGGAGCTTCTAATGAAGGGGAAACGCTCTCAAAAAAGCCTTCTTCATTTATTCTATTTTCTGGGCTGCCAAATTCTAAAGGCAGCCCTCCTTTGGCTGAGCAGCCAGGAAATTAAAAGGTATGTGATTCTCTGTGTTATCGCCGCCGCCGCCGCCGCCGCTGCTGCTGCCCGGAGTCCTTCCACGGAGGTGGGAGTAGAAAGCCAAGATGCTTCGTTTGGCGACTGGAGCCGTTTTGTTGCTTGTTGTCATGCCGACTGATTGTGATTATTTACTGAACTCTTCCCCCCTCCATGTTTGTGCAGTTCTCCTTTTTTTCAACCTCTCCTCTTTCTTTCTTTCTTTCTCTCCCGCAGCACCAACTGCTCAACCAAGCAGCCGGCAACCGCAAGTTCAAATGCAACGAGTGTGGCAAGGCCTTCAAATACAAGCACCATCTGAAGGAACACCTCCGGATTCATAGCGGTGAGTCGCGGGAGGAGCGCCGCGCCGCTCTGTGAATATTCATAACTGAGATTGAAGAAGTCTGTGAATGTGCAGAAATTCCTGCTGGTTTATTTTGGACCCTCCCTGCTGTCGATGGACGCTCGACTCTGCCGCATTTAAAACCGCTGCAGCTGCCAACTCCAATATTTACTCAGGAACGAGTGTGTGTGTGTGAAAAATAATTTCACTTATTAGCTGATTTGTGAGGAATGACGTCCGTTCATCAACAATAAAGCAAAAAAAACACCAAGGCAAAGGGCGAATTTCACAAAAAAAAATTAAGAAAGAAAACCTGAGAAAGAAAACTAAATAAAAACAGGAAGTTACGGATAAAACTGTAAAATAAAAGGGTTGTTTACGGAAGTGAAGTGTGGCGCCGTATGATGGCGTCCTCGTTTTGGGATCTGTAAATATCTAACGCCGTACATTTTCTCTTCCAGGTGAGAAACCCTACGAGTGCCCCAACTGCAAGAAGCGCTTCTCCCACTCGGGCTCCTACAGCTCCCACATCAGCAGCAAAAAGTGCATCGGCCTCATCGCCGTCAACGGGCGGATGCGCGGCAACATGAAGACCGGCTCCTCGCCCACCTCCGCCTCCTCCTCGCCCACCAACACCGCCATCACCCAGCTGCGGCAGAAGCTGGAGAACGGCAAACCGCTGGGCCTCCCCGACCACAACAACCACCTGAACATCAAGACGGAGCCACTGGACTTCAACGACTACAAGCTGATGATGGCGTCCCACGCGTTCGGCGCTCCCGGGCCGTTCATGAACGGAGGCATGGGCGGGAACAGCCCGCTGGGGGTCCACCACAACTCCACCGGTCAGAGCCCCCTGCAGCACCTGGGGATCGCGGGGCTGGAGTCCCAGCTCCTGTGCTACCCGGGTCCTCTGGGGAACAACCTGAGCGAGGTGCAGAAGGTCCTCCAGATCGTGGACAACACTGTGTGCCGGCAGAAAATGGACTGCAAGCCCGAGGAGCTGTCGAAGCTCAAAGCTTACATGAAGGAGCTGGGGAATCAGGTGGAGGAGCACAAACAGGGGCTGACACAAGCGGGACAGATCGGCCTTCCTCTCGTCAATCACAACGGCGCCACCAAAAGCATCATCGACTACACGTTAGAGAAGGTGAACGAAGCCAAAGCCTGCCTCCAGAGCTTGACCACGGACTCAAAGAGACAGATTAGCAATATCAAACGAGAGAAGCCCAACCACATGCTCGACGGAGGTGTGGAGGAGAAGGTGCCGGATAATAACATGTTTACACCGTACGCTTGCCAATATTGCAAAGAGACGTTCCCGGGGCCGATCCCTTTGCATCAGCACGAACGCTACCTGTGCAAAATGAACGAGGAGATCAAAGCCGTGCTGCAGCCCAGTGAGAATCTGATGCCCAACAAAGCGGCGATGTTCATAGAGAAGAACTCCCACTTAGCCTCCTCCATGTTGTCAGAGAAGGGACTCACAGGGCCCATGAACCCCTACAGGGACCACATGTCCGTTTTAAAGGCCTACTTCGCCATGAACATGGAGCCCAACTCAGAGGAGCTGCTCAAGATTTCCATAGCGGTCGGACTTCCTCAGGAATTCGTCAAGGAGTGGTTCGAGCAGCGGAAGATGTACCAGTTCGGCTCCAACAGAACCCCTCCGCTGGAGCACAGGAACAGCATGGATATGGTTGTCGGAACAAATAACCACCACACTCCACCAAAAGACTCTATGGCAGCTAGGTCACCTGTGTCTCTACTCAAACCCTCCGACCGCATCACCTCCCCCTCCATCGCAGAGCTCCACAACAACGTCAACAACTGTGACAACGCGCTCAGACAACATTTGAAAAACCACCAGTACGGCGGCGGCGGCGCCAAAGCCCAAGGCGAAAAGTTGGACCACTCCCGCAGCAACACGCCCTCCCCGCTCAACCTGTCGTCCACCTCCTCCAAAAACTCCCACAGCAGCTCCTACACTCCAAACAGCCTGACTTCAGAGGACCTGCAGGCCGAGCCGCTCGACCTGTCTCTGCCCAGACTCATGAAGGAACCCAAGCACGCACTGACTGTGAAGAGCCGGCCCAAAGTCAACAGCATCAGCATCGGGGACCACAACAACGTCCCGTCCCCAAGAGAGCACTTCGAAGAGCCGCTGAACCTGGCCTATCTCAAGAAGGACTTCTCAGGCTCGACCAACAACGGGAACCTTGAAAAAAGCACTAGCCCCATCTTCGGCATTAACCCGTTTGCCGCCAAACCCCTGTACACCTCACTTCCACCTCAGAGCGCTTTCCCGCCTGCCACATTCATGCCTCCGATGCAGGCCAGCATACCGGGTCTCAGGCCCTACCCGGGCATGGATCAAATGGGCTTCCTACCACACATGGCCTACACTTACGCGGCAGGGGCGGCGACCTTTGCCGAGATGCAGCAGAGGAGAAAGTACCAGCGGAAACCAGGTTTCCAGGTAAATAAGACACCTGTGGTTCTGCCGTGAGGCCCGCGGGCTCGACCCAGACTCTCTGAGACGATCTGAACTCAATTTGGTCCTAATTAAAAAAGTCAGGAGAGAGAGAGAGAGAGAGAGAGAGAGAGCGAGAGAGAGGCTCACCTGAGGTCGACCCGGAGAGAAACACGGAGGCCAAGAAAGAAAAAAAGAGGATTTTTAATGTTTACAGAGAAAAAAAGAAACACGTTCGACTTTTATCTCAATATTTGAGTAAATTAAACATCAGCAGAGGATCGCTCTGTGACTTTAAGATGCAGTATTGACATTTTTCTGACATTTATTGATTTTTAACATCAAATATTCTGGAAATTAGCAACAGATTAATGAAGAATGTGACTAATCAGAAGTTTTTTTTTCTAATCAACAATATTTTGATGAGTTTTAAACAGATTAATACAGGAAACACATCACAAACACGCCCTTACCTCAGAACTCCTTTTACTGCTGGATATTCCTGTTACTGTGTTTAAGTAACAAACTCTGGAGCTAAAACAAAAATAAAAGAACATTTAAAAAAAGGGAGTGCTGGAATTCAGGTTTTGTAGATCTTGAAATGTTGAGAAAAAAAAGGAAAAAGAAAATAAGTGAAATGAACTTCTTTAGGTTAAGAGAAAAACAGATGTAGACGAGTCGCTGAGAACTGAGAAAGTCCATAAAAGAGAGAAGAATTAAAACTGTATGATTATAAAACATCACAGATATTTCATAAAAAAAACAACTAGAATCCAACCCGCTTTATTTATACAAAGCACATTTAAAAACATTTAAGTTAACCAAAGTGCTGAACAATAATCTTAAAAAAGAAAAACAGACAATGCAGAAAATGTCGAGATGAAATAAATAAAAGCAGGTAAAAAACATTTAAAAATGAAATAAAATCAATGAATGTGGTTTAGAAAAGGTCCCCAAACCTGCGACCGAGTATCAAATCTTCTCAAGGTCTTAAGAGACGTAAGGTCTTTCAGCCAATGACTGAGAGTGGGCGGGGCAACATCAGGGTTCGACTAATCAGAAGTTTTTAATTATTTTTTGGATTTTAAAATCTTTTAAAGATCTCCGGTTAAAGGTGCGACTTTAAAAACCAGGATCCTGTAACGCGGTCTGCTGCGTGCTGAACTCTGATATTTAGTAATTAAACGCGGGTGAAAGGCGGCCTTTGTAAAAATGACAAAGGTGAGCCCCGGAGCCGGAGAATCTCCCATGCAACTTTGCTGCATTTTAAAGCGAGCGAGCGAGCGAGCGAGCGCCACGGCACAAAATGAGCTCCTACATGTGGATTAATAATGCACGGTCTCCATGTTCATTACCAGCCGATGCTGAAGGCTGTTTAACATAGAGGGAACCATTCTGATGAAAAAAAGTATTAATAATGTTTCCTATTCTAAGTTATTAAATTAGATTTTAAAAATACAGCTACAGGCGTTTAGTTCAAATTGATTGCAGAGTGATAGTGGTCCCTTCTTAAAAACGGCGAGCGCGCCCAGCTGTCCTCACATTATCACCCTCATATTCATTACAGAGAGCTTTGGTGGCTCAATATTGGCCATTAAGGTGCTCCTTCTGATTTTAATCATTATATGAGTTTGCAATTACAAGAATGGTTCTCCTCCAACCTCCTAATATTGTCCTCCATCAATTCACGTTTAAGACTCATCTTCATCATAAAAGAGGGGTTTCAAGAAATGTGCAGAATTAACACGCCGCACAAAATTAGACCACACCGAGGACGCCATTACGGCGGCTTTTATAATGAGGAGCATGTCAGATACAGATGAGGGGTATTACTCCAGAGCGGGGAGTTTTAGGAGAAATCAGCGTTAAAGATGCATGAGGGGGGCGTGGAGGTTAGCGGGAGGGTTCGTTTAGAGGAGGGGTCTGTTTATTCGTTTATTTGTTTGTTTGTTTGTTTGGAACATCATTGGCTTCCACAAACTTAAAATCACAATTACATTTTAACAATTGATTAATCATAATAAATACAATTAAAGATTTAAATCAGGATTCTTCACAACATTTAAATTGCTCCAAAATCGGTGCTTTTCTACTTCATTCATACATCCAGGTTTGTTTGTGGGCGATTGATTCCACATTTCCAAAGATCGAAATAACACTTTTCTCCTCCTACATTTGGACTTGGAGCCACTGTACATAAGAATATTTATATTTAACTTGTTCAAAACTAAAGAGATAGATCTGTACGCGGTCAGAGAGGAAGGTCAGCTGTTAGTCTGTAATCTTTGTGTTTGGGTATTGATCAGTGTCCCTCCTCCTGTCTCTGCGTTTGTGTTTTTGAAGGGGGACCTGCTCGACGGTACTCCAGATTACATGTCAGGGCTGGACGACATGACAGACCCCGACTCCTGTCTGTCGCGGAAGAAGATTAAGAAGACCGAAAGTGGTATGTACGCGTGTGACTTGTGCGACAAAACATTCCAGAAGAGCAGTTCCCTTCTAAGACACAAATATGAACACACAGGTATATACTGTTCTAGACCCTTATTTTAAACCCCATGCTTTTTTATGTTCTAAATGTTTGTGTTTCCAAACCACTATGAATATTTGATATATTTTATGTTCCCCCCCTTCTTCTCTTTCTTTCCTCCTCTGTTTAATTTGTATGTAAACCCACACCTAACTTGCTTTTTCATTGACAGCGCCTCCTCCACAGGATGAGTAGATTTTCACTCAGAGAGTTTTTGTGTGTTCAGGTTTTTCAGAGCTGTAGTGAACGCAGGTAGACACAGAGAAGGATCTTTTTCACGTGATTGTGCTCTTTATTTTCCAATCATACCCTGCTGTATAAACCATCCTGCTATCTTTAAAGACACACATCAATTCACCTAGATATAGAAAGCCCTGAAAAGGCCCCTAATGCTTTTATCGGCGCCATTATTGGCGATAGATCCCATCAGCCGAGCAGTGCTCAGAAGCTTCACAGCGCTGATAACAAGTCTTTCATTACAGTTATTATACAGAGATCCTCTTTCACTAGGTTGCATCATTTATTTTATCCGCTATCTGTAGCCGCGCGCTCGCCCGCCGCCGCCACCACCGCTCCGCGCAGCCTTCATGTTATCAGCTCGGACATAAAAGAGAGGGAGGGGAAGAGTGCGCTGAACTCTTCATAAAAAAAGAGGGGTGTGTGTTATCTCCAGAGCGGCTCAGGATGTGGCGCTTTAATGTCCTTGTTTTTAAAAAATTGTCAAACTCTGAAGCGCCTCTGAAGCGTCCAGATGTCGGACAGAGGGGGTTTGATTTGTGGGAGGAGGGCGGCCATATTTGCACACGTGCGGCGCAGCCGAAACGAAGGAACAGAGACGGCGGAGGAGCCAAGAGTTTAAGTTTAGATTTGAGGAGAAATCCTGAGCGCAGGAGTCTGTTCTCTGGACTCGAATGTGAGCGCAGCCACATTACACGCCGGAGGACATTTATTTAGCCCGACAGTTTATGGCCCCGTGTCATAAAACTATCTCACCCTGCCCTTGTGGCCAGCTTGGGTTTCTCGTTTCTGCCCTGGCATCCGAAGCGTCCCGAGCTCCAGCCCAGAACTTAACCGAGGCCCAGGCGTCACCGTGAACTCCAATCCTGTGGAGAGATAAGCGCAGTAACCCCTCGGAGCCTCCTCCTTCCTCCTCCTCCGCCCATTTTGGACGTGTTTACTCCTTTGTCGCGCCTCCTCTGTTTGTTTTCCGTCTTTATTTCGGTTGCATTCATGAGCTTTAAATAAGTAGTTGTGGTCGAGTTTCTCCATGCCTTAAACCACAGGAGGGAATTTCCATCAAGTCGGGCCGTGAAAGCGAGCGCACTTTCTCATCCTGCTTGAATCAGAATAAACAAATAACCTCAAAGTCCATGTCAGCGTTGGATTGGACGCTCAAACGTGATGTCATTTTTACTCCATGCCATCAAGTCCATCAGAGTTTTTCTCCTCAACGTTTTTTGCTCTCTTTTCTTCTGACTTGTGTGATTTGCTGGATTTTTCGGAGGCGAGGCATCCCTCTCACGTCTCCCTCTCTGTGTTTCTTGTGTTTCCTGCAGGCAAGAGGCCACACCAGTGCCAGATCTGCAAGAAGGCCTTCAAACACAAACACCATCTCATCGAGCACTCCCGGCTGCACTCCGGAGAGAAACCGTACCAGTGCGACAAGTGCGGGAAGCGGTTCTCCCACTCGGGCTCCTACTCACAGCACATGAACCACCGCTACTCCTACTGCAAGCGGGAGGCCGAGGAGCGGGAGGCGGCCGAGCGGGAGGCCCGCGAGAAGGGCCACCTGGAGCCCACGGAGCTGCTCATGTCGAGGGCGTACTTGCAGGGCATGACACCTCAGGGTTACCCGGAACTGGCCGAGCGCGAGGCCATCCTGAGGCACGACGCCGTGAACGGAGGGATCAGAGAGGGACGGAAGGAAGTGGACGGAGGGTACGCGAAGATCGGACGTAGGGACGACGAGTTCGAGTTGGAGGAGGAGGAGGAGAGCAAGAGCATGGACACGGACCCGGACACGTTGAGGGACGAGGAGGAGAACGGAGAGCACTCGATGGACGAAAGTTCGCTGGACGGCAAAACGGAAACCAAATCGGATCACGAGGACACGATGGAGGACGGCATGTAATCGGAGATTTTTCAAAGCTTCCCATCTTCAAAAGAGTTTTCATTTCTCTCTCTCTCTCTCTCTCTCTGTTTCTCTCTCTCTCTCTCTCTCTCTTTTTGGTTCAGTATTCTTACCCGCTCGGTTTAAAACAGCCGTGTTTTAAGCTGTACGTGCACGTGCCTGAAGCTTCCGGGAAGCTTTCCTTGAAAAAGGGGGAAATAAAAATGTCTGCCGAACAAGACATGGACTCAAAATCAATCTGGAGGAGGCATGGGTTTGTGAAATAAGCTGCATTATGCAAACCGAACAATGAATAAATGAATACATTTCAAAAAATGTACAGTACTAAGGCCTAAAAATATGTGTGGTGCTAACCTCCTCAAATAAACCCCCTGTGTTCCATAGTATTTATAGCACAACTAGTGACTTGTACAAATTGCACTCCGCTTCTATAATCAAGAACAAAAATAATAAAAAGTATTGCCTATGTATATATTTATACAGTGTTGGAAAAAGAGCAGTAGTGACTCCACTACAGTCCTTCGGTATTCCCTTTTGTTATCACCTCCCTCCCTCCCTAACCCCACCTGCGGTGTCGTCTTTAGTTTCTCCTCCAGCCACACTATTTTAGGCCTCTCGAATCAACTCCAAATGAAGGAATCTAAACAAACGGACTGACCGAAGGACAAAGTTTTACAGAGACCTTGGTTTTAAGGGAAAAATACAGTTTATGGACGGAGGAGGAGGAGGAGAGCGGGGGGTAAAAAATGAAGGATGAAGCCTTTGTAAGGTGTTTTTGATAAGAAAAAAGACGACGAAGAAGAAGAAGAAGAAGAAGAAGCCTTATATGCAAACCTTTTAACCTGTGTGTTTTCTGCAAGTGCCACCCTCGTATTGTGTAACAGGAAGGTTACTTTTTTTCACCAGCTTCAGTATTATGAAATGGTTCACGTTGTTCTTTGAAGCATCCGTGTCAGTATTATAGGCAGCAGCAGCAGCAGCAGCAGTTCCTTAGTTTACATTATTATGTTGTGCAATGTTCTTTTCTTTTGTCAGTATTACACCAAACCAACTTTTCTTTTGTTTCTTTTTTTTTTTTTTGGAAAACAACAAATTGCATTCATTTTATTTGTAGGTTTGAAGAAAAAAAAAAAAACGTTATTTATGTGGCCCATTTTATATTTCCTAATTTTATTTATTTCATACTGTTGTGTACAGTACTATAGTTCTTCAATATATAGATATATTTTAGTAAAAAGGAACATGGTGTCGATCATAGGGGCAAATTTTACGTAAAGAGAGCATTTATTGTGTTTTGAAACATTGTGAAATGCGAAGTTTAATCTTATTTTATTTTATTTCCTTTTTATTTTCCAGTTACTGGAAAATTCCAAATTTGGGAACTTTTATACAATTGTGAAAACACTGTATTTTCGACTGAAAAATTCCACTTTCTTCATCTTTGTTTCTTTTTTTAAGCTAAAAAATGAAGAGGGACTGTTAAATACTATGTATGATACCATGACTGAAGAAGAATCTTTCCTGAAATGTCTTTGTAAAAGTATTATTGAATTCTTAATTTGTAATTTCTCTTGAAAATGAACCCTGCTCGAATAAAAGTAGCCAAATTACAGAGTACCAAACCGTCAGCGCTTCATGTTTATTCACAGAGGACAAACCCGGAGCGCTCGGCTCCCTGGCAGCACCGCCGCCGTCCGCTCACTCGCTCACTCCTCGCTGGCTCGCTTTAAATTCTTTCCAAAGGAGGAAAAACTGGAAATATTTCTCCTCTCATATTCACAACTCTGTTTCTCATTATTATGTAAATCACATTCACTTTGGATTCACATTTTCAAACAGATCAGAGAGGGGCCACCTCGGCCCTGCTGCTTATTACCGCTCATTTAGAGCGGTTAGAGTCAAAACACACACACACTTTTATTCACCTTTACACCTGGACTCATCATCATTATGATATTAAAACATTTATACTCTCCTTATTGTCAAAGGACCAGCACTGTATGGATCAATATGTTTTCCACGGACACAAATGTGTGTTAATCCACCTCAGAAAATAGTCCCTTCGACTTTTTCTTGATTTTAAGCTGCAGTTTTTTTTCAACGCAGGTTCTTTTTTTAATGATATGAAATTACAAAACATTTTAAAGACCACAATAAAAACACACAATGACATTTTTTTATCAAGTTCAAACAGAAAACTACAGATTTAGACGGTTTCTGCACCACATCCGTCACGTTTGTCTGCACACACAGTACCATAGTCGTGAAAAGTCTTTCTGGAAATACACGACTTAAATCATTTCTCCACTTTTGCTTGAAAAGAATAAATAAATGCACGACCCAGGACTCCTTTTAGACTTAAGGATTTAAGTTTCTTTAGTTTTATGACACGAAACAAAACATTCAAACACATCTTCACAGATCCAAGATGATCTGTTTCACGATCCGACACAGTCACCAGTAATCGTAGAAACCGTTTACTGCTCTTCGGAGAGAACCTGAACTTTGGCACACCTCAGGATCTGTCGACCCCTCCTCTTGTCTGAGACTCTGACAGGTGGACTCCAGCAGCGGCCTCCTCTCTGCCGAAGCAGCCGCTCCACTCCATCACCCACTCACTCCGCCTTATGCAGATTCAAAGCAACATCAAACGGCCGAGATGAAAGCAGCAAAGGTTGAGCGATGCCAAACATCAGAACACGCTTTGCATATCCCGATCTCTGCTATCGATCGGCGTGCCATCAGATCATCGGCGGAGCATCCTGCAGATAAAAGCGAAGGTCTTAAATGATTAGCTGATGAATTTGATAATGTGCTGCGAACTGATACACATGCAAAAAAATCCGGCAGGCGAGGGGGGGAATCCTCTGGAGACCGAGACAGAAATTTCCACCTTCCTCTACTTTTACATTTTACATCTGTTAGACTGGCGAAAAAGCCTCACATGCAACTCAAAGAGGGGGTCAAAGGTCGAGGTGGATGTGATGAAATATTCCTGCAACCACTGAAGCAGCTGCTGGATTAGGAAACAGAAGGAAGAGTGCATCTTTAAAATGATATGCAAAAATAAAGAGGAAGAAGAGGCCGCAGAGGTCGTTTCTTCGTCTGGTTTTCTCGCACAAAGAGATATTCAGACTCTGCATGGAGGTGGTGACCCTCATCTTTGAACCTCCTTTAACTCTGAGGATGGATGGAGGAGTGATACAGACAGTTTAAGAGTCACAGTCCAGGTCAGACTCTCAGATTAACTTCCTGTTGTCACATTTTTAATCACATAAAGCAGTGATTTCAGGTGAGTTAGAGGTTATAACAGCTGGTTTTATCAGGAGATACAGGTGCATGAGAGAGGGGGGCGCAGGTGGAGAAGGAGAACATGATTCATGATAACTTTGACCATTTAAAGATTAGACAGAAATTATGGTTATGTCTTAAAGGGATATTCCGGTGTAAAATTAAGTAACACCGAGTTAGACCCCCCCTCCAGAGATGAATGTTGTCGACCGCTTGCTTCTCTAGTTATACCAACTTTAGTAACGACCGCAGGATAGCAATACAAAGAGACACACGCTCAACCAAAACGCCACTCTATAGCCACAAATAATGCTCAGAACAGCACCTAACTTCATCAACAGGACATATAGGGTCACAGACATAGTACTAGACACCAAACATCTTTTTAACTTTGACTCATTTCTTTAGCAAAGACACTAAACACAACTCACCTACTCTCTTCCAGCAGCCTCATCGACTACAGTGGGGTGTCACAGCTCAAGGAAGAACATTTATGATCATTTCTTTATCATTTCCTTGAAGTAATAATCACCATATTGATCATTTTGCACTGCAGACGCGGTAGATCTTCTGTCTTAGCGTCTCGGTCTGATTGTATTTCCATGAAGAAATGATCATAAATGTTCTTCCTTGAGCTGTGTCACCCCGCTGTAGTCCGTAATGGACTGGCCTGAGGTCTCGCTACAAACAAGCAGCTGCTGGAAGAGAGTAGGTGAGTTGTGTTTAGTCTCTTTGCTAAAGAAATCATGAATCAACTCGGTGCTACCATGTGTTTGACCCTAAATTAATTTTGGGTGTAATCTGTCCTGGGTGCAATTTCAAAATAAAAGCCTCGTAAAAACAGCAGAAGTCTCTTCACAGTAAAGAAACAAAGCAGACTTTTGCTTTCAAAATCATCCTGCAGGCTCAGCTCATTATTTTTGAAGACCCCCATCCCAGCCTCCATATCTTTAAAGCTCCGCCCCCTCAGCACACCTGAACCCAATTATCTGGAGGTCTCCTCTTTCAGTCATCATGATGAGTTTATGTGTGTTTCTCTATTTAAAATGACAAATTATCAAGTTTTACATCAAACCTGACCTGGAAACTTTGAGAGGAGCTGTGAAAACATGCAGCGGGGGCGTTTCTGTTTGGTAAGTGTTGGTTTCATTGGTCCTGATTCTGCAGACACATGCGCCTCTTTCGAAGTCCAGCTCTCTCTGATTTGATCCTGACTCTGTTGTGAAAGGATGACCCCGTCCATGTTCCTGGATTCTTGGACATTTCTCCTCCACAGATCTGATCAAACGGAACTCTTATTTACCTCTCCATGAGACTCCCCTGCCGTCTTTTTGAATCGCAGTCATCACTCTTGAATATTGGCTGATACTGATGTTAATCCAATCAGCCGATCAATACTGTCTCAGACTATTAGCCCGGGCTCAAAGGAGGAGCACTTTTAATTGCAATCAGGCCGCATCACGCTGCTCTGGATTGATTTTTTGTGTACTTAATAATAATTATATTTTTTACATTAATTTGTTTTGAGTGAAGGATCGCTCCTGGTGTAAATTTGTATAATGCATAAAGGCAAAACTGATTTTTCTCTGCAGAGAAAACAAACCAGGAGACAGAAAACTGATTTCAGGACCAGTTCTGATGTTTTACTGGATTGTCATTTGAGTGTTTATCTTTGAGTGATTTACATTACGTTTTAGGTTTTAACGGCGCATTTTTGACAGATTTGTGTGGTTTTATGTCTAAAGGTAGCACTCACAGCTGAGGATTCAGGCCTCAGAGTCCAGATTTTGATCCCCTCTGATGTAAACTGGTGTTGGGGTTTTGCTCTGCTGATTTAAAAGGAGGTAAAAACAACTCCAGGAGCATGTAGTGTAATTCATAAGAGTGTCATGCAGCCATATGCCCGGGCCAGATTGGTGGTGTATTTCTGGACAGCTGAGCTCTAATGATTCACTGCTGGGCCTCGTGTGGACCAAAGCTAAGTGTACATTTTGCCTGAGGCTGCAGCGCCGCTTCCACAGATACACGTGGAAGTAAAACCCACTGGTTTGCATTGAAAACACTCCTCTGTGGTCTTTTATTCCCCTCCTTCACCTGCTTTTTTCATCTTTCCAGGGCAAAAAAAAAACCCTGTCTATTCTGCATGTGGTGAAAGCTCTCTGGTTTGTCAAATTAACTTTATTTATACACAGACCCAGAGTGTATAAATGTGCTCTAACTAACAAGAGGGTTACAGTATGGAAAAAGAGGGAGCAGAGCAGCAAAACGGAGACGTAAGGGGAAAAAAAGATCTCGCTTTAATGCACAAAATAAGAGCGATAGAGCATGACAGAACACGTCGGAGCCCGGCGAACCAAATGAGGTCTGAGGTTTGGTTTCAGCTGAGGATTGGAAGTGTTTTTTTTCCATGTCGGAGTCTGTCGGAGCAGCGCTGGAGAAGACATCAGTCCCTGAAACACAAACAAAGCCACTGACTCAGAGAGAGAGAGAACTCCACTGATGAGGAGGTGGATGATGATGAAGAAGAGAGGGCGCTGCTCTCAGATGAAGAGCTCAAATCAGTGCGAGTTTAACATACAATACTGCAGGACAGGAAGAAGAGGTCTCTGATTTAAAGTCTCTGTTATAGACCATATAGATAATAGAAATAGTCTTAATCCAGAATACAAACAGGTTTAATCCTCCATCTGACAAACTGGTCTGGAGAAACAAGGCCTGTACTAAATGCTGAAACTGCAGTTCCCCGAGTGGCCACTGTAGGCATGCTGCAAACGCCTCCAAAAACGCCTACAAGGCAGGCAGCTGCTTGGGGTCCCAGGCCACTAAGGGCCCCCCTTAGGGCTGACGAACTTTACTTCACAAAGATTTCCTGAAATATTGCAACCCCAGTGAACAACTAGTGGACAAATTGCTTTGACATCTTAGACAGATACTGTACCATAGACATCTATAAGAAAGACTAGATGACTCGAGGCGGAGTCACCCGCGTCCCTACATGGCGGCCATCTTACTCCAGTATACCATTCTGGTATGCTCTCTGGTAGCTGACGGAAGTTGAGTAATCTGCATGATCAAAAATACTCTTAACTCGCTGAAACTTGACAGATTTACAAATGGTTTGGTTTATTACAGACCTAAATAACGTGGCTATGGGTTTGGATGTTAATGGCAGATTTACTTTGAGAAAAACAAAAGACTTAATTGTGCAGTACAGTTGTTTCACGGCTATTTGCGCACAAGGGCTAACTTTGAGTTGCTTTGCGCAAGTTGTCAAGGCTGAGACCACAATCGAGATTTTTAATTTCTTGTATAACAGCTTTTATTTCTTGTCGAAGTGACAGTCTTTGTGGATGTGCTTGTTTATCAGCTGTCTAACTTGGCTAACAGACACGTTGTGAGTGAGACCAAGTACATTTTACAAAGTTGACCCAGCAGTTTTACATCAGTTAAAGAGGCAGAAATGCTCTTTCGTTTCAACATAACCAAAGTTGCACATGATTTCCAAACTGGTTTGTTAAAAATATCTAAAATGGCAACATGAGGCAGAAATTTGTATTTAAAATAAATACATGTTATTTTTGTATGTTATTATAATTATCCCTATAATAGAAATATTACTAATATAACATACATGGAATGATTAAATGTCTTATATGTAAATATTTTAATTGAAATCTTAAATATTAAATGATTTAATGTAACTACCACGTGTGTAGGCCTATAGCCATTGCTCTACCTATCTGCTTAATGTTTATACATGAAAATCCATGGTTAAAATTATTCTTGAGTAAGCAGGAATATAACTAAAACTCTGAGGTTCAACCCGTTTGAAAATCGATTTAAAATAAATCATCTATGGTTATTTAAATGCTACATGCACCAAAGACTGTAATGTTATGAGAGGGCGAGCTGCCCTTAGCAAAATGGCGGCCATGTGTCAATCAAAGTAACGTCAAAATTAGCTGGGATGTGAAGCTACTTAGCGCGGACTGAGCAAAGAAAGAGAAGAAAAGGGAAAGGAATAAGGACAAAGCAAGACGGCGGTAAGTGAAACAGATAGAGAAGTGTGGTAAACACTTAATATAGCATTAGTTGTAAGGCTAGCTGTTATTTTTTTGGCAGTTTAATTAATTGTTTAGTTAGCCGTGTTAGCTTAGCGCGAGACGTTAGCTTCCCGCTTCGTTGACTCGCTGTTACCGTGTATTCACAGACCCGCACTGTCTTGCTAGGTTAGCCGACAGAGAGAAAGTGCGCTTGTAAGGTACATTACTGAAATTTCAACTAAGTAACCGGAACACCGGTAAGGGAGTGATTAGGACGGAAAAAAAAACAGCCAACCCAGACAACAGATTTTACTGTTGATGAACCGCTATTAACTAGCTATCAACGGTGGAGAATAGGGGAGAGTGGGGTAAGGTGAGCCAAAGGGTAAGTTGATCACATGGGTGAAGGGGTTAGACATTTATTTACAAAAAATAAAAACATTTTTCACTCTGTAAAGTGAATTTAGTCTGTCATTAGTTTGATTAGAATTGTGTTCAGACCAAAAAAAGATAATTTTATTTTTTTTTATGTATTAATTGTGGTATCTATGAGCTACAACATGAGGTCAAAAACCTAACATAAAAGTCCACCATTTTAGCTTAGAGCAGTGGTTCTCAAACTTGTTTTGTCATTCCCCCCTTTGGAGAAAGAAAAAATTTCATTCCCCCCTACCCCAACAAAATTGTGACAAAATAGGCCATGTATAACTTTATTGACAAAACATTCCTTCTGCTGTATTCCTTAAAACTAGAAAACAAACGTGCATCCTTCGAAGCTGCTGCTCTCCGTCTGTGGAAAGCCCTCCCCGACCACCTCAGGGCTCCACAGTCAGTGGATGTTTTTAAAAAAGGACTCAAAACCTTCCTCTTTCGGAAAGCCTACCCGGACTAATTTTATCTGATTTAATCTGCTGACTGTTTTTATTGTTTTGCCCTGTTGCTTGATTTTATTGTTATTGTTGTCTTATTGTGCACTTTGAGATTTGTTTTCAAATGTAAAGTGCTTTACAAATAAAATCTATTTTTATTATTATTATTATTATTATGTTGCAAGAACAATAAAAATCAAACAATATCAAGTTGAGTAAGTACAAAAAATCCTGTGAATCCAAGAGCAAGATAGCAAGATAGCTTCATCATATTTCCTTGACTTGGCTTTTGTTGGTTTGGCCTACCGTCATCTAGGCATGCTGTATTGCTGGCTTCAGCTTTTCTTTTCATCCCTGTCAAATATCTCTCCATTTATTATGATCTGAACACAGTAGCTGGTTGTTACGGTGACAGGGGAAAGCGCGGGTTGTCCGCCGCTAAAAAAATTCCGACGTCCAAACATTGGTTCCGCGGCACGGACTCTGCACAACGCGAAACGGAGCAGCTTCAGCTCCTCTCAGAGCTCTCCACAGCGAGAGGAGCGGAGCAGCAGCTGGCATAGCACGGCGTCGGTGGTTATCTCCGCCCTGGTTTCTGAGCTAGTTCCCACCGTGAATTAGCACAGCAGAAAGCGTCTTTGTACGCTTTCAGGAGGACATTTTACAGGTGGGGATAGCAGCATACTTAACAGGTGTTATGCCGTAGAATGCACCCCTGCTGTGGAATGCACCCCCTGCATCCCCTCCACTTGTTGCAACTTTCGTTCTGTTTTTAAGTGTCTCAAAAATGCACATACGGAGGTGTGCTTGGGTATATAAACTGTACAGTAAGCTGTCAAGCTAGCGAACATATTTTCGGGACAACAAATATTACAAATCAGAGGGCTATTTTTTCGGCTTATCTGAATAGCCTGAATGAAATAATTAAAGGCAGACGCTCTTGAATTCATCCAATGGTAAGGAAAACTTGAATTATTTTCGCCTTGTTAAGTACTTTCAACCGCGCTCCTGTCGGGGGGGCATTTTATGGCAGGGGTGCATTCTACGGCACAACCAGCCTTTTTTGGGACAAGGTGAATGTTGAAGTCTAGTGTCTAGATAAGAAAGTGAAAGAGGAAACAAATGGTATAATCCTGTATGTCCGAGTGGCTCAGAGGATAAGAACACTGACTGTAACTCCTGAGGTCATAGGTTCGAGTCCTACCTTACCTAGATTTTGGTGAATTTTAAAGTCTTAAGTCCACAAAATACAGCGATATGTGAAAAAAAAAATAATTCTCTTGTGTGTCCACATGGCTCACGGGATAAGGAGACTGACTGGGACTCCTGAGGTGGTGTGTTCCAGCCTTTTTTGGGACAAGGTGAATGTTGAAGTCTAGTGTCTAGACAAGAAAGTGAAAGAGGAAACACATGGTATAATCCTGTATGTCCAAGTGGCTCAGAGAATAAGAACACTGGCTGGTACTCCTGAGATTGTGGGTTCAAGTCTTACCCTGTCCACTTCTAGGAGAATTTTAAAGTCTCGAATCCACAAAGGACAGCGATATGTGAAAAAAAAAAAAAACATTTCTCTTGTGTGTCCACATGGCTCACGCGATAAGGAGACTGACTGGTACTCCTGAGGTGGTGTGTTCCAGCCTTTTTTGGGACAAGGTGAATGTTGAAGTCTAGTGTCTAGACAAGAAAGTGAAAGAGGAAACAAATGGTATAATCCTGTATGTCCGAGTGGCTCAGACGATAAGAACACTGACTGTAACTCCTGAGGTCATAGGTTCGAGTCCTACCTTACCTAGATTTTGGTGAATTTTAAAGTCTTAAGTCCACAAAATACAGCGATATGTGAAAAAAAAAATAATTCTCTTGTGTGTCCACATGGCTCACGGGATAAGGAGACTGACTGGGACTCCTGAGGTGGTGTGTTCCACCCTTTTTTGTGACAAGGTGAATGTTGAAGTTTAGTGTCTAGACAAGAAAGTGAAAGAGGAAACACATGGTATAATCCTGTATGTCCAAGTGGCTCAGAGGATAAGAACACTGACTGTAACTCCTGAGGTCATAGGTTCGAGTCTTACCTTACCTAGTTTTTGGTGAATTTTGAAGTCTTGAGTCCACAAAATACAGCGATATGTGAAAAAAAAAAACCCATTTCTCTTGTGTGTCCACATGGCTCACGGGATAAGGAGACTGACTGGTACTCCTGAGGTGGTGTGTTCCAGCCTTTTTTGGGACAAGGTGAATGTTGAAGTCTAGTGTCTAGACAAGAAAGTGAAAGAGGAAACAAATGGTATAATCCTGTATGTCCGAGTGGCTCAGAGGATAAGAACACTGACTGTCACTCCTGAGGTCATAGGTTCGAGTCCTACCTTACCTAGTTTTTGGTGAATTTTAAAGTCTTGAGTCCACAAAGGACAGCGATATGTGAAAAAAAAAAACCCATTTCTCTTGTGTGTCCACATGGCTCACAGGATAAGGAGACTGACTGGGACTCCTGAGGTGGTGTGTTCCAGCCTTTTTTGGGACAAGGTGAATGTTGAAGTCTAGTGTCTAGACAAGAAAGTGAAAGAGGAAACACATGGTATAATCCTGTATGTCCAAGTGGCTCAGAGGATAAGAACACTGACTGTAACTCCTAAGGTCATAGGTTCAAGTCCTACCTTGCCCCCCAAGGTCTATATTCTACAAAGGACAGTGATATATGAAAAAAAACATGATTGTCTCGTGTGTCCACATGAGTCAGTGGGTTCAATCCTTATCCTTATTGTAGGACGCCCTCTGCTCAGCCCCCGGCCATCGGCCGCTGCGCCCCCCCTATAATCCCCCCCGCAACCCTTCTTCCCACCCTTACTCTAAAGTTCAGCCTGCTCTGACTTCGTGTAGCATAACCCCCCTATTTTATCTCTCTGGAAACACCGGGGGGGGTAACCCCACACCCCTGGGCTGAGCGGGTTTCGAATCGGGAGCCGGTCTTCAACCAGAACACATGGCTCACATTAGGGTGTTAGATGTCTACCACACTGCGCCACCGGAGACCATCCACAGTTGGGGATGAGCTCTGCGTGCTTTTATCTTGGTACTTTTGCTCCTGGACTTTAAAATGCATCCTGAATAAGGTTTGAACCTCAGGAGTCCCAGTCAATGTTCTTATCCTGTGAGCCATGTGGACACACAAGGGGGTGCCAAACTCCAGACAGAGGCTTTGAATAAATTATTGCTAACTCAATTCTGGAGTAAAATCACTTTATCCCTTTAGTACATTCATAGTACTTCTCAGTTTATAATAATAATAATAATAATAATAATAATAATAATGAAGAAACCAAAAGCACAAATAATCAAAAAGATTAGGGAGTTAACATCAGCAGCTTTTTTCTTAAAATAAAGACAAACACAAGCTCCAACTTTCAACTGCAATTTATTTCTAGTGACGCTAAAATGAAAATCTATGTTTAAAAAACTTATAAACACTCTATTGATATCCCAAACACACACAATACCTATAGCCACCCAAACTCTGCAGATACAGTAAATCCTTCTTCAGTAGCCGCTTTGTTAACACTTGATCAAACAGTACGAGGACCTGTTAGAGGATAACCCAGCTGCAGGTTGTCTGAAGGCCTGTGCCAAGCCTTGATGTGCATAATATTCAGGCCTGTGGTATTCATAACAACTCTGATGGGTTTTTTAATGTGCAGCTTAACAGACAAGTAACATCTGGTCCTTTGCATGTGTGGATGCCGCGCGGCGGATGGCCGGGGGCAGGGCAGAGGGCGTGCCCAATAAGGCTTGAACCCACTGACTCATGTGGACACACGAGACAATCATGTTTTTTTTCATATATCACTGTACTTTGTGGACTCTAGACCTTCAAAATTCACCAAGAAGTGAGCAAGGTAGGACTCGAACCTATGATCTCAGGAGTTACAGTCAGTGTTCTTATCCCCTGCGCCACTTGGACACACAGGATTATACCACTTATTTCCTCTTTCACTTTCCTGTCTAGACACTAGACCTCAAAATTCACCTTGTCCCAAAAAGGCTGGAACACACCACCTCAGGAGTCCCAGTCAGTCTCCTTATCCTGTGAGCCATGTGGACACACAAGAGAAATGGGTTTTTTTTTTCACATATCGCTGTCCTTTGTGGACTCAAGACTTTAAAACTCACCAAAAACTAGGCAAGGTAGGACTCGAACCTATGACCTCAGGAGTCACAGGCAGTGTTCTTATCCCCGGCGCCACTTGGACACACAGGATTATACACACAAGCCACATGGCCTACTATAACGATATAGAGGTATAAGTTTGTCCACAAGGGGGTGCCAAACTCCAGACAGAGGCTTTAAATAAATTATTGCTAACTCAATTCTGGAGTAAAATCACTTTATCCCTTTAGTACATTCATAGTACTTCTCAGTTAATAATAATAATAATAATAATAATGATAATAAAGAAACCAAAAGCACAAATAATCAAAAATATTAGGGAGTTAACATCAGCAGCTTTTTTCTTAAAATAAAAACAAACACCAGCTCCAACTTTCAATTGCAATTTATTTCAAGTGACGCTAAAAAGAAAATCTATGTTTAAAAAACTTATAAACACTCCATTTATATCCCAAACACACACAATACCTATAGCCACCCAAACTCTGCAGATACAGTAAATCCTTCTGCAGTAGCCGCTTAGTTAACACTTGATCTTATATACACACTTTGAGAAACGCTGGCTTAGAGGAATAATAAAGTCATTATAGTAGTTCAGAGGTAACTGAGAAAGTAAAGGAGTCTAATGAGAGGATCAGAGTTTCAATTTAGATTGTTGAAATGTTTGAAATATCCGAAATATGAAAAATGGCTCATCTTACCCCACTCTCACCTATAAAATACTGAAGTCAGTCTCAGACATCAAATCTTAGAACAAAGGTGAGGTGCTGGCTATTATGGTGAAAACATACCACAGCTGTCGCTATTTTAGATCATGTTATGTAATAATAATGATAATTGTTTTGATAAAGTTTATGTCTCTGACCTCTTTTGTTGGTTTCAGATAATTTATATGTTTAACGCTTGTCAGAGGGGCCCCCTTGAGAATTTTTGCTTGGGGCCCCAGTACACTCTAGAATCTCCTCTGGCAGATGTGCAAAATTAATGTTGTTTTTTCATCTTAAGATGATCATTTTTAAGCTTCTGAGGACTTGGGCACCAGTTTAGGCTTTTCTGGGGTATGATGTGTACGCACATGTTCTCCATAAATTAGACAATGAATTCTAGAAATGATTAAATGTCATTAAATTGACCTACAAAGCATTAATTTGACTTTAAAGGTTAATTTTCGATAAATGACTCTTGTTTTACATCCATATTTGTTCTGTTTAAATCCATGGATGGAGGGTTTGTTTGCGTGAAAAGCAGAGGAGACTCTCCCACTTTTGACCTCATTAAATTATTTACATTTCCCCATATGCCGCCCGGACCGTTTGCAGGGCACATGAAGGACGGTCCGGGCAAAGACTGGGGGGAGAGAGGAGGGGGGATAGTGAGCTCCTCAGACCTGGCATTCAGCGAGAGAAAGTTCAATGACATGCAGGGAGGAAAAAGCACAAGTGACCAGCAGGGATTAGCCAATCAGAGCGTCAGAAGAGTAGCCAGCTGTTCATTCTGGACGCAGCGAAAAAGCAGCCCGGAGCAGGTGGTGCAGCGCGGTGCCAGCGGTGCTACAGAGGAGGAGAAGAAGAAGAAGAAGAAGGAGAAGAAGAAGATGGTGATAAAAGAAATCATGTGTGGATGTTCCTGCAGTACTGCTGGACTCTGGGCCGCCTTCCTTTCTTGCTTTGCCTCGCAGTATTATGCATAAATAAAAAGGAACATGAGAAAAATCTCTGTTTTCTCTTGGAAGAGGAACCTCAGGCTTTATGTGTGTGCCATTTTCCCAAACAGATCCAAAATGCTTCACAAAGCAGAAACAGAAAAAGCAATTAATGGAAGGTAGAGGAGGCATGAGGAAGGCGGGAAAAGAGAGGTGGAAAAAAAGAGGATAAAGGTCGGCGAGCAGAAGGAATATCAGCGTTAAAGGAATGTATTAACTCAGGAGTTACTTTAAAAAAAGAAGGAATCTGTTTGACTTATCCATTTCCTACATTTCCCAGAATGCAAAGGACTTCCTGCACATTTAACTTTATATTTAACTCGACTCTTACCATCTTCTCCTTCTTCTGCAGTAAACAGAGCGCAGTAACTTGAGTGGTTTTTAAAGGTGCTGCTAATTAAAGGTGTTATTTTCCTCATTAATATGAATATTTAGTCGATTTTTGGCCTGTTTCCTGCAGAGCGGCATGTGAACTGGAGGTGACAGAGTGAGTCTGAGGGGACACTGAATAACAGCAGCTGCAGAGCGTCACAAAGACAACAATGCTCCCACCGTCAGAGGGGGGCTCGGTGCACCGCGGTGATGTTGGACAGCTCTGCAAAGACCCCCGCGTGGAGGTTTATTAATTTGCATATATGGTTTTATGCTCTGGCTGACACCGAAACACCAGGTTTGGCACAGCAGAGTCTTGGTATGGAGATGGTACAGCACAGTCCTGTAGAGATCTGGAGAAGGGATGCAAACAGAGGAGCAGAGAGTCCAGGCTGGAAAAAAAATGACCTGCAGAAATACGAAGCAAAGATTAGACTGATGATGATGATGATGCAGCTGATAGTTCAGCTCCAGTTTGGTTCACTTTCTCTTGAAATAATCTAAAATTAAAGACTTTTTAATGTTGACCTCATGAACAAGCTCCCCCTGCAGGCTGTCACTTTGTACCTGCTCTCTGTTTAAATAAAGTTTGTCATGTTTCTTTTCAGACTCCTACTTGACTTCGATTGTGTTTCATTTTAGGTCGTTTCCAGTCCTCTGAGTCTGAGGGATGGTGAAGAATTTCTGCAGGAGGGAACAGAAACAGTTCCTGCACACCAAAGTTCAACAGGTAGGCTGCAGGAACCTCCAACTCCGTACAAACAAGCAAACCAAAACCACATTAAACACACTGGTAACACTCATGCATTAGTGACTTAGCATGCATGAATATCTTCTCACTGATGAATCCATGTCTCTCACTAACAGCTCTTCTTTAGTCAGGCCTGAAGCTGATGATATTTGAGTTTTATCATCCCAAAGTTTTGGTAGATTCCATTTTCTATTCCCATGAGAACAACAGTGTTGGTCTGCACACACTTTGATACTAACCGTGTTTTTAAGCTCATGAATCAGACATATGATCAGAGAATTAACTCCTAACTGTTAGTAACTGATGAAAAGAGAAAGTGAGCATTCATAACCTTCCTTCCTCTAAAATCAGAGTGTTGTTTTCAGGTGAAATCTCTCTCCCTGAACAAAGCCGGAGCTTGCTGCAGCTCTGCGCTCATTAATGATGTTTTTGAATCTCCAAACCGCACCGTCTCAGTGGTCATTTTTCTGCCGTTGCTCGGCTCAGAGGTGATGCAGACACATCACAGCTGAGACCTCAGTGTTTTTAAGATCAGTTTGATCTTTTTTTCTGCTTTTATTCGCTCGAATGTGACTCCTTCCCTCACAGAGAGGCTCAGCGCCCTTCAATTAAACCCAAACTAGTGGTCACGTGACACCTGTGATTTCCTGCAACACTCAAAGGAAATGATCTCTGTCAGTCTGTCAGCCTCCCCCCTTCCTCCCCCTCTCTCAGGGGTAAGTGATTATGTGTTTTGCCAATGTGTTTGTGGAGATCTTTTGATATGCACAAACACAGATTCTAATGCGCTGTTTTTGGCTGACGGCTGATTAGGATGCCGGCTCATGGCTGAGTCCACGGGGCCTCAGCTGGGTGCAGGGAACATCGCTCATTACACATTTTCAAGAGAGGGGAGGGGGGCTAATTCGCACCGCGGCGCAGCATGCCGGTGTAGGTGTAATCATATCATTCTAAATCACCGGTCAGTTACGCGCCGGCGAAGCCTCGGCTCATGCCAGAGGGCCGGCTGGAGCCTGATTAAAGCTCGACCAAAGACAAAGTGACACGTCCTTAACCTCATCAAAGGAGACGTTAAGCAAACCATCGCTTAGCCGTCAAGGTGCAAGGCTCACCCCGCCGAGACCCTCACCCGGGATGGATTTTTTCTTCCTTTCTGTAAATTAGAGCTTTCTTCTCGGGGAGCGGCATGCATTTTTTATAAGGGCATCATGGCGGATGGTGGATGGCTGCCTGGGCGTTCCCATCACTAATACGCCACTGTCCTCTTGATTTAATTAGACGTTGGGCCCTCTATTTTCGACAAGGAAATATCTGCTCTAATTAAGCGTTCGAGAATGAACAGACATGCGTTTCAGTGCCGGGTTAATGTGGTCATAAAAAATCCATGATTTCTGCCCTTTGCCCTCCTTTTTTTTGGCGTTTTCTCACCGATTCTCGCAGAAATGGACTCCGACGTGTCCTCGCTCTCGACTCTGTGTGTTTTTGTCTTCTGAACAGGCCAATTACTTTTTTGGGTTGCTTTATGATTATTCATGCTAGAGAGACTCCCAGCACTTAATGGACTTAGCAGTGTTTTGTACTCTCTCTCTCTCTCTCTCTCTCTCTGGAAACAGATAATTGCTCCATTGAGGAGGCGAACCTTTGCAGTCCAACCTTCGTGTTGCGGAGGAATGAATGCGGCGTTACATGTATGTAATTTCTTTAAAGGAAGCATTGCCTCTGTAGCCTGCAGGGATTAGGCCCTAATGACAGAAGTTAATTATATTAAGAGTAATTTTCAAAAACAGTTCATGAACTGCAAATTATACTTAAAATTGCTCCTTAATGCTCTTAACTGTAATTAAATTTCCTAATATCTGCAGAAAATGAACAGGCGGGACGGGAGCGAGGGGTTCAGGGACTTTTAGGGGGTTCAGGGGTTAACGGCCCGTGGATGGGATCAGAAATGTGATACTCGTACGCTGCATCCTGGTTTATTTTTTTAAGGTTTCATAGGAGGAGAGTGTGAAATTTATCAAATTCAACAAGAACACAGGTTTAAATATGTAGATATTAGTGTGGTGTTTTAGAGGAGGATGAAAACGCTTCAACTCTTGTTTTTTAAGGTGTTAAGATAATAAAATCCGACTTAATTCACAAAATAAACATTATTTATCTGGTTTAGTGCACCCTATAGAGAACAGCATGTTTAAAGGTGCGGTCTGTAATATTTAGCAGCTTTCATCAGACCAAACTTGGTAAAGAAAATACATCATTTTATAAAAATAAAGAGTTTTGTTTTAGTTAATGTAGAAAAGCTTTTCTTCCCCTTCCATGGAGGCTACTATCTTTCTATGGATGCACAAAAGGGACAAACTTGTCTCATATGTGTTTTTGTATTCAGTCAGTAGCTGCATTAAAACGAACCAGCTGGAAGACGAAATAATTCAAGTTTACTGACATTTTTATTGAAGTAAAAACTTGAGAAGTGGTAGATCAGATTCATCATGTATCACAGGAACTTGTTGTCCTCAGAGACCACTGTTGTTTTATCAGTAAGAGGGGGGAGTAAAGGAGCATTTCGCTCTAAAATCTGGACCCTAAAACCTCGTTTTTAATCTACTTTGTCCACCTAAGTTAATGTTTTGATGTTTTTCTTAACAGCCTTTTTCCCAGGATGCTTCCCGACACCTCCAAATGTTTGCATGTATGTCTAAAATGTGCTCTTCAAATCCTTCGATAACAGATATTTGGACTTCTGGCTCATTTTAATATTGATCACATGATCCTGTTTGAGCGTTGTTGTTTATAATAGGGAGTTATTTTCTCATATTTGATCTTTTTTTGCTCAGTTTTAGTCTCCACCACCTCCTCTTGGTCTAATTTTGCTCAATATTTAGTTAGTTACTCCACAGTTCTGCTGAAAGCTTGTTGCTTTTTGGATTTTGAACTGTTCTCCATCTTTTGCAGGACCCACTATGTGCAGCAGAGAACAGTAAGAGTGAAAATCTATCTAAAATCTATCTCCAAAAACATGTGAAGTCATATTAATCTTATTTTTAACATGCAAGAGTCGCAAAGTCTGCAAACAAAGGAGGACTAAAGAGAACAAAACTGAAGTTTGGACTCTTTAAATTCAACAGAGACCCTCGATTGGTAATTATAGATGGATAAATATGGAGCACATGGCTTCAGCTCCATCATTTAGAGGACTGGAAGGAGTTCAGGCCACACAGTTGTAAAGTTGGAGCTAACGGAAGTATCACTTCACTCTGCAGACGACGTCATGCCTGTCGCCTCTCTTGCACTCGCCCATAATAACACAGCAGTGCTAGATTCAGGAACGAGCACACGAGCAGCCTCGCCGTCGCTTTCGCCACTTTTCAGAATTAGTCCTGATGATTTTTCTCTCCTTTTCTAGCCGGTGAGACCTCGACACGTAAAGTGAAAAGTGCTTGAGCTGCTGTAATCCTCCAAACGCTTGACGCCGGGCATTTTCTGAGCTCTACAGGAGGTGGAGGGAAAAGCAGGAGAATTATGCATTTGTCTGCCTGTAATTAGGTGTATTTCTTCCCTGAGTTTTTATTCAATGATTGGCTTTCTACAGCGAGGGCCAGTACTTTTGAAGTGTAATGCTTCTCCTCTCAGGCGACTTAAAAGTTACAGGGGGAAAACGCGGGTGAAAAAAAGGAACTGCAGTCATTCTGCGGCTTTGAAGGAGCTTTAATCTGAACAAAATTTAGGTTGGCCTTGGTTTTTCTGACATCAAAGACTCACGAGAGCGTATTATTCAATCAGAAGTGGTATGTTAAACCATAAATGCCATTGTTCAAGTACTTACAGGAGGGGTTTCACCTCAGAGAGAGAGGCATGGAAGCTTTCCGAGTCATGCCATTTGTGCAACTGTGCATATTAAATCTACTTGGAATTTCTGTGGCAGGGACTGTATGTTCAGTGTGGTTGAAGTGCATGTGTATGTGAGTGCAAAGGGGGGTCTTTTTCTCCCTCTAACACACTCGCATGCAAAACTATGCGAGCACAAAAACACACACTCTCAGTGTCTTCCATCTCTGCTGTGAAGCCAGACCCCCCTCGGCTTTTCTCACTTGTAATCATGTCCAAATTTGCACAGGAAGGCAGGGGGAAGGGGAGAGCCATGTCAACTTGTGTGGGTGTTTTCTGTTTTTTTATTACATACAAAACCCGCTTCTGATTACCGCCGATCTCTCCGACACCCCAGATCCAAATCACCTTCTGAAGCTGTTCAAACGCCAGAGCTCCAAACATTTCTGCTCTCTCTCTGTCCTTTTTTCAACTAAAAGTGAAATTTGGCTCAGGGACGTAGAAACTCTACCGCCGCCAAGTAACAAGGAGGTAAAATAGAAACGTAAAGAACACGGAGAGGAGTAGCAGGAGTGCAGCAGAACCTGCCAGGTTTAAGGTGAGCGTCGAGCCGAGCAACTTTGAGGAAGTTAGAGTTGGACGTGAAGCTCAGGGAAACATTCAGAGAATCAAACAGTCAATGTTTTTGACATTCATGCAGGAAAAATGCAACCAAAGCTCTTGAACTACAAGTTTGTTAACCAAATCTCAAACTGCACATTAAGAAGTGTTATTTTGAGAGTTTGCTGTTGCAGACTTGGACGTTGACGTTGATAAGCTGCTGTAGCGTCTTGTCCTTCCTGCTGCAGCCAAACTGCCAAAAGAAATGTGAACTTAATGTCAACGTTTGAGCGAAGCATGCAGGTGCAGCCAAGAACAATTACTCATAACTTTACGTGTGCAGGACCAGGAAACACTAATGCACCTGAGAATAACCAGACTGATCTCTGAATAACTGCTCCCTTTTTTTGTTGCATGCATATGTTGTCCTGTGTGATAGTGTTATCTTGTACAGTCACTACAGTAAATGCTGTATTTGACAGAAGAAGCTCTCTGAAACTCTCAGACCACACTGGTGCAGCATTTGTTTCACGATAACTGTAAAAGTCAAGATTATAAAGTACGTTTCATTGCATGTTTTTGAAGATACTGCCAAGAATCGATTTGCAATGTTAGTGCAAACTGAAGAAGCATTCTTTTTTTTAACATGTACAAAATCCTGATTCCTCGACTTTCAAATTTAAATCTGCTTTTTCTGCACCGTTAGTTAGTATTCCCATTTGCATCCTCTCCTTACATTAACTTCTCTGCATGTTTTTGTTTAATTCAAAATATAGGATAAATGTGACAGAAAATAGATTTAAATAGATGTTAGATCCCAGGATAGTTTAAAAATCATGTTTTATAATCTGTAGAAATAATCAAGAGAAGCCAGGTGCAGCTCCAACCTTCCTGATTAAAGTGTCTTTTATTAACGTCCAAAGACCTTTGAGTCAAACTGTCCGAACTCTGATATTTGGGGAAACGTGCACACACACACTGCAGCTCGTCCATCGTTAAAATTTCTGTTATAGTTCCATTGTTCGTTATTAACCAAATGCACCACTTGAACTGTTGGATTATCTGTTTTATCTCCGTTTCTTGGCCCCTCTTCTCATCTCTGTGGACCAATTACAGAAGCATTGTTCTTTCTAAATGATTAATCACTTTGTATTGAGCCGCTTTGGCAGGATTTGTTCTTTTAAAACACGAGACCTGAGCTGATAATTGAAATTTCCTCTGTAATTTCTCGTCTTTATTACCTGCAGAAATTTGGCACGGGCCCTGACTCGAACTGCCAGAGCAGCGTTCAGTACCTGTGTGTGTTTATTTGTCTCTGAATTCTCCGATTCGGATGTAAATGTTTCATTCGTCTGTGTCATCTCATCAGATTTTCTTGTTCTTGTTAGGGTCGACATGTTCTTGGCGTCTCCCTGCACTTCTTCATTCATGCCGTGTGCGCTCTCGGGCAGCTTGGAGGAGTTAGTGGCACTCTGTAAGTGTGTGTTAATGCGCGTGAGTGTGTGTGTGTGTGTGCGAGCCCACCTTGGCAGTGGCACTAGCTATCAGCAGGGCCCAGCCGGCGTGCTAGCAGTGAGAGCGTAGTGTTTGTAACAAAGCCGCTCTGACTGTAACTGTTCACATTTGTCCCTCAGGCGAAGCGAGGTGGAACCTTCCAGAAAAAAGGAGGCTCTAAATGGCTCCGTGGAGGGCGGCGACGACGGGTGAGCCCGCCGCCATGTGTGCTGAGGAAGTCTGCACGCCACTCGGACCCTGCACACAACAGGCAGCCAGGACGTCTGGCCAACGTGTCACACGAGACAGTGAGATGGAGGAAGACTTCGCTTCGCCTCTTTCTCAATTACAGTTTATCTCCCTCAGTTCGAAAACACAATAAGAGGCTCGGAGTTCAGCTTTCCTTTAGACTCCTCTGTCTGTTCGTCTCTGCGGCCTGCTGATTGGCTGATGAAATTTAAGGTTGTGTAAAACGTAGAGGTGGTCTCAGTGACCTCATAGCGTATGAAGAGGTGTGATGAAGCCGAGAGTCCTTTTTGGACTTTTAACTCATAAATGCACAACAGAGGAGAGAGAAGTCAAAGAGACGTCAGGCAACGATATCTCCTCATGTCTGCAGACAAACACGACAACGATTCCTGCGTTTTCAGACAAGAACAATTATTCAATAACTGTCAATAATTCAAACATTACTCTGTGATATCAAACTAAACTACTGTCTGAGCAATAGGTTTAGGTTTTTTTTGTTGTTGCTGAAACAGAGACTTTCATTGTTTACCACTGGGAGCTGTTATCTCATATTTAGTCTTTTTTTTTGCTCAGTTTTAGTCTCCACCACTTCCTCTTGGTTAAATTTAGCTCAATATTTAGTTATCTACACTACAATTCTGCTGAAAGCTTGTTGAACTTTTAAAATAAAAACAATCTCCATCTTTTGCAGGACCCACCATGTGCAGCAAAACAAGAAAACCAAAACAACGACTTGAGAGAGGCTGAAAATCTCAGTCAAGCTGCAGAGAAGAGAACAGTAAGAGTGAAAATCTATCTCCAAAAATATAATAAATATAATCCTTGTTAGTATGAAGTTTAAGTCTTATTAATCTTATTTTTTACATGCAAAAACCACAAAGTCTGAGGAATAAATGGCCTTAAATGAGGAAAAAAGAGAATAAAACTGAAGTTTGGATAGGTTTAGTTTTTTTTTGCATTTCTCTCCTGATCAGGATCATTCACCTGTCAGTCAAATCAGCTCCGCCTTAATTTCTGCAGACCTCCCCGCCCAAATGTAGTGAAAACAGGTTGTAAGATACTTCACCTTCTGTGCAGGTAGAGCAGTGAGGTATGGAGAGCAAAAGCACGCTGTACGAGGCTGTACACACGTTTTATCCCATCAGGTTTTTACATTTCGGCGGGTTTAACCCCCCCTGGAGCCCTTTACCCAAAACAAGTTTGTCAGAGAAGTTTCCTCCGTCACAATGATCCGCTCCCCACAAACACCCCCGCCGCCCTCATTTGCGTGATCTCGCCGAGCATCAATCTGCTGTCGCTGACGATGTCGGTGGAGGAGACGCTGCCTCTGATCGAGGATGAAAGCTTTAAATAGCCGCGTGGCTCGGGTTGCGGGGTGTCAGGGCCTATCGGCTGAGGACGAGGATGATGATGATGATAGTGCAGAAAAAGAGGAAGTGGTCAGAGCGGGTGAAGTGGGTCAGGTCCGGAGTGAGTGGACGTGTGATGTGACCCGTTAGCGTGAGGAGGGCTGGATGGACTCGAGGGCTGCTCTGTCTGTCTGTCTGAGGGTGGAGGCAGGACGCCGGTGGCCACAGGGCGAACGAATCAGAGGAAGTTTAGAGCTCAGAGTTCAAACAGACGAGCAGAGAGATTCAGAGTCAGTGTGGAGTCAGAGGAGAGAGTCCTGGTCCAGAACTGAGACCTGTTTACCTGTTTCTCTCTTTCTCCTCGACTGTACTCCCTTCGGAGGATTCATTTCATCTTTAATTTCAAAGATATTCGTTTATTGACCTTTGGATCACCAGGCTGGAGTCTGTAGTCGTCTGCTGTCTCTCCTCTGATCCCAGCTCACCTCTTTGTAAAACAGAAAATAACCAGTCTGTCTAAACTCGAACTGAAGTCAGCTCAGGTTGAGTTTCTCTCCATGTTGCGTGTGTGATCCTCCTCTGAATCAGAAGTTTGGAGCTGGAAGTCTTTGACCGCCATGTGAGCTGGTGTCTTCTTGTCTCTGCGTTAACGGGGCGTTTGTAGCCGAGGGGCAGCAGCGGATCAGAGGTGATCAGCGTGATGTGGGCTGAGAGGACACACAAACACACACAGAGTCCAAGTCAGAGCTGGTTAGAAAACCTTCAGAGAGCCTGGACCTCAGGACACAGAGAAACCACCTCAGTGACACGACAGAGGAGTGAATATCTGCTCGTTAGACGTAAATCAGGTGAAATTTAAAGACGATTTAAAATTAAACAAATCAGCAGGATTCAAAGAGCCTATAAACCACGACAGAGTCTTATTCTGCCAGAGGGATACAGATGTCAAAAACATATGGAAAATAAAGAAAACATGACACAGCCGAGGCCGTCTGCTCCCAGAAACATCTCCAACAAACCCCAACAATAAGGACTTGAAAGATTTTCACTCATTTGTGACCGTCCTCTTCTGCCGCCTCTGCGTCTCCGAAGGCCGAGCCCAGAAGACTTTGTGATTCCAGTCAGACTTGAGCGATGATTAGATTGCTTCAATTCTTCTACGGCGTGTCTCCCGGTGCCTTTAATATGCAAATAGTAGGTATGCAAAGCTCTGATGCTTTTATTTAAAAGACATGTCCTCGGGCGATAGCAGGGAGAGCTCTGTTTTAGCATGAAATAAATAGTTGTTAAAGGGATCACACAAGTCCGCATCTTAGAAGATGAAAAGCTAATTGACATGAATAATTTATTTGTATTGCAGGATCTTAAAGATATCAGATAGCGGTGGATAAATAAAAGTTGAGTTCAAACATGATGCTGAGCGTCACGGGCCTTTCCAGCGTTCAGAGGGAATTACAGCTTTCATTTTCGTCCTCATCCTTTCAACTCATAATGGCATTTGTCCTAAGGTCACTCCACCGCAATTATCAAATATTACCAGAATACTCTGAGGTATTAAGAATAATGATCTGGATATGAATCATTATGTTGCTCCTGCAGTTCAGGAGGGGAGCGCCAGTTTTTTAGGAGGAGGCATAAAAACGGGAGATTTAAACTTCTCCAATCACCAGGTGAAAAAATCTGGCTTCATACATGAGATTCCCCGCCGTGATTCGGTCTTATATCTTCTAAAAACTCTGCATAAAACAGGAATGTGTTCATAAAGATCGTGTTTTAAGACCTGCTTTGGAAGAGGAAGGTCAAAGTCAGGATTACGTGCAGAAAAAGCACCACAGCATGTGAAACAGACACTTTACTGAGGTTTTCAGGCTGCTTTGTGGAGTCGTTTTAAGTCTTTAGATTACTATTGCATTTCTGCATTAGACTGGAGGTAAAACATGTAATATATCGTGCAAAAACCCAGCAAATAATTGGTTTTCTTAGGTTTCTTTTGTAAGTGAAATTTGCTCAAATTTTTTGGAAGCTCTACCCTCTAAATAGAAATAGAAACCTTCACAATAACGACATGTTTGTGACGTGCAAAGACACAGGTGTGCAGACATTAGTGCTAATCTTGTCAAATGATTTTCAGATGTCTTCATAAGTTACATTACTTTTTTCTTGAATGTTTCCTGCTAAAAGTCAACATGAAATTTCATCTGTTTGCATGTAGCTCAACCTAAAAAATTTTAGGTTTTTGGGAGTTTTGTGCACATGCAAATACAACTTTCATCATCATATCAGTGCGGCGGATGTTTGCTGCAACCTCTCCTTGTCCCAAATGAGCAGGAAGAATGTATTTTAGAGGAGAATCAAGGATGTTTTTGGAAAACGCATGCTTTAGGCCTCAAACAATGTTTAATTAAGAAGGAATAAAGTTTACTTTGTAACCTAGAAGTTGTCAATTGTTCCAAATTCTTGCAAAACTTTAAAAACCAAATTGTGTCTTTAAAAGTCTGAACATCATGCCTACTCAGAAATCTTCTTTAAAAAAACAGATTGCCAAAACTGAATAAGTCATTTTTGCCCACAGTTTCTGAAGAAGACGAGTTTGTTTGCACGTTTCTCTCCTAAAGAGCTCCACAGTTTGAACTTTGATGCTCTTTTTGTTTGCATGCGTGTCAGAAAGTGCACACGGGGATGATTTATTGGTGTTCAAATGACACATCGAGCACCTTTCTGCAACTTTAGGTTCTGTGGGTTTGGGAGATAGTTGCTCATCCTAAATAATGAGAGAAGAAGCTCTCAGTTCAGGAAGGAACACGCGAGGAGGATGTGCGCCCGCTCCCCCTGAGGTTAGTCTCATATCCAATCAGACTGTTTCTATAATCGACTGACATTCTCCCAAAATGACGAATCCCACCCACCCGCCCTCCACCCAGGCTAAAAGCGAGCGCTCAAAGTGCTTTAAAATTGCAGTTTGACCCCTGCACAGAGGAGGTCCACACACTCTGAGTTCAATCCTACTCCATATCTCTGCTGGCATGGTTAGAATTCAGCTCTAACTGGAAGGCCCTTCTGATTACAGACTACCCACAATGCCCTCTATTGTTGTTTTGAACTTTTGACTGCGTGGGCCGGGCCTCGACAGCGGCGAGCAGCGCTGGGGAGTCGGCAGCGGGGCGGAATATTTGACATTTCTCCGTGATGACAGCCTTGTTACTACTCTTGTTTCGTATTGTGTGCATCCTCTCTGTGTGGACTCCCGTGGCAACACAAAATCTGATTTGGATGACAAATACTTTCCGGCTCTGCAGCGTGTGCACCGTTTTTGGCCAACTCCACCCAGCTCGTTTAAAACGTAGGCCTGCAAAAGTTATTTTCAAGGACTGTTTGACACACACTGGGCGTGAACGTGTTCTTCAGGGAGTCAGCGAACATGGTCGGGATGAAGAAGCTGAGGCTCTTTTTTTAGTTTACCAAAGTGTGGAAAGAACAGCAGGACCTCAGGGAATTCCTGTTTTGTTCAACTGTTTATTTTACACATTTCAAATAAAAGCCTCACTCCTGTTTGGGTCATTTTAAACAATTTTAGTGTTACAAAGAGGCTGATGTATTTGGGGATAAAATCAGTGTAAGCAGTGAATTCAGTTTATTAAAAGGTGATGCGTTTTGCAAAAATGAAAGAAGCTTGTAGGATTGTTTTTATAACTATGATTAAAGGGGAATTTACACAACTGCTTGGAAACTATTTGTACTGTTTGATACCCAATAAAAGTTTGCAGAAATGTCTTTTTAACAAACAATGTCACCCCTTATATACATTAAAACACAGGCCTTAAGCAGACATGCATCCATGAACTTTATTCACTTTGTTTACCCATCATAAATGATCATTTTTGGCTGTTTTCTGTAGAGCGAGTTTGATTTTTTTTTTCATACATATCAGACTAGTTTTGGCTCCTTTACTCCACCATAACATGAGTTAATGACTGTAAACTCAAATAAACACAGAAATAGTCTTAATTTACCTCATTTCCTCATAATGGCAGCAAATGAGGTAAAAGTTTTTTTTAAATAAGATAAATACGTTAAGAAATTAATAAGAAATTGTTGAAACCTGTATAACTTTAACTTCCTCAAGATAAATGAATTTAACTTAATATTTGTCTATTTATTTTATTTATTTATTTATTTTTCTGTCTTTTACGTTTTATTTTTCGTCCGTTGGTGACGTCACTTCCTGTTTTCGCTACCTGCATCATCGGTCGTTAGCAAAGATGGCGGCGAAAGTACGTCGCAGTTTTATTGCCGTTAAAGTGTCAACAAATCTTCATACAAGTCAAAACTACGGAGTAAAAACGACTTTTAAGACGGTTAGCAGTTTGTTTTATAATATCGAGATTACCTTTCCACCTTAAAACGAAGTTTAATCAGCGCGGGGCTTAATAAGGAATATGCTAATTTCATGATAATTGTCTTACTGTAACATTAACATGGCGGTGTTTTCTAATTAGGCTGTTTGTCTTTATCTTTTTTCAACAGGTGTGTCAGTGAGAGGAGAGTCCTGTAAAGCTGCTGGACCGATTGTATTTCATCATTTTAGGTGTGTATAGACTGTTTTTGGTCATAGTTCTGTTCATTTTAAAACAAAGTATTTTTGTTAACGCTGACGCTTTCTTTATCTTTTCTTTATTCATATCAGCCAAGGCAATTTCGCAATATCATGTCACATTGCAACATTTCTTATACATTGGTTGGAGGGTATGATGATGAGATATTTTATTTATTCAATCAAATATACATACAGTACTATTTTAGACAAGGAATTCACCTATTTGCTGAGATGGAAAAGGACTAGGTAGAAGCTGTTTAGCTTATTTGTACCTACCCTCATTCTTTCCTATTCATTGACCTTTTACATGTCTCTAGAATTTTTTGATATCTTAAGTATCCAAAGCTCCAAAGTCTAACATGAATAAGTAACAAATCATTAACACTGCCTATATACACCCATACCTATATACGTATATACACACTTCATATATATATATATATATGAAACTTCAGATTTCTCATTTGTACCATACCCATGAACAATTTAATAAGTGTGACGAAACAAAAATCACTTATATAAGTATTTTTCGATCATACTCTGCTTTAATTTACATTGAAACTATGCTATTGTTTTGCTTTGTTAAATTTCATTGGGCGATCCGTTTCATAGCTTCACCCCCATAACAGGAGCAGAAAGAAGATACGTCTTATATTACCTGCCTTTCACTCAAAGTCTAATTGTTCTAATAATCTATCACTAAGCAATACTTATACAACAAAACAATAACAACAAATCAAACAGAAACAGAGTTTTTAATAGACTCATCAGTCACTGAGCTATACTGTACTGATACCAGGAAGTAAACAAAACAGGCATAATAATAAATATAAATAAAAGACAGCATTTCAAGCTGACTTTTCTACAAGAATCATTGGTTACTCTTGTTATAATTTCTAACTGCATTTTCCTTTAACACTTTCTTGGCTTGTAAAGCTTGTTTATATAAAGTTAAGCTGTTTTTTTCCTTTCAGAGGAGAGAGGCAGCGCACAGCATCACCAGGACTGTCATCCTCCTGTTGCACAAAGATGAAGAGCTGCTCAAGGTAGGCTGAAGCTGTTTAAGCTAAAAACACAGAAAAAGCTCGATCTGAAGTGTAATGTGGGCTTTAAGCCTGAGACAAATATGTGACATTTGAACACATATGCAAAGAAAACCCAACAGATTTGAGGTCTCTCTGCTTTTCTGCATATTTTACCCGAACCTGTCCCCCAAAATAAACCCAAAAAGTAGATTATTTTCACCTCTCAGTTCACACTTATTCATCTGCAGCTGACGATGTAGTACTTTTATGCTCTCTGTGGCTTCTCTTGGATGCATTTGTTTACATTTACACGCTCCCTCCAGCTCTATGGTTCATTGTTTACCTAGGTCATGTTCAGGCTCAGGTCAGAGTTTGTGTAGTTTCTGGTGCTTATGGGAAACCACTCCAGTCAAGCCTGTAAAAAGGAGCCAGTCATCTTTAGTTTCTATCCAGTCTGCTGTTTTATTTGAACACAGACCCAGAGGACAGTTTCATTCTTTACATTTCTGTGTTGAAGTTGGAGCTGCTTCATGCTCTCGCTTTCAAACCAGTGTGATCATACAACCTCTCTGCTGTTAAATCGCACTCTGAGCCCTGAAATATCCTCTTTTTTGAAGTCCTGTGGCGCACAAATGAAACCCAGCGCTGTAATATGAATCAGGATATGTAACCTCACAGCTCCTCTGGACCGAATAGCAAGTGTTAAATGAGAGAGGAGTGGAGTCTTTGAATAAAGAAATACATTCTTATTGGGGAGGTGCGGGGCTGACAATGAACCCCCTCGCTCCGAGTTGAGCCTGCGAGAGGCCGACTTGTTCATCCCTTGTTATGCCGCTAATGTGTATGATTTAAGGGGGAATTATGCACATCTCAATGTGCCTATAAATGACATTATTCATGCACAGGTGCTGCACTAAGCAGCTCCTGAATGATAATTAAGATAATCTTTCTTTTTTTCTTCCTCCTTCACGCTCACTCCCTCCCTTTTCTCACGGATCCACTTTGTTCAGGCAATATCTCCTGTGTCAATACCTCGCTAGACTGCAGCCCCTCTCCCCTCAGCCATTGTCTGATCCTTATTCAGCACTAAAACCCGCACTAACAAGTGAGACCACGTCTATGTTTCTCCCCCGAGCCCGACGGTATTTCTCAGAAATAACGTGCCAAGTTGAATTAAAGTGAGAGAATGAAAAAAAGAAAAAACTTTTGCGAGGCAGAAACTTGGCGGCGGCGTTCCCGAGGGAATTCACCGCGCAATGAATTTCTCAAACGAGAATATGAAGACATTGATGTCGAGCACTTTGCATATGATAAGCTCTTTTTCCATAAAGAGGAATGATTAGTTTTGGAACGGTTAGGAAATGTTGCAGGGGAAAAAGTGTTCCAGGCTCTAAGATATTAAGAACATTTAGAATACATTAAAAAAAAGAGGGGCGTTTTTGTCACAGTTAGGTGGTAAGTTATGCCAAGAGATGGTTTCAGCTCAGGTTTTCTGTTAGAAATGTATTAAAGATAAACTCTGTGTCTTTGCACAAACATGAGGCACATTTTTCCTGCTCTGTTTGGACAGTAGTGAGACGCCTGGTGCCAAATTCTGCTGCAGAGATGCATCATCACAGAGAGAGAAAGAGAGAGAGAGTTAGTGAATCCAGCTTCATTTGTGTTATTGGGGATCCAGAGGTTTTCAGGGCTGGAACCCCTCTCCTCTGTGGTAAACAGTGAGTGATGATTATCATCGCTTACAGAGAGGAAATCCAGCTGTATTGTTTTAGCACGGCCACTTGTTTACAAAAAGCTCTCTGCTGTTCATGGGCTGCGCTTGATTCAGTTTTGTTTTGTGTGCAAATCACTCGTTTTGTTTGTATTTTTTCCATTTTCTTGTTGTGTTACGCTCCGGCTCGGCCCTGTCTCCGGCCCACGTTGTGAGGGAAGCCATCCAGTGTCTCTGCGGCCTGCAGCTGGCTTTCATTACCCGGCTTTTGCCACACCCTTTGATTTCAAATAAACACACGGGGTATGTATACCAAAGCGAGGATAAATAGGAGCTGCAAATAATTCATAGCATTTGTTGGAAACCGCTGGTCTGCCAGAGGGAGGAGTTTTCAGAGGGACTGCTGTAGGGGCTGACAAGTGAGGTGAGAGTGAAGGTTCGACAGCAGAGGTGGGAGGTCATTTTCATCTCCTTTCCTCTGTGAGCTGCTCAAACCTGCAGCAGGTACTCAGATGTTTGGTGAACACTGAAGTGGATTCAGAAGGAAAAGAACTTGTCGGTTTTGTATTGAGGAGCTGGTGGAGACCAAAACAGAGCTATACTGAGATAAAAAAGAGTTTTTGATGATCTATATGTGCTGCTTGTTGTTTTATAGATGTTCATTCGTCATTATTTTGTCGTTTTCTCGTTGATTACTTTTCATTTCGGTTGTTTATGCTCACCCTCTCATGTTTCCTCATATCAGCTACCTGACTGTTACACCAACACTTTTTATTTTCTCCATAATACCTGCTGCAGCCGGTAAAGGTCACCAGCTTACTATAAATGTTAATATTGGTTGTAATTTCCCGCACAGACAACCTATACAGTCATATATTATAGTGTAGCTTTAAACTACCTGTCTGAGGTAGAATTATGCATCACGTTTCACCGCTATTGTCGCCTAAAATAAGAAATTATCACGTTTTATTTTCTGAGCAGTGATTTAGTTTAGTCAGATTTGAGCACAGTACAAAAGGCAGGTCACTCTCCAATAGTGCAGAGTTAGGATTAAAGCCTATCTGAGGAGAATAATGTGAAATAAGAACATTATTACTGTAATTAGTGAGCCTGTAGAGGCTCAACAGCAGCTTTTTCAGCACTGTTAAAGAAAAGCCTGGACCACAGACTCCATCTGTCACCGCTGCAGTCACAAACGGCAGAATTAACTTCCTCTAAAACCCAGATTTCCTCTGCAAACGACACTGAATCATATATATTTGAACCGTGCCTCCTGGCTACAGCGTGTCCTGAAATGTCTTTAATAAGGATGAGGATGTGAAGGGGCGGCTATAGCTCCAGATTTTAAATTAGAAATAACCCGGCAGAACGCTTGACTTACAGAAAAGGTTAGCTTTAAACACAACACATTAATCTCTGCTTCTCGTTTGCACATTTATAGATCTGAGTAAGTGTGTGTGTGAGAGTGTGTGTGTGTGTGTGTGTGTGAGAGAAACAGCCGCTGCCATTAACCGAAATATGAAAAAGCAATTACAGAAATGAGTGTGTGCAGGGAGAAGTGTCCACTGGTGCCCTGACTGAAATATGAAACAGCAAATTTTAAATCAGTGTCTCTGTGAGGGGAGTTTTGTCCATGAATTGGGCTTAATCTAAATATGATAAAGCAAAGATGAAAATCAATAATTATTGAGCTCATAATTCACTCAGAAGATGCAGCAGGACTGTGTGCACGGGCCTCGCAGTTTCCACCTGATTACAGCCGTGGAGCCGAACACATGAGTCTGTTTGTCTCTGAGCTTTTACGATGATGGATATTTGAGAAGTCACAGGTGTCGTGTTGTTTGAATCAGCTGCAGACTGAGCAGGAAGAGAAAGTTCCCAGAGTAAAGTGCTGTTTTACGGGGCTGTTAAAAACATTTTTTAAGTTTGAGTTACTCAAACTGAGTTCAACCACATGAGGCAGAAACAAAAAACAACATTTTTATTTCTTAGTAAGAGATTTAAAGAATCCTCTGGAAGTTATCGAGTCGTGCTCTGATGCAGTTTCAGCAAAGATCCTTTTGTTTAGTTTTTGCACGCAGCAGAGTGACGCTCCTGCTGACAGATTTACGCCGTTCTTCCTGCTGACGCTTGAATCAGACGAGAAAAAGAGAGAAACATGAAAAATGCAGATCTGGAGGTTCTTTGCACTGATCGATAGGAATAAAAAG